AAATTAGAGGTAGAAATTGGAACGTAGATAACGTGTAATTTAGATAGTATACCTACGTGAAATATATGCAATTTAAATTACTATGTAGGTTTTTCTAATAACTTTCTATGGTAGCTCGTTTTGGAGTAAAGCGAGATAAATTTAATATGCAACAAAATTTCGATCTAATAAAGGCAGTATAAAAAGTGTGAGATTTACATCCAATTGTACTTACATATTTTTTAATGGCTTGTTTAGTCGATATTTTCGATTTCGATGCATTATTTATTCCCGTAATTTTACTAATTTTACACAAAAAAGTAACAATACAATTTATTTGGCCTTGGTTTTTACTCGATTTTGGTAAAAGACAATGAAATTGAATTTATTTCACACAATTATTACGCCACATCGTCGTGTATATGAGAAACTTCCTTTTTCAGTTTCAACCACTATACTTAAATCGTTACAAAATCGTTAGTACTTGTATAAATAAGGAAACAGGAATTTGAATCAATCAATTAAAATTGTCAAATGACCTAATTCGGTATGAAGTTGTGCATAAACATTTCATTATTTTAATGAAATGCAAGAAAAATTAAGTGGAGAAAACGGTTAGCAAAAAAAATGAATTAAAATATTTCAGATATTTCTGGCTCACTGTCATTTAAAAATACACCGTAAGATTTTAAACAAATTTAAAATAGAAAAAACTAAAAATAGAAGAGAATACTATTCGTGAAATAACTAAGAAAGCGTATTCTAATTTATTATACAAAAAAAAAACTGCGAAATATTACTGTAGAGTTTACATCAATAAGAAATGGAATTAAAGGAACTAAAGAAAGTGTTAAAATATTGAGAAATCCTCCCGAATGGGAAGCTATAAAAGCGGATAAACGGTCTTTAAACATCGGTCACTGGCATCATCGTGGTTGAACATTATATTAAATTGATGGCGATCTAAATTTAAATTTTACTAGAAATTGTTTCAACGTCCTATACCGGAATCGATAACTTTACTAAGATGCTCCCATTTTGTTCCGTAAAGCAGAAAATTCCATAAAAAATGTTATAGTAAAAGCCTCTTTGACAATGTAAAAATAGCACGAGAAATATTCAGTAATTTATTCAATGAATTTTTTACCGTAGGCAGGAAGATTGTGTAACTAAAACATTTTTTTCTCCGTTAGTATCCATAAAAAATCATCTCCGTAAATAATAATGGCGAATTGCAAGTTTTATTAAACATAAAACGTTGTTTTACAATTCCGTTCCAATTCTTTGAACCGGCGTTTCCTTTAATTCCTATTCAACAGATTCCCGAGATATAACCAAACACTTTGAACTATTTTTTAATTAGTAAAAAAGTTGATTTTGTATAAATCTTTCAAGCAATAAATTTCGCATCGAAATCGAGTGAATAACCGTTATGTTATATCGATTTCGATGTGTTTACAAAATACAGAAAAAATCGTAAATTCACGGGGAAAAATCGAGCGAGAGAACATTTACATAATATGTCAAAATTGTCGAAAAAATACCTATATAATTTGGTGAAATCGCAACATTTCTTCCTATAAAATCTTCAAATTTATATTTAGAACTCGCAACAAATCGAGTGAACGTATTAAACATCAATTCATACAGTATACATACGAAATTTATTTTAGTTTAAAACACATGTTTAAAATTTATCGAGTTTATGATCAATACTTATACATACACGAACGGTTATTTATATACTTTCTAAATTATAAATTTCTCATTCAACTTTTCACAGTAATTAAATCTCGACTTGTAAAAATCTCATTCGAGCAATTTCCACTGGCGAAAAATCCAATAAAGGCACATATTTTACACTTATCGCGTTTCGGTGTTAAAAGTGTTAAAAGCTATCGGTCGATTCGACCTCGATTCTCGTTAATTATTAATAAAATTTCGAAATCACAATACTTAAATGAACGTTCGTAATAAACCTATTTGTGTACGAGTATGAATTACATATTCAAAATAGGCCACACACACACACTCGAGTTAAATAAGCTAAATTAAAGAAAATCCCAGCACACTTCTTAGGTAAACGATTAAAAAAAAATCACCTTACATTCAGGGATATTTATAATAGCATGCAGCTATTTTTAATTTAATGCTACATTGATTAGCAAAGTTATTTTTTCTAAAAAAGCCAGACTTACAAACCGAATTTATTCGTCCTTGTACCTTCATTTAACATGTAATTACAGCTCGTATGTATCTGATAAGCGTTAGTTTTGCATTTAAATTTTACGTCATTATTATAAACAATTAAGTATTATAAATTAGAACATCTAGCTCTAAACGAAATATAATACTTACTCGTTTCAAAGCGAGCAATGAGGGGATTGTAGATAGAGTTCTCTCAAAGGACAATGGAAGAACGAAATAATATCACAATTTATCCAAAAACACCATCACGTCCGAAAATAACGCTAAATGGCACCATCCGGGTAATCAAGAAAACTGTCAAAACTGAGAATGCCCGAGATACTAACAAAAAAAAAAACGGTTTTCAGAGCGAAGATCTATTTTCGGGTATCCTTTCTGTGCCTCGCGCGCGCGACTTTGCGCTCTCGTGTAAAGCAAAATGCACATTACATATTACACTTTACACTCGAAACGAATATGTGCGTGTACTGAGCGATCGACTAGCGCTCGGACCCAATTAAAAACCTTCTAAAATCCAAAGCGAAAATAGTCCTCGAGATTGCTAGAGAAAAAAAAAATATCTATCGACTTCGAAGCGAATCGAACACACACAAACTTTAATTTATTTATATTTCTTTCTTCAAGGCGAATTTCGGGTTTTTTTTAATAGATTTTTAACCCAGTTATTTCGATTTGTTGTTGATAAATACAATGCGAATGTGTGTAAACAAAATAATTCTAATTCGAAGGAGATATTGGATTAAGTTTTTAACTACCTCCTGGCCTAAAAAAACCGCCAGTGCAGGAACGTTTAAACGCGTCTCATCTATTTCAGACGCCTTCGGGTAGGAAATTTGAATTTTGTTTAGGACGAGCGAGCCTTGGAATATTCGGAGCATAAGTTTATTTAGCGAGGAATTTCCAGTAGAATATGCTCGTTTTGCAGGAGTGTAATCCTATCATTATCTGTTAACGTTTTGTGTTCTTTACTGGGGCAACGAATTGATCTGCTGTAATCGATTTTTCTCAGTTAAAGTCCGCAGGAATAAAACGATGAGTCACCTGTTCCTGGCCAGCAGCCAAATTAATTGATGGAAAACAGGTAAAATTGTTTTTTGTTATGCTATACAATTAATTTTATAGTCACGATTAGACTTTTATAGATTAATACAAGCTTTTAATCGACTGGTATGACTACTAGTAATTTAATTCACATAAAAATATTAATAGTGTTTCGAAGTTATTCCCAGTTTATCAAAATTAATCAATTGATACATAAAATAATACTGAGATGACAAATACTCTGTTACCTTCTATCTCTACCATACAAATATCTTTGTTTGATTCAATAAATTCCTAATAAACAGTTATTATTAGTAATGTTATTTGCTTTGTACATGTAACTCAAGTTTCTCGATAAATGTGTTGTGTACCAAATAAAGTGGCTTACAAGAAGATATTAGTGAATTAAACTATATGAAATAGTAAGTAATATAAAATTAAAAACTCACCTCTCATCTCTGGTAAAAATCCTTTGTTATTTTTCCTCTCAAATCTGGAATTCCCAGTTAATCATGGACGATCCTATTACTTTCCTCGACGAAAAAAACACTGCTATTTAAACACACCAGCACTATTTCAACACACTACTTCCTTCTATTTCGTGTAAATACCATCGTTTTATAACAAAAAAAGGTGTTTTATTTATGTATGAACCTAACCTCCAAAAAAAAACAACAGGTTGTACGACGTTCTTTCCCTGCAGTTTCGCTTATTCTAAGCCAATATCTTACCTTAAACGATGAATACATACTGTTGTGTTCACTACGCGCGTGAATAATACTAATTTTTACAAAAAACTTATTAAAACCGTTTAAAAATGGACAAAACTATGCTAATTTGACAAATAGTCGAAATAAGGCGACCATTTTGATTTCAAAACACACCAAAATAAATGAAGAAGAAATTGACAGTGTTGACGTTAATTTCCCTCGATTAAGTGGACATTTAGCATATCTAAAAATAGGTAACGCTAAATTGGTAAATTCATGAAAAAACTAGTATTCTTGAATAGTTAATAAGTTCTTCGTGATATAATAGTGCTATTTTATTAGATCAATTTTAAAAAAAGATTATATAAATGCTTTTATTGAGACTGAATAGCATCCCAAGTTGTACCCTTAGTCCGAAAAAGAAGAAAATTCGCTCATTGTTGACAGTGTTGACGTTAATTTCCCTGGATTAAGTAGACATTCGGCAGTGAAAGGTAACGCTAAATTGATAATTTAGTGAAAAAAGGGGTGTTCTTGAATAGTTGCTAAGTTTTTCGTAAATTTATAGTGCTATTATTAGATTAAATTTGAAAATAATTAATATACAGGCAATAAACTAATTTAAGAATTCTTCTTTTTCCACAATGATTAGAAAAACCAGTGGTAGTTCAGTACAATTTTTATGAACCTAAACGAGGTATAATAAATTCGACTGGTCGTAAATTAAATGTCGTACGATTAATTTATCACTACAGGTGATCGAATTGATAAACGAGATTGTTTTTTCCCGAATGAATCACCTAGAAAAAGTTCAATGTTACCGGCATTAGATTTCGAATTAAACTTCCTTCTTCCGAGGACACGCCACTGAAAGGTAGATCAATGAAAAAGTCGCCGAGTAGTGGATTCGAGAAGAGTGTCGCCTCGATCGAAACGCGCCTTAAACACCTCTTACATAGAGGCGAATTTAGCGAGGCAACAACGTCCGCACGGAACGTTTCTATTACTATAGAAACCACGTGTTAAACAAGGACGTCCGTCCATATGATTCGGGTATATTGGAAGGGAACGTCCGAAAGCGGCTGCTTTTGCTCGTAATTCGACGTACGATCGCATGTGCCTTTGGAGTTTAGATAACGCACTAGATTTACGGTAGTTGAATTAAATTTTTTCGATGGAGAAAATGTCGAGGAATTCCTGCACGCTGGCCGTGCTGCTGATGATAATCGGGGCCCGATGCGGCGAAATCGATTGGGGTAAGTCAGTTTTCCTGTTCGAATATTTCGAAATTTCCTCGTTTTTCGCGCGCCATAGAGCTCGTTTCGTTAGTCACGTAGACCCCGAATTCAAAATTTCGTTTTCGCCTGTCGACCTACCATGGAAAATTCTACGGGAAATTCGTGCGGTAATCTATTATGTAATGGAAACCGATGTAATATTTTATCTAATTTTGCTGTTTCACTACCGTATTGTTTTAGTTTATTTGTTTTAATAGATAATTTTTGTTGTTATTTTTTTTTATAAATTATCTAGGTGTACCTACGTTCATTTGATTATTTTTAAAATCTACGATAAAATGTAGATAATTTATTTATTACGTATACATAAAAAATAATATTTGTGTTATTAAATAAGAAATAATGCGGCTTTTACTCTTGGTGAAAGCTTTATTATTTACTACAACATTTTTCTAAATAATTTGGGTTTATTTGCTACTATTAGGTACACATTATGACCTACAAAATATTATATTTTTAATATTTTATGAAAGCGAGTACATAATTCATAAATCTACCTATACAGGGTGGCCTCCTTTACCAAATATTCATTTGAACAGTGTAGGAATTTTTTAATTACAATTAATTACTATCGAAAATAGAAATTCCCCGTAAAAAATTCTACTCTATTAGGTTTTTTTATCATAATTCATTTTGGAGTAACAAGAAAAAATAAATCGACTTATTTCAAGGTTCAATGTTCAACGTTTTGCGCGAATTTTGCATAATTTTCGTAGTTTTTGCATTTATTTATCCTTAAATCGCAAGTACTTTAAATCCCCTCGATTAATTTAGCGCAAAATGAGAGCAAGACTTATTTATCCTTGCGTTAAATTATATATTCAATAATCGTGAACCAAGAAAAACAGAAATTGCATGTATCAATTTAATTTCTATCAACTCGCTTAATTAATAAAAAAAACAATTAAAATATTGCAAGATTCTTATCTAATGTCGATTGGAATGATATAAAATTTGCAAGTTCCGTTAATTATTTAATTGCTAATTCGCAATAATCAGGTTTCTGATCGTTATTTAATAAGATGCGAGGTGATTAACACCTTTTATTGTTATTAAATAACTTCGAGATGTTATTTATTTTGATTCTCTTTATAATACACAAATATTGCGCAGTAATTAATCGAAGAAAATCCGATAAATGTTAAGTACTACTTACGTACTATAGATAAATTTAATGTAATCATTCAAAAAAGACGAAAAAATCAACATAAATGTTTAAATAAACGTTCGAAAATATGATAAGAAATTCGAATTACTGGAAAGCCCCTTAATATATGATTTAAACGTATGTACATAGGTGTAAATATTTGCGCTAAATTATTGGAATTCCTAATTTATAAACTCAAATTGTTTTTTCAAAAGAAGTTTATCGAAATTTGATTTCCCACATAATTGCTTATAATAGTTTCTATGCCATGATTTTTACAATAAAATCAACTGGCGCCAGTAAATTGTATTAAGCTCAGATGGATTTTAATGCTAAAAGTGCAATAAAAATAATACTCTACTAATTTTATAACCCTCATTATGCTATAGAATATACAGGGTGTTAAGTAATTGAGTGTCGATACTTCGGGATGTTAATATTTGGATGATTTTAAGAAGAAAAGTTTATATCAATATATGTCCTAAAGCTCTTAGTTTTTGAGCTATAGGGTGTTAGAGTTTTAGAAGAAAAATAACTTTTCTATCGTAATTTTCTTATTATTCTATATATTTTTTTGGAAATTTCGGACGCGGACGTCACTGGTAATAGTACCAAAAAAGTATTAACTCCCTGTAGCTAGAAAACTAATAATTTTAGGACATATTATTAAAAACTTTTCTTCTTAAAATCCTCCAAACATTCACATCCTGAACTATCGGCATTCAATTAATTAACACCCTGTAGATCATCAATATACAAAATTCTGCTAGATTATATAAAAAACGAACGATTTTTAGAATCTACCAACGAATCTAACAAAACTACAATCATAAACAAACAAACTTCGCCTACAATGAAACGAATCGTATATCGCATTACACCAACATCGGCACATTTTCTTGCACTCGGGCGCCTTTTTTCTCCCCACGAACGCGAAAGTTTAGCCGGGTCTACGTGACCGGCTCCACGTGCATCTCCTTGAATTGTCCAATTAAAATTCGACTCGAAAGCGATACCAATTCGCCAATTAACGCCACTTAATGACCCCCAGACGGTTTATCAATCGCCAGAACCGCTCGTTTATCTTGTAGATATGCTACAGATATAGCTAGATAAACCACTAAACCTAGGTTTACACGGGTTGAGTGCGAAGTATCCGAGAAACGTGGGTAGAATCGGGCAGGATATAGGTTTCTTAGGTACCCTACTTTACTCTATATAAAATTAGATAAACGACTAAACCTAGGTTTCCTATGGTTTCCTATGGTATCTACACTATCCATATTTCTTGGGTATTTTGCACTTTATCCGGAACAGATGTACTAATAGCTAATGGTGGTTCGATTTGATTTGGCAATAGATTTGGCGATAGCGGTGGAAAACGAAATAAAATTGTTGGATTCCAACGGATCGGAAATCAATTCGCAATCCCAGCCGTTTTCGTCGCTGAAGGCTTTAGTTTACGACGGTATCAGAGACCAATTCATCGTGAGCGATACCGATGGAAATTTGAAATACGATACCATATTCACCGTTCGTTTCAACAAAGAGACTGACACCACTGTACCGATCATCCGAGATCTTCCAGGCGATATACAGGTACATTTTTTTGTGTTATTAGATACGAATTAAATCGCGTTTACTAATTTAAAACGCGCCGAAAACAAAAAGCTCATTCTATGGTAATTATTTTAGGGTATGAGCGTCGATCCATTAGAAGACGTATTGTATTGGACGGACTTGGCTAATCGAACAATCAATTACGTTAATTTAAATGGGAATAATTACGAATCTAATGAATATTTAAGGTTCAATGACAAATTTCCGCACGCCATTACGGTCGATGTTTGTAACCGGTGAGTGGTTTTTTATTTCTTTCATAGATAATACGGTTGATGCAAAACATATATCAATAAACGTCACTACTGTCGTTATACTTGCGAAGCATTGGGTACTCTTTTAAGGGTCAAAAGTTCTCTAATTTTATTTACTAGAAACAGTTTTGCCATTTGACAATTTCAGAAAATTCTTAGATTTTGTATACTCTCTAAAAGTTCGGCAACACTGCCTACTTGTGACGTATTAGATCATAGGTGAGGTGCATTGTTATTTGTTTTGCACCAACTGTATTATGCAGCATATTGATTGTATTATTTTAGTTATATTTACTACACGAATCCATCGGCTGAGAGACCTACAATCGAACGAATGAAACTAGACAAAACAGGCCACGAAGTTCTAGTCTCAGATACCATCATGTCGCCCGTAGGTCTTACAGTATCCCACAAAGACCAACGTCTCTATTGGGCTGACAGTCGAATAGGAGCAGAAGCCGGTAAGAACACAACAAACTTCAATCAAACCAACATTAGACGAGCATTTTTACTGGTTTCAGGTCGGATAGAAAGCATCGCTTTAGACGGCAGCGACAGGAAATTGGTAGTAGAACGAACCGCCATGGTACCCTTCGGTCTAGCGGTCGACGACGAGGCCATTTACTGGACAGACACCGTCAACAAAGCGCTGTACAAATTCCCCAAATCCACCAACAATCCTTACGCAGAACCCCAGAAAATCGCCGCCTTCTCCGGCATCCCCATGGGCTTGGCCTCGAAGCATTACATGTACCACGACGATTGCAGGAATCTCACGGCCATCATCAAGGAGTACCAAGAGAATCAAATCGCCAAAAACGATGGGAATCGCCGTGGGGATTCTAATTGCTTGAACGGTTTCATCGTCAACGGAACGTTCTGTCAATGTCAGCGCGGTTTCGTCGGGAAACGATGCGAAATGTCGCTCTGCGATTTCGATTATTGCTTGAACGGACATTGCTACTTCAGCACAGCAGGTATAAAAAATTGCTGAGTTATATAGGGTGTTTTATGACCCGAGAAGCTAAGTTTTACACCCTGTGTATTACCCTGTGTGGTAAAGTTCTATGTGGCATCAGATGATGATTTTATCTTGCAACTAAACCCTATTACATTAGTACTTCGACTTGATATAGTCTAGACCCAATTCGAGGTTGAGACTCGACAGTAACACTAAGCATTTGAACTATAGTGAATCTAACTCGTTTTCGATGTTTTGCAGGAAAGCCGGTGTGCAATTGCAGGAGCGGATTTTTCGGTGCTCGATGCGAGAAGAGCATTTGCGACCGGTACTGCTTGAACGAGGGCAAGTGCGAGACGCCGCCTGGCGGCGACGGGCCGAAATGTAGTTGCATCGAAGGGTTCTTCGGTGATCGGTGCGAACACGACGAGCGAATTTGCGACGATTATTGCGATTCGAAATCGAAGGGAGGTTATTCGGATAAGCTGGAAGGTTTGTGCAGGTGGGTTTAGGTCGTGTTGCTGAATGATAAGGTAGTGAAAGGACGCTTTAGTCTTTTTCGAAGTTAATCGAATGTGACTGTCGTGAAGTTCGTACGTTTTGAAATGAAGGTGGGGTTGTTTTTAGTAATTTCCACGCTGTTCGAAATGTCCCTAGTGTCAATTGAGTCAATTGAGTAGGATTTTATTTAGAGCGGTTGAATTGTCGATGCGTTGTTGCCATATTGTTACTTTCAATATTCCGCTATTTGTAGTTGATACGTTTTGACTACAAATTTGTTGTTTTTGTGACTTTTCCATCGATTTTTCTCTTTTTCTGGAGCGTTCTAAATGGTTCTGGGGCATTGTAAATGGTTATAAACAGTTCTGGAGCGTTCTAAATGATTCTAGACAGTTCTAAATGGTTCTAGGGCGTTCTAAATGATTCTAGACTAAATGGTTTTGGGGCATTCTCAATGATTCTGGGGCGTTCTAAAGAATTATAGATAGTTTTAAAGCTCTCTGAAGCGATCTAAATGATTCTGGAACGTTCTAAAGGACTCTAGATAGTTTTAAAGGACTCTGAAGCGGTTCTAAATAATTCTGGAGCATTCTAAATGATTCTAGATAGTTCTAAATGATTCTGGAGCGTTCTAAAGAATTCTAGATAGTTTTAAAGCTCTCTGAAGCGATTTAAATGATTCTGGAACGTTCTAAAGGATTCTAGATAGTTTTAAAGGACTGTGAAGCGGTTCTAAATAATTCTGGAGCATTCTAAATGATTCTAGACAGTTCTAAATGGTTCTAGAGCGTTCTAAATGATTCTAGACTAAATGGTTTTGGGGCATTCTCAATGGTTCCAGGCAGTTCTTAATGATTCTGGAGCGTTCTAAAGAATTATAGATGGTTTTAAAGCTCTCTGAAGCGATCTAAATGATTCTGGAACGTTCTAAACGATTCTAGATAGTTCTAAATGATTCCGAAGCGTTCTAAAGGATTCTAGATAGTTTTAAAGGACTCTGGAGCGTTTTAGACAGTTCTAAATGATATTTTTTCGTACGAACTTTAGAGGACGATTCAATAATTTTAGTATTTAATAATATATTTTTGCAGGTGCAACGCGATTTCGGCGGGCAACAACAGCATGGCGTTGAAATCGGTTTCGCAAGAAAAAAAGGACTTTCTATCGAAGCTCGACGATCCGGTGGTGTATTTGTCGTTCGGGCTCATACTAAGCCTAATAATTATAATAGCCCTGTCGATTTACATTCGACACGTGAAGAAAATTCGGCCTAGAATAAAGAAGCGCATCATAGTGAACAAAAACGTCACTCCGTTGACTTATAGACCTCAAGCGAACACGGAACAATGCGAAATAACCATCGAGAATTGCTGTAACATGAACGTATGCGAAACGGTTAGTTGATCTACGTTAATTATAGAGGATTAATTAATAATATTTCGTTTGATTTCAGCCGTGTTTCGAGCCCAGAGAGGACAAGAAGACCCTACTGAAGAACATGGAAGGCGACGACTTGTACTAGAACAAATCGATGGAACATCGGCTGTGACTGTAAAAAAAAAGTATTAGCGAATCGTTGTTAAGTTTGAATATTTATATTTGTTGCAATCGTACGATTACGACTGATCGGGTCGTCATTCCCATTGTAAAAAAAGAATCTTCGTTTTTATCTAATTAGACTCGGATATTTCTTATTCGATTACCACGAAATTTGCTACTTATTAAAGAAATATTCCGGCCTAATTGGAGCTTTCGATGATTTCATGAGATGCCTTTCGGTGTAGCGAATCAAATAGTACTTAAATTTAATGAATGGGGGCGCATTTGATCGTTTTTTTAAATCGAAACCAAAGCTTTTTTAATACAATGTACAACCAGCAAGACTTCCGAAATAATTCGAGTAATTGTTTGTGCAACATCATGCATTTGTGCTCGTTTCACTGCCTTTTATAAATGACACTACTGTACGTATATGGTCTGATAATTCTTGTCATTTTGTTTTTATTGAATGCGTTAGATTAATGGGATTTATAAAGGAAGTTTTGGTTGCGTTATCGCCTCGTTTGTAATAAATTAGAGCCTCTGCGAGTAATTCTGTTATAAGAAATTTCTTTCGTTTGCAGACAGCTCTAGTTTAGCTCTTAATTTTTGAGTATAACAATATTTTAATTGTTGATGTTTTTGATTTTAAAAGGTATTGAGGAGAAACGGATATAGGTAATTTCGAACCAAATTGTAGCTCATCTTTGGTTGTAACAGATAGATGATTTTTTTTTTGATTTAATAGCATAGAGTTTATTTGTTTTTTAGTTACAAAGGGTTGTGAGAAATGTAGTTAAATGAATTCGTATCCCGACGTTCCTTCACAAGGCTATTCATCACACTTACTTTAAAAAACATTTGTAAAATACAGGGTGTTTCTGAAATAAGTGGTCAAACTTTGGTAGCAAGTAGATTAGAGAATGTAGAATGCTCCAGAATCATTTAGAACTACCTAGAACCATTAAGAACGCCCCAGAAACATTAGAACTGTCTAGAATCATTTAGAACGCCCCAGAATTATTTAGAATTCTTCAGAGTCCTTTAAAACTATCTAGAAGCCTTTAGAACGCTCCGAAATCACTTAGAACTGTCTAGAACCATTTAGAACGCTCCAGAATCATTAAGAACTGCTTAGGCATCCTGACAAAGTTCTGTTTTATTTGACAAATATTTAACTATGTGTGATGAATAGTGGTGGTTTCAGGTAAATTTCCTCAGTGATGGAAGGTCGTGGAATAAATAAATAAATTGAATCGCGCGAGTTAACTCGTTAACTCCGGCGCTTTTACAAACGGTACTTACTCGTTTTCGCAGTAAGTTAGTGGTATAATATCCACATAAGAAATGTGATATTATAAACTTAAGTAAGTAGGCGTGAAATGAATAATTTTGTATCGAACATTTAGGAAAATAAAATTATTTATTAACAAATCAAAAGAGTTTTCGTCTCGTCGCGTTCCCATCTTTTATTTCATTCCGTTTTATTTCATTCCGCCGCCGGTCGGGCGCGAATAAGATTCCTTTTTCTCGTTTCTCCACGCCTGAAGGACTTCTCAGGCGGCCTTTCAAAGGCCTAAAAACATTTACGAACCGTGTCAACTCGTCAACATGTGCACGACTCAAACGACACCTTAATTTACGGCCTCCGTTTTATCGCCCTCTCTCGTCCACACATTGTAACCAAACAAAGTTTTAGTTTGATCGATACAAGCCTGACAAATCGCCTGTCATGGACGCCCACACGACGACCTCGGAGAGGAAACTCTCGGACCCCGACGACGACAAGTTCTCCTACATCAAACTCCTCGACAAGCCGCGAGATCTACCGGAGCCGGTCCAGTTGAATTTCCAGCATCTGAAAGAGGTCGGCTACGATTTAGGCCTGGTGGATTTGTGCTGGCCCGATGAGATCAAACCGCTGTTCGAAAATCGCACCGATTTCCCCGTCAGATATGTCACTCACACCCAAAAAGAGCGAACTTTACTGCTCTACACGAAGAACTTCCGAAAGAAATTCATACACTTGTACCCCGACAGGAAACCTCTACTCTTAGGTACGAATACTTCTTCAATAGCATCGTTTTTATCTTCCAATCTCACCTAATTTCCTCGAATTAACAGCACGAGATAACGAATGTGGTGTAATCAAAATGGTCTGCACCACAATCAGACCAACAGCCATACCCTACCCGATATTCGGATCGTGGGACACCTCCGCAGCGTTCTTCAGCGACCACATAACCTACGAAACGCTGGAGAAGCACCCCCAGAAGCTCCCCGATCACTTATACTCCCCCCACACGACTCTCCTACGCCAAAAAGGCCACTGTTTCGAGATCGCCACAGTGCTATGCTCGGCTTTATTGGGCGTCGGCTACGACGCCCTCGTAGTATCGGGCTACGCCGACAGGGACATCGCCCTGAGGATAATGGTGCGACAGGATTGCCCGTTTCCGGCGTTCAAGGAAGAGGAGGAGAAGCCGCCGGAGCGGCCCAAGATCGAGAAGTACGCCATCACGCCGCCCAACGACTACAAGAGCAAGTTTCTCACGATGATGGAGCAGAGGGAGCGCGACAAGTTGCTCAAGAAAGACGAGGAATCGGCGGAGAAGGAGCGACTGCGGTTGCTCGAGGAGGAGAAGCCGCCCGTCGACGAATTACAAGGCACTAGAGTACACGCTTGGGTACTAGTTAGAGCTGGTTCGAAGAATATAACCGAATCGTTTTTCATCGAACCGTCGACGGGTACGATGTACCCGATCGATTCGAGGAAGTACTTCGGCATCGAGAGCGTGTGGAACCACCAGAATTACTGGGTGAACTTGCAGGATTGCTCGAAAGGCTTGGGTGCATTGGACTACGATCTGCGGAAGAACAACAAGTGGATCCATCTGCTGGCAGGCGAGCCGTACGAGCTTCGCGTGCAAAAAGAACGAGAACTAGGCGACGAGGATACTTCGAGGGATTGCTTCATCGAGAAGCACTTGGACATGCCGGCTCCGTGGCCGATGCGGTTGCACATCGAATCCGAGCGGTTCTCCAGGCGGTTTCCCGGCGGAGATGTCACCACTAACTACAAGCGGGTTATAGTCCAACAGAAGGCCCCCTTCGCCTCGCCCGACGGCCTCGTATCGAGGATCACCCGGTACAAGGACTTCGCCTGCACCGATCCGTTTCTGCTCGAAGAGGAGTACTCGAATCGCAAGGACAAGTACTGCAGGACGATCTACGAGTACGCTACTGGTGTGCAGAAGGATTATTTCGCTTCTGGTAGGGAGGATGCTTTGGTGAAGCACGTTTTTAATAAAGGAGATTACTCGTTCTACGCGTGTAGGACGTTGATTTTCAATCACGCCTTGCGCGGGGATAATTTGTACAAAATGGTGGTGGAGCAGGATAAGATTATGGAGTACTTTCGCAACAGGCCGGATAAATTGATGTTTAGGCAGACGAATATCGTGAAAGAGGATGCCGAGAAGCGGGTTGCTAATTTATTCAAACACAACATCCATTCGTTCCTGCAGAAGTATGAGAGACAGGAGGATAGGCCTTCGCATGAGGACATCGCGAGTAGGGAGTTTGCTATCAAAGACCGCGAGATTCGATTGAAGTACCATTATGGGCAGAATAATATCACCGCTTCAACGAGGATTTTTATGAAACCTGCAGTCACCGAATGGGGTGACGATTTGGATTTCACCTCCGATTTAACCTACGGTTACCAAGCTGAAGTGAATGTAACTCTACCGAGACAAGTGGAGTTGTTTCAAATGTTCCATTTTCATCTAAACGAAGAGAACATCTGCATGAGTACCTATAGGTTTAGTACGCAGGTTTTATCGTAGATTGAGTTATGGTGTATGATTTTCAGGACGATGGAGGCTTACTTGGAGAAATTTCTAGCGACGAGGTTAGAAAATCTGAAGAACCCCGAATTGGACGTGCCAATCTTCAACAAAGAACAAAACGCCGCGCACAGGGAGAACATGCTGCGCAACGAAGAGCGCAAGAACATGCTGATGAAGAAGGAAATCGAAGACTCGCACATCGACTTCCTGGCGCCCTACGTGGTGAAGTACAAGCTGCCGTTGGGGGCGCAGCAGGCGCGCCTCGCCAAGGCCGAGTGCCTCAAGGAGTACAAGGAGTTGCTGGTGAACAGGGCCAATCGGCTCTACGACAATTACAAGATGTTGGACGAGGAGCTGCACGTGCTGAACGATTACTACGCCGAGCGGCGGGATTCGCTGTCTGAGGCGGAGGAGCTGCGGCACTTCGACGAAATCAGCCGCATCGTGGATTCGATGAAGTTGATACAGAAGAGGGCCGATAGGCACAAGGCGCTGTCGAAGAGCAGGTACAAGAAATTGGAGATGATTCTCGCTAAGCATCCTTTGTTGGCTGTTCTCAGGCGCACGTCCGTAAAACCCTAAAATTAGATGCACTTTTTTTTATTTACAATGTATTCAGCGACCTATTTTGACTTTAGAGTGAGTCTAAAGTCGCGTCTTTAACTTGACAGTTTTACAGGAGATTTTTTTCAATTGACAGTTTTGACAGTTTTACATTGTTGTTATGGAGTAACTAAGGAGATTCTTTCAAATTGACAGTTTTGACAGTTTTACATTGTTGTTATGGAGTAACTAGGGACTCGAGACGCGACTTTAGAATCACTCTAAATGTAAAATTTTATGAAAAATGTATAATTTTTGTGAAGTAACAAATACATTAGTGAAACGAGTGGATGTTTGTTTGTTTATTAACCTTCCCGGCACGTTTAGGATTGTTATTAATAGGCGATAAAAGTAGCCAGTAAATGTGCTATTCGACATTAAACTATTAACCATTAAAAACGAACCGACAATAGTTCAATAGTTATGTAACAATAGAAGAGTTAATGAAATTTCGACACGTAATGTACAAAAGTTTGATAGAAGAAGAAAAAATGTTAGAGGTATTAAAAGCGAAACGGTAGTCACGTCGCTTATTAAAATTAATAATGAATATACGAGTGGTAGAAGATATGTTCCCCAGTTCCCAGCAGTTCGAAAAACTTGAGAGATGGTTGTTTAGTGAGTACGTTAAACGGCTGTTGAATATTAAATACGTAAATAATTTAATAATTCCCGCGGATATTATAGAGAGTGTCCCAATAAAAAGGTAGCCTCCAATTAATCAGCTTATACTGGGTGTTAAGTTATAATTGAGTGCCGATACTTCAGGAGGTGAATATTTGGATGATTATAAGAAGAAAAGTTTATATCAATGCATGTCCTAAATCTCTTAGTTTTCGAGCTACAGGGTGTTAAAGTTGTTTTAGAAAAAAAAAATAACTTTTTTATCATAATTTTCTTATTACTCCAGATATTTTTATGATTTACATTAGCCCAATTTTATCGAATGGAACATCCCGTATATGTATAGAGGTTTCTGAAAGATATACTCGTCTACTTTTCAAAAATATATTATTTATACATGTTATTCTACAAAAAGAAGGTGTCCCATTCCATAATATTTCATTAATGTCAATTGAAAAGAGGGTATTTTGTTAAGACACCCTGTACATGTGATAAAAAATGTCTGTCTCACTGTAACAAGACTTATAACAAAATAAAACATATCAACGAAAACCGCATGTTTTTAAGCGTTTAAAAATTACTCGCCGATTAAATAGGCAACTTTTCATTGTGACACCCTGTATTATATGTATACAAATGAAATCAGTAGACTCAAACGTTGCGTTTGGGGCGGCAATTTAGTACAATAAACCGCTTCGAAAATCGACAATGCCGCTCTTCCCGAAACAAAAACCCGGCGAAATTGAAATGTGACAGGCAAAAATCCGAAACCGTTTTACGGTTTTAATTTCCGATTTCCCCCCGATGAATGCATCATGGCGGAATCTAATGGGTCCGCTGTAAACGCATATATAATATAAACTCACCCCCGAGCGTCGCAAATTAGTCGGGGAGTAAATTTCTCTGTCAAATTATGTAAATGCGCTCGCGAAACCGACTCCACTCATGCCTGATGTTTTGCTATTGTTGTTCCGATAACTTTACAATGATGTCTGTTTGCCAGGCGAGCCTGAAATACCCAGAGAATTAACGGATTTAATTGTGCTGCGATTTCGCAGCATTTTAAAAGGTCTCTCTCTACACCAAACATTTTATCTCTCATCAATATCATAGGAAGTTCAAAACAACAATTATTATTTCCTAACATGTTTTTTATAAATTAAAGTACTCGGACGAATTCACATGATATCGCAATATTAACTCGTTTAATTCGATGATGGAGAAAGGCAATAAATACATTACCAATTTCCGACAAATTACTGTTTGAAAAAAGAGCAAGCGGTAATTTTCCGAAGGAAAACCAATGATTACCATGAATATTTAACGTGGAAAAACGGGCACGCCACGACATCCGTTCCCTCCTGCTCGAATATAAAACTGAACTCGTAATTATATTATTAATTGAAGGATCGTTTGTTGGACAAACAGCTAATCACCCGTTGATATGACAAATTTAATGTTGGGAATTGTTTCGTTCCTTTAATGGCCTAGCTAACGATGCTTTTTTCTTTCTATATAAGACTTTAATTCGATTCGATTCGATTTCGTTTTACCAATACAAGCTTAATTAATTGGATTATACAGTCGGTGCAAAACAAATATTATTGTACGTCAGTACTGTCGTCATTCTTGCCAAGCATTGTGACCAACACAAAATAGATTAAGATTAATATCTGCAGAATTTAATTTAATATTAAGAAGGGTTGATAGAAAATGCTAAAAAGAAGAATTAAATCATCCAAAAATATACATAAGGTCTCAAAATTCAACGTTTGTATTATAAAATTATTATTATTTTCTTATAGTAGGTTGGTAGGCAATTGTCAGATTTAAGATCAGTTTAAAGCAAATACCAACATTTATATTTCGTCAACAAACTATCATTTGATAGAAGAAAGTATTCCCAAAAAAAAATAATTCCTTAAACTCATCATAATAATCAAAAATCTACTTGAAATCGCACGATTTGTTTTGCACGAACAGTATCTACACAAAAAATAAATCGCATATAGTCCATTCAAAACAAATCGCCTGACAAGTGACAATTAGACGTGTAGATACGTCACTGTCCTTCTTCTGTTTAATCACCCTCGAAAGACAAAGGCTGTCCCTGTGGAGGAGAATGAGGTGGAGGCGGGTTCGAGGCCCCCGGTCTTAGGCTACATGTGTTCTTGTCAGATAATAGATAGTATATCTATTTTATCCTCCGCTGGGCGGCCACCGGCCATTTGTCATAAACATCTTTTCCGAGTTTCGTATAATATAACTTACGACTATTCTTATTTACTCCGTATATACGTTTTTCTGGCAGAAATATTATTTATAGCCGCTCTCATTCATTAACTTATATTGTCGGGTTAAGTGGGAAAATGGACCTCTTCTTCGCTATGGGGATGATTTATATAGAACGTTTTTTTATACACCCTTTTACGACGTCAGCACGTTTCACCTGTCACATGTCACATGTCAAACGCGGTCAAGGCACACTAATCGTTTCGAAAGTCGCCCGAATCGGAGAGTTTTTTCGAAGCGATCGCAGTGGAAAAGTTGAATATAAGCGCGACGTCGCGCGTCCCGACGGGGGACGTCGCGAATAAGAATAGCCGACGCTTCGGGGGTAAAATAAATAGGAAATTTAAGCGATGACTAATTGGGGGCACAATTCCCTTTTGATGAGAACACAGAAAACCGCTTAGCCGCAAGTCGGCAAGTCCCAGGATATGGCGGACATCGAAAACGAACAGGGCTGGTTCGAATTTATAATCGTTTAATAAAAATTCATTCATTTTTAATTATCTAAACATTGAACAAATATTACTAGTTATCAACCAAGTGCTATATTTAGCACCACATAAAGTACCAGTTCAAATTTTGTACTAAATTCCCATCAAACAACACCTAATGTTTCGGTCACTATAAGTTCCATTCAATATTATAAAGAAATAGTTAAGATATTTAATCCTATTGGTATTACAAAAAGCATAAGAAGTTACCCTGTATAAATGATTATAAGGTATAATTGGGGGTGTTGTGTGGAGGAAACGGTCCTGGATTTTCCGGTATTTTTTTCTTTCCGAAAGTTGACGGTTCATTTACATTTGCATGGAGCGCATTTCCATAGGAAACAGATTTTCTTGAAACACAATGAATTTTCATGAACTTCGGCTAGCAAGAAATTAAAATCGCTTTGCTGGGGAAAATGTATTTTTACATCTCGGGGGAAGAGCTTATTTCTAGCCACTTTTTTCCACTGATTTGCTATTTATTATTATCTATAATATTTAATAAAAATATACAAGTTATTTACCTAAAAATTGAAATTATTATGAGAGTATTAATGAATCATATTGATTGTTGAATGAATAATGCATCTTTAAGTACGCTTACAACAGTTTTATACAAATTAAAGGTATATTTAGGTATAGATTGAAATGTAAATCAAATAACCCTTTTAAATATTTAACAAAAAGACAGTTTTAATAAAAGCGAAAAGCCAATTGATAAGCTTAATAAAAATCAATTTAATCGGCAAAAATTATGATTGATATGTAAAAATTCGACATTTCCCCGAGGCTGATTTAATTAGCAATTTTTTTAACATGCATATATTTTACGAAAAATTGAAATTTTATTGATGATGAGTAGATATACTTTTCGAATATTTCCAGTTTTTATTAAATCAATCCGACGGTGAACAATATGCATCAATGTTGTTTCATTATTATGCGTAAATAAATACTTTATAGCAGAGGATAGTAAAAATGTGGATAGAAGATGGAAGATTTATCCCACCTAAAATCACGAAATATTTCATTCTTTTTCACTGAGTTACTGGGTGGTTTGATTTAAATGTTCAAAAATTAATTTTGTTTGCTTTTGCACAATCATTAGTTTAATAATTTATGTCTAGTATATTGCCTAGTAGGTATTTTGTATCTCATATGAAATAAATAATTGGGAAATCTTATATTTGACTTCGAAAAATTACTTTATTTTCTATATTGAGAAAAAAAAAGTGTGTTAAGTAGAAATAAGTATTGGAAAATAAAAAAATGACAATTCCGCCAGTGGTGTAGACTTTATACTATTTACATAATTCAAATTGAACATTATTAAAAAATGAAAACTATTGTTTAAGTGATTCGCTTAAAATCTTCTACACACTAATCGCACGTCCTGTATATCTGCATAGCTACAATTAAATCATAAAAAAAATCATAAAACCATCAACAAAACGATAAAACCGAAATTCACCAGCTATTATCACCCGACCGACACCCAACGATACAAATCAATCAATCGATTCATCCGACTTTTATTGGCCAACGGCACAATAATCCCCTCGAAATTGAGGTGCGCTAATTTCCCCACGATAGCTAATTAGACCCGGCTAACAACCCGCCCGATTGGCCAGACAACCGCCGTTTCAGGGCGTCCCCCTCGCATTCTCCGCCCTTTCGAAAAACGTGCCGGTGTCCTCCGCTGGTCTGGTTCTGGTGGGCATCGCGCCAGTACAGTCTCGGCGCTCATGGAAGAATCCCCGTCGTCGGAAGAGCGTCGCGACGACCGCGTCGCCATGATCACCAAGCCGGCGCCGCGGCCTTTTTCTATTGAAGCGCTGATGAGCGATTGCGGGCCTAGAAGGGGCGCCGTGGAGTTGTCGCCCAAAGGTTGGGAGCCCGTCAGGGGGCAGTTTGTGCATGGGAATGTTTGCAAGGACACCGATTCGGATGGTAGTGTCGATATGGATTTGGCGCAGGATTTGTCTAATCGGAGCCAGAAAGATGGTAAGTTGTTTAAACAATTTTTTGAAGACTCTAAAAACGACTGTAGATAGTAATGAATCCTGGCAAAAGAAGTTAATGGAATAGAAAACAAAGATGTTGATAAATAGAGGATATATCAACAGAAGAAATTAACAAAAAAAGGTTAAACTAATACCAAACAATTAAGAACTAATATGAACAAATGAATCCTTCTGAAAAAGACGTTAATGAAATAGAAAACAAAGATGTTGATAAATAGAGGATATATCAACAGAAGAAATTAACAAAAAAAGGTTAAACTAATACCAAACAATTAAGAACTAATATGAACAAATGAATCCTTCTGAAAAAGACGTTAATGAAATAGAAAACAAAGATGTTGATAAATAGAGGATATATCAACAGAAGAAATTAACAAAAAAAGGTTAAACTAATACCAAACAATTAAGAACTAATATGAACAAATGAATCCTTCTGAAAAAGACGTTAATGAAATAGAAAACAAAGACGTTGATAAATAGAGGATATATCAACAGAAGAAATTAACAAAAAAAAGTTAAACTAATACCAAACAATTAAGAACTAATATGAACAAATGAATCCTTCTGAAAAAGACGTTAATGAAATAGAAAACAAAGACGTTGATAAATAGAGGATATATCAACAGAAGAAATTAACAAAAAATGGTTAAAAAACTTACTAATACCAAACAATTAAGAACTAATATGAACAATTAGAAAACGATTAGTTCGAGATTAATAATGTAGGAACTATTCCTATACCTACTTACCAAAAATTATTGTTGCAATTGCTTCACAATTTCCATGCAAGTTCAAAGCATTTTTCTTGTTCAATTTAATATTTAAATTCTGCCATCAAGTAATAATGTTTGAAAGCTCCATCTCTTTGCTTCCAAGCCCATTGTAAATTCTATTGCTCTATAGATAGATTATGTTCTATTTTTTTTAATAAATTTCGTTCTAATACCCCACTTGTTAGAACGAAGTAGATATTAAGACTTGCTATATTAAATTTAATCATCAAGCGAGTGGTATACCAAAATTAACCTAATCAATTTTGGCCACCTTCCATTCAAAATGGTTAATTTCCTTTGAACAAAATGAACCAACCATGCAATTTTCTTTTCTATTATATTTTACATATTTCTTGAATTCCCATTCCTATTTCAACTGTAATTAACACATTCACTGCAAAATAGTCTTCATTACAGTCAATTCGTTGGTTTTCTATTTACTGCTTTAATACTGTTGATTTTCTTCGAAGTGCATTAGGTACTTTTAAAAAGGGTTATTTTTGCTTTATACCTACCGCAACATATTTCTCTATTTACCATCAATGTTTCGAATGCTCCACCATTAATAATAATTGTAATTATCTGCAAGAAAACGAGTGGTAAAGGCCTGCCTCGTTTAATAACACCGTTTCATAAACAGGAAACGAAGAAATTGATAGTATTACAGTTCGAAACCCTTTCCACTGACCATTAACGCATGCATAATTGAATGGATAGGTCCTTAACGACATTTGGACAATAAATTACAGCGTCGGGGAAGGATATTTTCCGTTCAATGATGATTGTATTATCAACAAAAAAATGTGCAATTAGTTAGCATTTTAAAGAATAATTAATGTACTTAATGAATATACTCAAAGTCATTAACAATGGGTTTATTAGTACACTTAATTGAAAAACTTATTCGCACGTCTATGGTATATATTGTATAGTAAAATGATATCCCTCCATAATGCGATGACTAGACATGTACACTTCTTAATTCGAGGGTAGCAATAACGAAAATATATTCAAACCATAGGGAAAACAGTCGTTCGACACCCCTATTGTGATTGGGACACGAAAATACTGAATACAAATGAACTGCCAAGCACCAAACAATCACAGAAAAATCAAAAATTAACCTTACATGATTTTCCTGCATCAATCAGTTGTATGTACAATAACCCATTGGTCCATGTTGATAGCACCATCTTCTTCCTTATAAGAAATAGATAGAGGAAATGCACTATAGATGGACCACCACAAGCACTTTTTTCAATAAAAAGTCGAATAATAAAATTCTCCAAAAAACAAAATCTTTGAAATAAATAACATTTTCCAAAGTATATAATTTTTATGAACTTTCAGAAAGTGAACATAATATGGACCACATGGCATCCAGATTTTTCCATTTCTAGAATATAATTGACTAATTCATCTTCCAATTCACTCGGTAATGTTGATTGTCTACCAAGTTTTTGGATGGTGATATCATTAAGTGATCAGTTTTGGGTGTATGATTAGGAAGCATTCAAAAAGCCCATTTTCTTTTCTCTTATACATTTTTAATTGCCTCTGCCATTGCGTTTTTTATCCCATGCTTGTCTGGTCTTCTCTATTGTTTTAGAAGCCATTCTATGAACATAAAAATTAATTTTTGCTACTCCATCTTATAAGGTCCATATTACAGGACCGGTCTATATTTGGTCTATCGTTACACCTAATAGTCCAGACCTCACCCAATGTTTTCTCTTTGGTTCGACTGCTTCAGCTCTTCGCTTCAGTTTCAGATTTGGACGACGACCTGGACGAATCCCACTCGACGGAGGGCACCGGCTCCAGCAAAGCCCGTCGCCGCCGCACGGCCTTCACCAGCGAGCAACTCCTCGAGCTCGAACGGGAATTCCACGCCAAGAAGTACCTCTCCCTGACGGAGCGCAGCCAGATCGCGTCGGCGCTGCGCCTCAGCGAGGTCCAGGTGAAGATCTGGTTCCAGAACAGGCGGGCCAAGTGGAAGCGCGTCAAGGCCGGCCTCGGCAACGGGCCCCACCAGGGCGTCAAGAGCGCCCAGCAGAAGAGCAAGCTGGTGGTGCCCATACCGGTGCACGTGAACCGGTTCGCTGTCAGGAGTCAGCACCAGCAGCTGGAGAGGGCGCTCGGGGATCTGGCTGGAAGGGTTTTGGCTAGTCATGCGGCGCTGAGGGTGGGTTTGGACTTGCATGGGTTCCATCATTCGCATTCGCAGGCCCCCCCGCCACCCCATTAGAAAGTGAAAAACATTTTTAAATATCGATTATAGTGATTCTGTTTTGTGATGTATGTACGCTCAAATCGCGACTATGAAAGTGACACGGGACTTTGGAAAGTATCCTAAAAACAAATTATCATTCGAAGCTGTTAATTTACCTACACTTAGTGTTCGAGTTAAGTTAACCCACGAGCAAATTCGGCTTATATAGTGAACAAAATATTTCTAATTCAGTAAAAAAATTAATACATCTGGCGTGTTCACCAAGAGTTCGAAAAGTTAGTGATATTCATTACACCAACTTTTCGAGCGTAAAGTGCATTTATCTCGAACATTATTTGATTTTTAATTATAGTGCAATACACTTAAATTATAACGAAAAATTACATTAAAAAAAACGAAGAACCAGTGTTAGTAAAATAGTTATATATTATACGAAAACATCGAATGTAAATATTTGTAATATAAATGTTCATATCTACTACTCGTGCTTCTTAATACACACCAATTCCGTTACCCACATTAAAATAAAAATTTAGCTAGTATCATATTTAACAATAACATTACCCTAATCGAGCGATTAGCCGTTTTCAACCGACGAGAAAAGATCCCCGGGTTAAATCCGACGCGGCTTGAAAAGTCACGGCGTGAAGAATCAAGTGGGCGTGGAGCAGTTTTGTCACCCCTGCAGCCAGGTGGCCGGTCCGATCCTGCAGCTGCCCCCTGTATATAAATGCTCTCTATACCAATTCCTGACGATTTTGACGACCGGGACAATCGCAATTACGCGCTACACTAACTGTTCTTTGTGCAGATATTGTCGAAAGCGACACACTCTCGTCGATTTGTTTTAATGGAATTAGCGAAAATGATATGGGGAACTCGAAGAGAGGGTCCTCTTGGTGACGGATTTGTTCGGGGTTTTTTTATTTTATATAAAATGTCACTCGCAAATTTGATGTTGAGACACGTTGGGAACAAAATCTAGCTAAAATACTACATTTTTTTTACTACTCGGTATGTTAAAATTGAAATTTTGTTATGTAAGATATTTGTTTTGCACAGACTGTATACAACCTAAGATAGCATATGTTCTATCTACTTTTATACAGCAACGAATTAGCTATTTTATGTAGTATTAAATTAAAACTAGTATCTCTTCAATAAAACTCCTCTACTCTACGAAAATAAACATTAGTACTTGTATCGAATAAATCGGTCGATTTGAATCGTAATATACGAATTAATTCAATATATAATGCGACGAGGGAGAATTAATTCCCGAGATCGCCCTCTCATAATCCATTTAACGATGAGAAATGAAAAGTGGTAAGGGCAGTAAATCTTCGGGTTTATTTTATTTGGCTTGCGGCTTGCGGGGGATTATCGGCCCTGTAATATAATTGACTTTGGCCCTTTTTCACGATGCGCACTGTCGAGGACGCTTTTAACGGGCCCTCTTTCACTTTTATATTTCGCACGATGCAAACCCGAATAAACCCAGAGGCTCGTCTAGAAGAAACCGATGAAAAATATTTTTGGTATAATGCAATACATAAAAAAACATAATTTAATCGTAGTTACTTTTGTTGAAATAAGGTGTTTCTAAAATAAGTGGTCAAACTTTGGGAGGAAGTAGAGAATTGGTTGTCGGTATACAGGGTGTTAAAGAGGATTCTTCAAGAGGTATTTTTCTTAATAATTTCATTAATAAAGGCGTTCTTAATGATTCTACATAGTTCTAAGTGATTGTGAAGCGTTCTAAAGGATTCTAGACAGTTCTAAATGATTCTGGAGCATTCTAAGCACTTCCAGCTTAATTCCACAAAATACTTCTACCACACTTCTACACTCTATCATAACCATTGTGTACATAAATGTGTGAAGAAATAGTTATTAAAATTGAAATGTTTAAGAAAGGATCCAAAAAAACGAATAAAAACTAATTTCTACTCTCATCAGAAACACGACCATGATATAATTTTGTCCCCAAAAGTCTATACAGGGTGTTTCTGAAATAAAAGTGGTCAAACTTTGACAAATGAGATTTAAGTTTTTGTCATATTTTGAAGTTATCTACTTACTCCCAAAGTGCATGGCGAATTTGTTGAAAAATTGTAAATTTTTTTTCGGAAATAAATAGGATAATTTATCGGTTCCCCGCCTGTGTGTGTAACTTAACATCGGCAGCGCAAAAGTATCGCTTAGCATCAGCAGATCAGAACACAATGCCACGATGATGTATGGGCGAGGACCTCCCACCGAACAATTTGCCAACATTACAACCGGACTGACGTTGCCATTGTGCCCCGATTCTCTCGTCCTTTTCTCCCCGTTACCGGGCCCTCTTCCTCTAATTCCTCTTCCGACCGCCGTCTCCCCGATTTTCGGTCCTTTCCAAGGACCGGATCCGCTACTTTTCTAACTCATATACTCGTTTTTAGAGCTCCGAATTAATTTTATTGCATTTCTGAATACGCGATGCACTTTTATTCGTTTCTTTTTGGTGCTAAATTCGATCGGTTTTCGATTCTAATTTGGGAAGTTTTCGAGCGACCCTCGTAAAAGCGGTCCTTTTCCTGCCGCCCGAGCGTCCTGCTGCGCTCGTGTCGGGGGCGTGTCCGGCGCAAATTGCGACACTGCGACCGCCGATTTGGCCGTTGTTCCACTTTTTACGATCCCGACAATTTGTCCGGGAAAAATGGATCCGGTAATGGGGAGATTTTCCTTCGCTTCGTTAACGATTTCCATTTTCCATCGACGGGCGATTCGATCCCGAATAGACCCCCACTAAACGCGCTGGTTTCGTGGAAAATGAACCTACACAATTACTAGTATACCCGGTGGATACAAAATTCTTATATAAAACAAAAAAATCCAATTTTTTTGCTATCTTATGTAAGTATTTAAGTTAGGTACTCAACTTGCACTCTTGACTAATAATTGTAAGTATTTAAAAGTCTCAATCACCGGGTTTTCTCTTATATATACTGCTCCACAAAAGTTAAGGAAGTTCACAAACATTGAAATTAATTTAAAAGTTGCAGGTTTTTTTGATCGCCAAATTTAGTGTGAGTTGTAGAGGTAGGGACAATAAAATCCACTTAAATATGAGAGAAAACATTTAATTTCGCATATTTGAAAATTTGGTGATCCAGATGGATACAGATGGAGGTCTGTAGCTTTTAAAATAATTGCAAAATTTGCGAAATTCCTTAACTTTTGTGGAGCTGTATAGATAGAAGTATAGATAGAAGTAATTTAAATTATATTTGACGTTGCTCTAATAGATAAATATCGAGGCAATTAAGAGTTGCATGTGCAAAAAACGAGTGCAATTAGGAATTAAATTACATAAACTGGTAGCTTATTATAGGTTTGATGTTAAAATTCGATGCAAATGCGACAAAAAGGCGAATCCGGATCGGTCGAAAATCCGGACATTTCGTTTCTGACTAAGCAACTTTCGGGCTTTTAGAAACCTCCGGGGACCGGCCATTACCATAAAATCGACCTCGAAATTGTTCCAATTTGTCGAAACGCCACTTCGATAATTTCTATTCGCTTCGATTTCGAGCTAGCCGGTTTTTTTTCCCGTTCTTTTTTTATACGTATATACCAGGGGAGTTGGATTAATACTCGGCAACACAATTATTACAAAACAATTCAAAACCGTCTACGAACCGATCGTGGTAATAAAATATTCCACGGACACCTCCGGATCAGTTTATTCGATTGGAATATCACCGGCTCGTCAAATAAATACCATGAATAGTCAATGAGGAAAGGGCTTATCATCGATCGCGGTGCTTTCGGTAACGAAAACAATCGATGTTACATACCTGACTTTTGCGACGTCACGGCACAAAATTCCGTTTTCGGTTTGAAATTTTCGAGGACCTCCAGACGCTAACAATTTATTTCTACCTGCCTATTAGCTCATTAACATGCTCGAACCGATTCAAATTGCGCCTTGTGCATGCTACATTTGCACTACTCGATGCAGACAAGAATTCTTTTTCTTTCGATCCGTTATTGTATTAACTCGCAAGAACAGAAATTCTGTGTAGCATCTCTTTAAAGCGCAATAAAATTCAACAGTGAGGTGGTTTAAATTATACTATTTTAGTCGAAGCAATCTTCGAAACTAGAACAACCGAATTTATGTTTCGATATTAAAAAATAGAGCAAGTCACGTTCGAATCATTATGATTTACAAGCGTTGATTCGCAGCGGGTGCTCTTCAATATCTTAGTCAGATGTTTGGAAAAAAATATAATACCCTTTCTGCTTTATTCAATAGGAGCAGAGCTCGAATGTATTTTTGTACAAGATACACTTCAACGACTAAATTGAGAAATCTACTGTATTGTAATTAAACGGAATACCTACGTATATTAGGCTTATTTAAAGATTCAATTATCATAAACCGATTAGAGCTGGAGATTTTTCACCGGCACAATGTAAATACCACACATCTCATTGAATCGACTTTCTTCATTTCAATGCATAGGTTTTTTCCCGGTTTGTTTCGATCAGATAAAAGTCGAAACCGATGGGTTTATGATAATTTTAATAAACGTGTCGAATGGCCTTTTTTCCATTTCGTAATGAACTGACAAACATCGAAACCGCACGTAATTCGGTTTCGAACAAACCAATTAAAAAAATATATCTCGAGCGATCTTCGATTTCGTCGATTCTTGTTCGTTTATAATCGAAAAAAAATGGTATTTTCTGTCGAGATGATGATGACATCTATTCTATGGGTGGGTGAGGTCGATTGATTGACTAATACAATGCTAATTTGAATTAAATACTTATTCATCTTGATGTTAATAACCTTTATACTTGTGGAGAAAAGAAAGAAAATGTAGTTTCTTGTGCTGCTCCCCAGAATTCAAGGAGTACATTGGAGTAATACCAATAAGTAGAGGACGATTAAAGAGTGGTTTCTAGCTAGATATCCTGATCCTGAAAGGCATTGTAAACATAAAGGAGTGTGTAGTAACTTAGATTATTTAACCAAGTAACAATACATGGTTGTATTAGAGTTCCAGTGGAGGCCACAGGATTTAATTTCCCATGAATCAAGAGTATGAAATGAACCGTAAATCATCCGCTCGTTCCTAATCGAGTTGCCGCGACGAATTTGTGGAAAAATCCACGGCGGAGAAAGGAAAACGGGGAGGAGACCGGCGTCCATTACTCATTCATTAGACCGGCGTTCTCGTCTCGGGGAAAACCGCGTTCGGAAACTTCATTAGTGCTCGAATTCTGTATATACATCCGCGGTTCGGTAATCGTTTTTCATTTTGTCAACAAGTGTAATGAGATGCGAGCACGCGGCGCACCCAAGGCGGAGCCCCCAAGCAATTATCTTACCAGTAGGGGGGCGCCCACCCTATACTCTGTATATACATATAGGATGTTGCTATCTAATCACCATGCATTAAACACCATGCATCGATTTATACCTACGATTAAAACGATTGTTCTTCTACATGTCCTGTTTCACCAACGACAAATAAATCTGTTAAATAGTTGTTCGATGAATAACTTGTAAACTACAGTTAAATGTTTTGATGTTTCACCAAAACTTTAATTCTTTAGTTAGCTATTTAAGTATTTAATAGTTTAAGCAAATATTTCTAATAAACCAACCTTTAGAATTCCCATCTTTTTAAAAAAGAAGATGATTTCGATAATGAAAATGTTCATCAGATGATGTTGAAGAAAATGATGAAGATGATACTAAAAATCTAATATATAGATAAATAATTTTGAAATATAACTGAAATGCTCGGTTTCACCAACGACAAATAAATCTGTAAATAGTTGTTCGATGAATAACTTGTAAACTACAGTTAAATGTTTTGATGTTTCACCAAAATTTTTAATCTTCGGTTAGCTATTTAATAGTTTAAACAAATATTTCTGGTAAACCAAGCTTTAGAAATAGACCGAAAAAGGGAAAGAAGCAAAAATTATTGTTTGGAAGAGGAGAAGGAAATTTAATTACGATCCTTCTTTCTAAAACATTTCGAGGTCGTCGATAATGAAAATCTTCATCAGATTCTCAAACAAACTAAAAATACATACAAAATACAATCAATAAATTAAAATAAAAGTTCACAATCGAATAACACTTGCTGTTGTTGGAACAAAATTGTGTATTTTTATCCGTCAGTTAAATTTATTCATCAACTATAATAAGATCTAATTTTTCGGTAGTGAAACCAGGCATTATACTCCTCTTTTGAAAAAAAAAACACCCTTATTAATTGTATAACGCAACATTATTTTTTCGAAATGTACTTGCAATATATTATAATAGAAGTCGTGTATTTAAATAGATGTCTGCCTTATAGAGTGGACATTAGTTAGCCCGTAAACGTATTTAAACGATTTGTAATCGGCTAACAATACCGTCGGTATATAATGGGCATAGCCGGTGCTTCGGTTTCCGTTTATATTGATAATTATCGATTGTGAAACGAGCCGACTTAATTAAGACGGCTCACTTCAAAAGGAAAACGCGACACTTCCTTTCCTATACAGTCAGTCCCGTAAACAGTGTGAGAATATGTGCATTTGGATTATTATAAAGTCTCTATCTATTTTTTAGATATATTATAATGATATCTTTGACCCCTTACTATAATATTGTATGCATTAATTCACCACGAGCGCCTTTACTATTCGCGAAAATTGTAATACTTTTGGTGCAAAACAAATATCGATTATTTAGAGCTTATTCTGAATTATTTAGAGCTCAAATAGTGTCATTTCTAACATGTGGAAAAGATAACTACGCCAGGAAAATTCTTATTTCTTGATTAATCGGCTGAATAGGCTTTAGTATTTATAGGTATATTTAGTATATAGGCTCTAGTAGAAGCTGTGCAACTTGACAGTCAGTGCCTACCAACCTACTATAAGAAAATAATTATAATTTTATATACAAACGTTGAATTTTGACAATATATATTTTTTTGCTCCACAAAAATTAAGGAAGTTCACAAATTTTACGATTATTTTAAAAGTTACAGACTTTTTGATCACCAAATTTTCAAATATGCAAAATTAAATGTTTTCTCTCATATCCGAGTGGATTTTTTGTCCCTACCTCTACAATTCATACTAAATTTGGCGATCAAAAAACCTGCAACTTTTATATTAATCTCAATATTTGTGAACTTCCTTAACTTTTTTTGAGCAGTATAGTTGGTCACAATACTTGGCAAGTTTTATGACAGTAGTGACGTGCATTAATATTTGTTTTCCACCAACAGTAGATAATGCAATTATAAATGAATATCTCTATGTGAAAAAAAAAACCTTGTATCTACTATTGAATTTGTGTAAGTACCTCTATAATCTATAAATAGAAGAATGAATGAATGAGTATCCGTACGCCTCTGTATAGTGGAGTGGATATTCAATTAGAAAAAGATATGTGGCGTGACGGCCGTATTCCCATGTCGATAGGTGGGACTTTATTTGAATGTTAACGAGGCCGAAATCTGTCAAAAGTACCGCTTCCGTTGCGGTGCTTGTGGGGATTGTTGCACGCAATCCGGAGAGGAATTTCTCCGGAGAGGCGGCGCGCCATCTGCATTTCGAATTAGCGATTCGTTCGTTCGAATTTTTTAATTAATAGATATTATTTTTATATCGAGTTAAGCATATATGGGTAAGGGGAGCGTGAAGTGGTGGATCTTTTCCAAAAAATCCGGATCGCCTACGCTGATTTGATTCAGATCGTCGGCGTGATCGCGCCAAAAATCCATCTCTTCTCTGTGCAGTTTTTTCAACCAAGCCTACAATTTAATTATTTAATTAATTCGAGTATTAGGAGATCAAAGTTTCAAACCTTTTCGGTATGTCTCAAATAATCCATTTCGAGATCGTTCAAATTGGCTTCAGCGTTGATTTTAGCTTTCAGCATCATTTTCAAAGCGCCTTTGTAATCGTTAAACCTCACCAATTTATAATAGGCCTTCATGTGAAGCAATCTACAAAAAAAACAGCGCTATTCACAACTCAAATTTACACTTGTAATAACTAATAACATTCACCGTGGTTGGATGAATTTGTTGTATTTGCTCTCCTTATCCAAGCGCTCGATGATCTCGGTGATTTTGTTAATAGCTTTATTAACGCATTTCATGTTTTTCCTATCCAATTTGTGGCACAAATAAATAATCAGACCTTCCAGCAAGTACAAACTGGTCACGCAATTGGCGAGACTTTCGCCGGTTCGCTTCAAACAAAAGTTCCAAACGAACTTCTGCCACACCACCGCCGATTCCCAATTTTCCAGCCTGATCTCCCTATGATGGACAATTTCTTACACAATAATTGGGGGTTTGTGGGTGAAGTACCTCAACCAAACGCAAGCCAGCAATTGCTTTTTACCTTCGCTGTCTCGACCAGCCGTTTCCATACTGTCTTCTTGGACGAATCTGAGGCATTCGGAAGGCGCTTCGACGCTTAGACTGGTTTCTAAATGCACCAGCATGCACAAAGCGTAATACCAACATTTTTCTGTAAGGAAAATTTACTGGAAGTTTCGGGAATATTCGTTGTATGAATCCATCACCTGAATTGTCGACATCGTTTTCTACAACATAGCGAATTTCCTGGATAACGTGCACACACTCGGCGATTTGTCGCTTCGTTAATATAACGTAAGCTATTAAAGGAAGCGTTAGAAATACTATATTCTCGCATCGACAGGACGCAGCCAATTTCCACAACAAATGGCCGATGTGCAGGAACTTCTCGATTTCTCCTCTAATCACTCTAATAAAATAAACTTACTAGCTGATTCGATAGAACCTCTAACACACCGACCTTCGCAACGAAATGGTATAGTAAAGATACGCGACGGATTTCAATTCGTCCAATTCGACGTAGCTCTTCTTCATGTGGCAATTCTTCAGCGAGTAAATTTCCAAAATCTCGGCGAATTTGAAATGGTTCAGCATCGTTTCCGTCATGATGGCGTTGCCGTAGGCGTAGCACAATTTCTCGAAATCGCTCTCCGTCGTCACGGCTTTGGAGAGGCTCCAGATCGCCATCAGCTCGGCCTCCATCAAACGATTCTTCTTCTTTAAATTTATTAACAAAAGCATCGTCGATTGTACTCTAAAGATCTGCATGTTTACCATGTAATATTTGCACAAACAGCCCAAACATTCGGACAGGTTGTTGTTGTATTCTTTGACGGTATCATCGACGTTTCTACGGAATGCGTTGTAACCTAAAGTGTATTTTAATTTATGCTTCAACTTCAAGATGTGTTTGAGTAAATTTCGACCGCCGACGGTCTTGGGATATTTCAAACCGTAACGATTCAAGGCTTCTTTGAAGTACGCCAAGGCTTGGTCATCGTCGATTTCCATCCTGGCTTGTCCCAGTATCGTGTACAATTTCCCTTTGCGCAAATCCACCATCCAATCCAGCTCGATTTGGTCTTTCAACGGACCCTAAAATAACACCGAATACAAAATATTACTAATAAAACTAAGCACCTCTAGTAGCTCCAAAGCCTCTTCCAGTATTTTGATCGCGTAGGGGGCGTTGTTGTTCTCGATGCAAACGTAAGCATATTCGGCTGTTACGCTCAAAATTTTCTCAGCGTGACCTAAAACTCTTCACCTACAAAACCCTTCAAACTGCGCTTTTCCCTCACCAGCTCCTTTGCAATGATCGATCAAATCCGAGTACAACGTGTTCAGCACCTGCAGGCACGTGCACTGCGAGAAATCCGAAGCCGAGAAGCTGCGGACCAGATTGAAGTTGTCCTTCAGCTTCCTCACCGCCTTCATGCCGATCTCCTTCGATATGGTGGAGAGCATGTGATCCTGGGACCCGGATAGGACCGATTGGTCCTTGAGCCGGCCGGAGTCTTTCCATTTGAACGGATTCGAGCCGGTGAACGAGGACTGGAGGCTGTCGAGGCTGATGAACGAGTAGCGGGTCAGGAATTTGGTGGCGGCCATGCCTTCTTGGATGCTGGGCGATTCGATCGACAGCGATCGCTTGGGCTCCTTTCGTTTCATCCTTAAGGTGTGGTCCAATCGGCCGGTGCCCAATTGCCTGGTGAAGTAGCCGCTTCCACATGCCCTGCATCTTTGATATTATGCGGTTAGTAAGTTCGAATGGACGTGGAATTTAGTATACCTCCTGGCGTCTTTTTCCAAGTATCGAATGGCCTTTTCGTGGAGGTCTCTTTTCTGGTTTTCCGTTAGTAAATTGTAGGTGATTTCTCTGAATTCCGACGAACGGAATCTCATGTAACCACACAAGGCGTACTTCGGTAAATCCTGACACGAATCTGATGGTAAAAATATCACTCAACGAACTGTTTTGGTTTACACCGAACTAACCGTCGATGATTAACCCCCTGCATTCGCATTTGACCGATAGATTTTCGTTGGGGTTGTTCAAACGTTCGTGGAAATCCAGCCCGCCTTCGATGAAGTTACCTTTGGCGCAGCTCAACACGTGGATCTCGAACAGCTTCTTCACGGCTGAAATTCGAAACGAGACTTGTTAGTTGTTACATTCATTGTTCAATTAGTACCTAAAGCGGTGGTGCGGATGGCCGACGAAGACATGATGTAGATGAGCATGTTCCTGGGGAAAACGTCGCCCAAGACGGAGCTGCACTTCAACAGGAGTTGCTCGTAGGAGGTGAGAGCGTCGAACGTTTTCAATATGATAACGTCGATGGCCAATTCCGGATCTACGTCGGCCAAATTGAAGTCCTCGTTCAGGACGCAGATCTTCAACACTTCCGATTTCTTCGCTATCGTATCGAATTCTCGGGCGACGGACAAATCCGGAAAGCTCTCCTGCGACAATCGGATTTTACCTCGAGAAGATTATAATCGATTAATAGTTTTATACCCTGCAACTGTCGACGAACATTTTCCATCGCGTGCCGAGTCTGTCGTCTGTTACAGACGTTAGTCTTTCTTCCATTATTTCTATCCACAGTTTAGTTTCTTCGTTGGATAATCTAGAGCATCGGTACTACATTTAATGTTTGATACTAGTAATAACTTACCTCATAACGGCGTAAAGCGGAGGTATGACAATTCCATCAGCGTAAGCCTTTTCCCTGGTCATTTCCACCAATCCCAAACCGCCCGATTGCAACGTGCTCACCAGGAAACTCTCCACCCAACCGGGATTACCGCTGCTCTTCATTTGAATCGTCCTTCAACGAATCGAATCAACATACAACGCGATAAACCCTAAAAAAAATTACTTCTCCAATTCCGGAGGTATCCCGCCGACTTGGAGCATCTGGCAGGCCAAACCGACGTGATACCACTTGTCTATCGCCTTCAATTCCGCCACCTTTATCTTCGCATTGACGTGTAATTCCCCGACGAGAGGCGAGACCATCTCGACGCCCAGCGTGCCGACGATGAAGACCAGCTGCTCCTCGATGAGGATGTTCAACAACAGCCAGGACTCGTCGTCCATGAACTGGACGTCGTCCATGAGCAGCAGCCAGAAATTGTTGAAAATCTGCGAGGTTTGGTTGAAATTGGGCGGTGGAGAATTTTGTGAGAATTTTTACCGATCGGCAGAGGCGTTTGAATAGTTGCTGGAGGGTTTTGTATTTCTCGGCGTTGCTCATGTTGGTGAATTTGCTGGTGATGGGGAAATTTACGTCGAATGCTATGTTTAAAAAGCAAGCGTCCGATGGGGTTATTTTGGCGTTGTTTAAAAACGGTAGAATCGCTTTTTGTTTTCGGCTTTCGTTCGCCTTAAGGCGTATTCGGAAGAATTTGTAGAAGATTTTTTTGATGGCTTTGTAAGGTATCTGCAAGTTTGAATAATGAGGGAATTTGTTGATCGAATTAGTGTGATTTACGTTGTTGTCGTAGGACCAAAACCAGTATTTCTTCGCGTAACGATTCTCTCTGGTTAAATACATAATTTCTTCAAGTAATCTAGTTTTGCCTTGCCTAAACGTTCCTTTATATAACAACATGCTGTAGAAGGGTTCTCTGGATTTGCTGTCGATGAGTTTTTTCGCTTTTTTGTACAACATACGGAACAACTCGATTTCTTGGTCTCTACCCAAGAGCGGCAAATTCATAATTTCGCTAAGTGCTCTACTACTCCTTTAGAAATAAAAATAAAAAATAATAGTATTACCAAACTTTTGATTGTCGATTAAAACTGGCTAAGCAAGCGACGCTTCAATTGACAAACATCCGTACACCCAAATTACTCTTCAATTCCCTTAAACTGATAAATCGGTCCTGGATTGGGAATGCCCTTCAGCAGCTTGGGCTGTTGCAAAACGAAATTCCTCGGTTCCAGCTTGCTGTGCAGGAACGTTTCCCTATCGCAGGTCACTTTATTAGGATAAGCCACCATCAATCTCGCCGCTTTATTCACAATACCACCTATCACCGTATATTCCCTCCTTAAAGCGTGCCCGAAGGCTCCGCAATAGCATTTCCCTTAAACACTCCAACCATCAGATTTATAGTAATTAGAAGATGTGTTATTTACCAGTCGTAACGGCAGTCGCAACGCCGGAAATATTACTCATTCTCGCCACCTTTTCGTAGCAACTCATCGCGCAAGTCAACGCCATTTGGCTCTCCAATTCGTGCTTGAATCCCCTCAAACCGAATATCACCAGCAGCATCAGGTCCTTGTCGAAGTTGCTGATTTTGTTCACGCAACCGTACTTACCTTTCACCTCGCTCAAAAAATGGATTAATGCATGAAGATAATTGAAGAGGATAAAGCTTACTGGCAGATGGAGAGGTACACCTCGTTGGCGATGTCGATGTTGGCTTTGACGCTGAGATTCGCGGCGACTTTGATGTTGATGAAGAGTATGCAAACCTGGCGGATCTCCGTGAGGTACTCGATGGGTTCGTTGGCTTGGATGCCTTGCATCACGGGAGCTATGATGAATTTCCGCAGCTCGTCTTTGATGTTCCGTCGCGCCGCGTGATTGACGGCCGGTCGTACTGCGAACATCGATTGCTAATTCCGCTGGTTTCGATTAGAAATAGTGCTTACGGGCGTATTGATCGTTGGCGATTCTCAAGGCGAATAAATCGTCTTCGCCTTGAGTGGAGGGTTCTTTTTTATCGGAATGCGTGGAGAGTTCATCGCTGGCTCCCCATTGACCGCTCAGGATGCTCAAGGAATCTGTGTGAATGAACAAACTTTTAGTTTTAGTAAGTGATTATAGGAGTTTTTGTTCACCCATCGGTGTTGCTTTAGCTTCGTAGTGTCTCTGGATGTTGCGCCAATTCGGCCCCACTCCGAGAATCTAAAAGTGTAAAAATCAAAGCGATGATGATGAAGGAAGATGCGCAAAAACTGATGGTACAAATTTGTAACATCTGGTGAGGTATGAAAGTTGAAATTGCTTACTTTAGCGTGCACGTTATCGGGTAGTACGTCGATTAAGTACTCGTTGGCGTTGAGATGATGAGACACTCGAGCGCTAATAACGATTTCACCGGCGGAAATTACGCTCTCGGCCATTTTAATGTCCATTATCGGCTTGCCTACCATTAAATAATGGGAGTTTTCCTCGTTTCCGATCAAAGAAAAGGTCACGTGTCCGCAAGCCACTACCAATTTTACTGGAAAACAACCAAAAAGACCTAGAAGTTCCTATAGAACAAGATTGTAGAGCTCCAAAGAATTGCTGGACATCCATATATCAACTCGTTCGTGGATCATTTTGTGTCAACATTTTGACGTGCTAATCACTATAATATCGAAACACCATGCCGCACGAATGCCAATTTCCCGAATGCGAAACGATTCCATCGCCGTTCCTCGCCGGCTTGTCCAAATGGAGAGCGAATTGGCTGAGGATCACCCTGATATCCTCCGATAACCCGTCGACTGGAAAATACTTCAGAAGCGAGGTGTCGATAAGAAAAGAGAAACAGCGCCACCTGGAATCCGGCCATACGAATATCATTCATCCTTACAGCAAATTGAGGGAGTATTACAGCAAATACCTGATAGTGTTCTATGTGTTGGTGATGGTGACGAAGCCGATGCACGCCTGCATCAAAGGCAGATCCTACACGGAATTACCGTTGGTGTTGATAGTGACGTTCTCTGTCGTAGATGTATTAACTTGGATCGATATTGGAGCTACTTTTATGACCGGTTATCGTGGTAAAGACGGTACGGTGGAGCTACGACCCGGTAGAATAGCTAAAAACTATCTACTCGGACCGTTTTTCTGGAGCGATTTCCTCTCGTCTGTTCCCATTCACTTGTTCTACGGTGTAGACAGCCGCCATTACATTATCGTCATACTGGGAATCCAGAAGATCTTCTGCTTCTCGAGGATCATCAGGTTGTATTCGTTGATCGTTTTGTGGACGGAGTTCTACTGGATGAACAAATCCACGACGGTGGTGACGACGATTTTCTGTTTGGTCACCTTCGTGTTCACGTTGCATTTCTGCACGTGCTTGCTGATGTCGATCATTTGGATAGTGAGGATGAATTTCCTCGTCGATAGGAGTCTGATGGATAAATTGCAATCGGGACAATTATCGTTCATTGTGGCGTACAACGAGTGCTGGTTCGAGAGTTCCTCGTATATATTGGGCAATGTGTTGCCCAAGCGGTTTTACCACATCGAATACACCGAAGAAGTCATAACGATCATGACGATATGCATCGTTGGTAAATTGCTGATAATCTCCACGTGGATTATACTGGTGGTGAACATCATGGCGAACAAATCCACGTCGATCAAATTCCAGAAAATCATGAACCAACTGGAAAGCTACATGATCCAAAAGCATCTACCGCTCGATCTGCGAGAGAGGTTGAAACAATACTACGCGTTCAAATATCAAGGGAACTATTTCAAAAAGGATCTGCTGCAGTATTTCCTGTCGAACCAGCTGAACAGAGACATCGAAATTGAATTGTGCAAGTCCCTCATAAACAACGTGAAAATATTAAAAGCGCTGTCGTTGGAAAACATCAGGGAATTGATAAGGTATCTAACGCCCGAAATATTCCTACCGGGCGATATAATCATCCAATCGGGCACGGTGGGAACCTCCATTTACTTCATATCCAGCGGATCGGTGGCGATCTACACGCACTCCGGCAAGGAAATCTGCCATTTGGAGGACGGCAGTTTCTTCGGCGAGATGCAGTTCCTGCTGAAAGCCTCGCGCAGGATGACCACCATCATGGCCATCGAAATCACCCAAACCTACCGAGTGGAACAAACCGATTTCGCCAAGATATTGGCCAGGCACAAGACCTTGCTCAACAGCATCATCAAAACCGCTGAAGCTCGATTGCGTTTGGTCATTCGCCACGAGAAATTGTACAAGCAGACCCAATTCGCGCTCACTTACGCCAACATACAGAAATGAGTTTTGTTCTAATAGTTTGGTTTGTTGTTGTGGTTAAAGAATAAAGTCGTTTTCGTTTGGTTGTAGTGTTTCATATGTATGTAGTTGAAGAAATATACCTCTAACGACAACATCGACGTCCGTTTGGTATATCCCGTAGGACTTCTGTATGACCAAGGAGCAATCGATGCCCTCGTGGACGGCGTCCTTCAGAGACAAATGGTCGGTTTCCTTCCAGATGGCGAGGAAAGCGTCGCCGGAGAATTTGAGAACGTCCCCGCTGTGGGAGAGGATCTCCTGCACCATGGCGCCTATGTAGGCGTTGAGGACTTGGGTCAAGCGCGACGGGCCCCCTTTGCCCGATTTGTTGTACTTCTCGCAGAGATCGGTGAAGCCCGACACGTCGCCGAAGAGGAAACAGGCGTCCATCTCTCGATTGGTGTAGTCGTCGATGTTGTAGATGATCTCGTCGGGCACCAGCGAGGCCATGATTCGCATTTGGTTGTCGTGGGTGCTGGCTGTTTGGGTGTAGCGATTGCGATCGTCTTCTATTGGAAAGGATTTTTTTTTCTTCAAATCGTCGTAGGTCAATCTGAGTACTTTGTTCTTCAGCGCCCATTTGAAATTGTAATCTGAAGCTCGATCTGGAAATGGATTTGTTTATCGTGCACGTTTCTGTATCGATTGGTGTTACTTTTCGGCATTATTGTAGGGATTATTTTTGTTGGGAATACTTTCTTCTATCAAATGATCGAATGATCTTAAATCTGACAATTGGAATTTAGGTTATAAAGTAACATGACAGGAAAATATCTATTGGCTTCGTTTATTAGGCGCACATCCTTTTATTTTTTCTTCTTTGCTCCGCCAGTTTACCATCTATTTTCTTTGTTAATAACGTTTGATGTGGAGTAAATTAATCGCAAAATAGGATCGACGGTACTAACTATAAATAGCCATTTTAAGGTCAATTTAACATTTTTCTACTTCTTGGATGTATAACTCATTCCACGGATGAAAAACCGAACAGGCGCAAGTTTGATAAATGATTCTATTAACGCAAGCTGAACGGTGTTATTTTTAAATAAGGGGCGTTTCGGTGCCTCGTTAGCGAATAGCTAATTATAATTTGTCGAAAAACATTACGATAATTAACCATTATTATTAGATACCTATCACAAACTATTTTGTAAAACAACTACAAACTCTTCAGCTACATTAATAGATTAAATTTCTATAATTCTACTATATTTGTTACTTCAGAGAAGCTATTGATGAATTACTAGAAGCTTATTGAACGTGAGTAGGAATGTAAATGCTAATTTTTTACCAGCAAATTGATATTTTGTCGTATTTAACCGCTTGATAATTATGCCATTCAACTGGGCGTACCGAAGCTATCAACTTCAAAAAGATATAAGCAGATGTTATTTTCGACGAAACTAAACTACAAGGAATGAGAGCCAAATGTTTGTCATGCCTTATGTATTTCGTTTTACATTGGGCGTGACGATTTCTAATTGAACTACCAGAAAATGTTTATCGAGTATTTTCGGTTAGAATTTTTTCGCGCGAGAAATTAGGGATATTACCATTAAACGAGCAGTTGCAAGGGTAATCGATTTACTTGCATAAAAAATGCATCCGATTACATGTTATTACCTGCTCGAATACAACTGACTGTTTTCCGCGGCCTCGAGCACAACACACATTAAATTTTTAAGCGGCTTTTTGCTTTACTGCAATCAGAAAGGGTTTCTTCGACAACAACGGCAAATTGTATCGTTTTAATGGATTACTGTTATTACTCTCGAAAAATAAGTTTAAATTCGACATATTGTAATTCAACATCTTTTTCGAACCAACGCTTATTATTACGCGGAGCGAAGAAATTAAATTGCCTCTTATTCGTACAAATTATGCTATTCGAGTTCGACTGTTTGCGTTAAGTAAATTCTCTTTTGTACTATAATTTCCAACATTTAAAATAATCATTTTTTATGAAAGCATCTTCTTAATAGATACTTTAATTCAACCACATTAGCGTTACATAAATGGAAAAAAGGATTATAATTTATTCCGCCAGTTTATGAAACTGAATCATCCGGATAGCTTTACCCTGGAGTATTTAGGGGAGCCACCGAGATGTCTTTGTGCTCTTGTCATTCTGTCAAAAGCTTTGTTCGTTTGTCAATCTTTCCAATTTGCTACCCCGAACAATGAGTGTGAAATTCTTCATGGCAGCATTCAAAACAACCGATGCTTGTAATGCTATTTTCATTGCAAATCGATAAGGTAATTTAACGATCATTATTCATATGTGATTCATATATGATGTGATTTCAACGAGAAGTTACAAATTTAAAATGAGTCTAAATATTAACATTTTTTTCGCAAAGTAGTTGTTACTTATGTATATGCAACCAATTTTACAACTCTTGTTAAAGTAAAGAAAAAAGAAGAAGATTAAAAGTCAATAATGTCATTTGTCATTTTAGACAAGTAAACGTATTTAAATTAAAAATGTATTAACTAAATTTCAGTAAATTCACTAATTACATACAAGATTTCTTATTACACATTAACTTACTCACTTTCCATTTAATTATTTCATTATGATCTTATCTGTACCTACCAACAATGGGTAAAAACGAAGAAATTACGAGAAACAGATCGAAAAGTGAGGTTAAAATCTGTAAAAAATAAACAATAATAGAACGAAATTTAATAATGAACAAACATGAACGCGAGGACGACGAAAATTTTTTATTGGACGACGAAAATACCTTTCGGAAAAGCCACGAGACGCGGCAGAATTTCAATAGGGGCACGGGGGCTTCGAATTGGGGTCAGGACTTTAACAGAAATTACTTCGATGTAGAAAACAGTTCATCAGAGATGGCTATCATTGGGGACCATGACGACAATTCAGAAGATTCACCATTATTAATAGACGTAAGTACACTCTTCGATTAAATATTATTTAAAGGCCCGTGAAACAAGGTTCGAGTTGTATCGAGGATTCTTTAGAATGAGTGTTACTATTAATTTGATAATTCTAATTATTTATATCTTGATTGTTTATAATTAATGCATTTCAATTGATGATATTACTGATATTAAGCAATTCTCGTACGATTATCACTGTGATAATTACTGTAAAAATAATTTAACAGTGATTGATAAGATTAAATTACTTTAAAAAACAGTAGCTTGAAAAGTTGGATAAAAAAAAACACAATGAAGGAGGTCAATGAAATAATTTAGATTACATTTTGAGGAAGCTACAGGGAGACAATACAAAATTCTATACAATGTATTCGAATTTATCAATGTTTTATTTTATATTAGCTATTTGTATAAATAGTATACTAATAATTCAGTTGGTGATTAGAATGAGTAAATGTTAAACATATTCGCATTTTTTCGCTATCGATTTATATTTCAATAATTGCTAATTAAACTAGAATAAGTACTCAAACATATTACGTAATAAATTTGCATGTTTGCCTATACTATTTGAATGTACATATTAAAATGTGTTTCCGAAACATTTTACTTCGTACCTTGTTCACGTCGAAGGCACTTGTGATGATAATTATCCACTTACATTATTATATTGGATTTAATTATTATTTAGAAGACTAATTATCTGATGTAACAGATTGTTTAGTAATGTATCCTGAATCTACACCATGTTCGTCAATTTAAATGGTATCTTCAGCAAATATTTAACAAAACATATTTAAAAAGTTTTACTTACTTATTAGTTGTTGCATACCCTAGATTAGTTTTCTATCTTGGCAATATGGAGATGGTGAGTTTTCTAGTTTTTAATTTATGAAGTTATTAGGTTTTATTTCAAATTTGCTTTAAAAAAAATAAAGGAATTGAAGGAATAAAAAGAAGTGAAGGAATAGGTTTTGCTTCGAGGACAAAGGTTTTAAAACCTTTTTCTCTTCTCTTTTACTTCTACCTTTTACTTCAAAGTAAACGCTCTATTTTTTAATATTGTGTATTTTTAAGTAACACTTCTGGTACTCCTATAAAAATGATGAGTAATAGTGTATGATAAGAGCAATGCCCAATTATTTTTAAATTAAAGTACTTTGTTGTTAAATAGTACACATTCTTTCGATAAAAATTAAAATGCAGTTGTCTGAAATGCCTATAGATTTAGAGGTAAGCCGACCGTTAGTGCCTGTTAATAAATTAACAAAACTACATAAAATATTCTCATTAAATTTTTCTCTTTATAGGATTTTTACGAAAATTCCGTAGAAGCAGATTTCCACTGTCACCATTCCTTAACATCACAAGAAGATCCGAATGCTTGGAAGAAATTGAGCAGTGCAGCCGTATTCTGCGGTTTGTTTATGGTGAATCAACACATTATAAACTATATTTAACAAATTATGAAATATTTATTTAACTCGTTGCAGATTGGCGAATTTATAGGCGGTTATATAGCCGGTAGTTTAGCGGTAATGACCGATGCAGCCCATTTGTTCTCTGACCTAATAGGATTTATAATTTCATTATTAGCTATATGGGTGGGAAAGAAACCACCGACGAAGAATATGACCTTCGGGTTTTACAGGAGCGAAGTTGTCGGTGCTGTTCTTAGGTATGTATACAGCCACTTAATAAAAAATTTGTAATTTAATTTGTAATAATTGTTACAGCGTTTTAACGATATGGTTATTGGCGGCTGTTTTATCTGCTTTGGCTATTCATAGACTGTACCATCAAGATTATGCTATAAATGCGGATACTATGATAGCAGTGTCTTCGTTAGGATTGGCTGTAAATATCGTGTGAGTAGTTTTTTTTATAATAATACGCAAGATTTGTTGTTGTTTCGTTCATTGATACACTAAAATTTACATTTTAATGTTTAAAACTGCGAGTGCTACTTAAAATACATTGCTTAGATTTAAAGTAATATACAATTTCGTAAGTTATAAATTGGATTCTGTTTGTTATAGTGAAATCCACATAGTGGATTAAAACACTCGAGACGTGTAGAATATAGTAGAAGAAAAATACATTTTTGCTTATTTACAAACTAAATTCGATACTAACAAACCGAATCCACCTTACGAGAAGAAAATAAAATAGTAGAAATATTTATAACAATGTAAGTGCGTTTTTTTAAAACTACATGGTTTATAATTTCAACTTAAATATTTTACGCGATAAAAATTACTCATCTTCGGACCACAGATGTTTGAAATCGTCCGGAATCGTTAAAATATAAGACTCGTTTTCTAATCCAACGCTCAGTAACTCCCTAACCAGCACCCATTTGCTCATTTTCTTGCTAATCGTTATCCGTCTACTATTAAATCCCCCTTCGCTCTTGCTCTTCAGATGATACTTGGCGGCGATTTGGTGTATTTGAGCCCTCTCCTCCTTCGTGAAACCCGAATCGAATCCCAACGTGGTCGTTTTGCTCGACTTGGCGTAATCCACCAGAATCTTCTCGACCTCCTGCATGACCGTCTGTCCGCTGCCGCCCAAGCCCTCCCTCGAGATATTCTCCACTATTTTATCGGCGACGCTCTGGCGCTCGCCCTGCTCGAGCGTGCCGAGCCCCTTCCCGCCCCAGCCCATCTTCAGCATCATCTGCATGGCCTTGCTGTTGGGGTCCATCACCGGTTCGCTTTCGTCGGGTTTCGGTTGATTGTTCAAATCGTTCATGGAGACCTCCTCGTAGTGGGATTTCGATGCGATGTAGAAGCACTTGTTCCTCATTACGTCGAGCCCCATTTCGTATAGGGCTTCTTTGGCGTCTTTTTTCGTCGAGTACATGCCTGAAAGTGCGTAAATAACAACGGTGTTTGATGAGGTTGGGGGTTACTTACCTTCGGCTATGATTGTGTTGTTTATGCGTAATTTCGAGTAACCGTTTGATTCGTTTCTATCGATATTCAATGTACAATTTTTTACTTGGTGGGTGGCGTTGTTTAGTAAGACTGGAGGGATTTCGTTGTTGTTTTGTAACAGTATTAGTTGTCCCAAGTTGTCCGGTTGGCTTTGAACTGCCGATATAAGTCTTTCGATTTTTGCTTCTAAAGGTGTTAGAGGGACAGGGTTAGGTGGGATATCAGGAGAGGGTTCTCGTTCTCTGCTCGTTTGTACATCTCTTCTATTATTAACGAAACGTGTCCCTCTGCCCCTACGAGGCCTGTCATAAGGTGTGCTCCTTCCCCGCTTTAAATTACCGAATTGTCGTAGGTTCTGATTGTCATTGCTCGTAGAGACTTGTTTCCAATAGCCCTGGTCGTTATTGAAGCGCTGCCGGTGCCACGATTGGTTCGTATTTTGATTCCAATTACCTTGGTTCGCATTATCGAAATTAAACTCGTCCGGGTTCCTTTGATTTTGCACGAACTGCGAATTGTTTTGCGATCGGGCGGGATTGAATTGATTGTAACGGGGTTTCCTGAAGTCGTTGTTCCATCGGCCGTGCGAAAAGGAACCGGTGCCTCTTCCGCGAAACTCCCGCTGTCGCTCCATTAGTTTGTTTTATTTGTAATATTGTATCGTCAAACATAAAATATTTATATGAGGTTAGATTCGCATTGAAATTATTTGACGGGTGACAGTACCGTCAATTGACATTGACAGCATAACAAGATGGTTGATTTTGATTAGGCCGAGAGAATGTGTAAGAACCGAGGATTGATCTATTTAATTAATTTATAAAATGAATGATTAATAATTTGTTATTTCAGTGTGTTATGTATGTACGATCTGTTAAAGTAGAAAGCATACAAATATATCGCGTTTTAATGCCGCTTATAAATGAATAAATTAGACGCATGTTTGGCGATGTTGCCAAGTTTATTGTTTATACCACTAATTGGTGATTATTTTTCCAGTATGGGTGCTATCCTGCACGGTGTGTGCCACACGCACTCGCACGGTTTGAGCCAACACCAACACAGCCACTCATCGTCGAATATAAACGTTAGAGCAGCCGCCGTGCACGTTTTGGGTGATCTCATTCAAAGCGCCGGCGTCCTGACGGCCGCTATTATTATTAAATTCGCTCCGAGCGCCAAAATCGCCGATCCGATATGTACTCTAATTTTCTCGGTGATCGTGATTTGTACGACTGTGAAAGTAGCGAAGGATTCGTTGTGGTTTCTGCTCCAAGGCAGCACCGTTGATACTGTAAAACTCAAACTCGATATACAGAAAATTGCCGGTGTAAAACACATACACAGTTTACACGCCTGGGCTTTGTCGCCTGGAAAGAACGTGGTCACTGTACATTTGGCTGTTGGTAAGTTTATCTGCAAGTTACTTATTACTTTTAACAGGTAGTTAGGCAACCATTTTGACAGTTGCGCAATCATGATTGCCTATGCAATATGGGATAAAAATGCAATTTTAAATTGTTTTTAGATCAATACTGTGATAGAGATCTCTTACTCAGGAAAACCACGTCTACAATACAAAGCCAAATATCAGTTATAAGTTGTACTATACAAATTGAAGCCTATAATCAGGAGTTGATAAGTTTATGTAATGAATGTCAGAACCTTCAATGGTGATTGAAATTTAGTTAATTTGGTCATTAAACATGTTAAATAATGTTCCTGGATTATTTTTGTTTCAGTATTTTAGGTTTTATTTATGGTAGACTGTTGATTAATGTATTAGTATTTGTTGATTAGTGTTACTGTATGAAATTGTTTTCTACTTCATCGTATATCGTTTGTAATAGTAAAAAGTAAAAAGTGAGTGCCTTTTGTACAAGTTTGGAATGTAAAATTAAACTTCTTAATCGACATCTTTTTTTATTTCACATAACATAATTTCAAGAAATATGGCAACGTGCGAATTTCTCCCTGTAATTAGTCAACTGTCATAAATGTCAAAGTCTCGTTGGTAAAGAAGAAAACAACTAATATGTCTACGTTTTTATTTTTGTGTGGGTTGAATAGTTTTTAGTTTTATTATAAAATAATTTTGTTTACCCCATTAACGCCACAATTATGTTCAAAGTATAGAAAATATTCGAGCGTACTGCATTCACCTCTATCGGTAAGTACAGAAAAACTATTCAAATTAATGTTAATTTCGGTGCGATTTTGAACAAGTGTTTGATCATGTTTTTTTGATTTCACCTTTATTTTTGAATCGTTTGCGAATTTATTATCATACGTTCGTCAACACCGTTCAAAGTTTTCGCTTATTCATTCACTATAATTATTTCAACTCGTATTTAGAGGACTTGTATAAAAAGGGGGACAGTCAACAAATGTTTAATTAATCTAATTGAACCGATTCAAAGTTGCTTTACAGTAATTTAAAATATTATAAGTATTAAATCGCTGTAATTTTAATATATTTTTACTCGTTCCATAAAATATTTTTGCGTATTCTAGACAAATTATTCATCAGACGAGGTGTTTATTGTGCAATAATATCGAATTTATGTAAATGATAATCGAAATCTTATGAATGATTTAATCTTGAATCAATAATAAATTACATTCTCGTAGCGAATTTACTGTTCCATTTAAACAGCTAATATAAATTTTAATTGATTGTATATTAAAATGTATTACAGCAAGGCGAGAGTACGGTGCTTAAAACGGTACGAATTCGTGAACCTTGCAACTGTTCCATTAAATCATTACACAATACACGCATCTGCGAGTAAAAGAATACCATACTCGAGCAATTATCCAGTTACAAGTTCACAGAGATCTCTATTCAACGTTGAATTCTATTGGAAGCGCCCAGACGAGTTTTCCTCGTCTCTTAATTAGCAAAAATACCTACATTTCGGTGTCGATTAAACAATTAACTTCTGCGCTATAACAGTGGGTTATTATAGAGAGTATCTTTCGAGATTTGGAGTTTTGTCGCCTTGCCAAATCGCGTCTGACTTTTAACCCTCTTCTTATATATATAAATTTTCCGAAACGGCGATTAGTAGACTGATTGCTAACGGGCCTAAAATCTTCGCGTTCGCCGAACGAACGGCTCGGGGTTGCTATAAATAAAATACAGAAAGGGAATTCCGAACGCGTTCTAAATAAGATGCAGTAGGTTCGAGTCTGTCGGAAATGAAGAACCCGTGAATTGCTATTTTTTTCCAATAGATTTTTCTGGTTTTTTTGTGTGGAAATATGGGCAAAAAACGTCGATTGAATCGGTTCATCACCAAGTGGATCAAAAGGTTTGGATTGCGCAGTTTTGTGTGTGATTGATATTATCTTCGAAAAACCGCAGCGTTTAAGAATAGAAACGAAATGCAATAGGAGAAAGGAATTTCTCCTATTATAAACATCAAAGTAGTAGATTTTTAATTTGTTTCCATGCTTTATTTATAATTTAGTTGGAATGTTTTTGTAGAATTTTAGTCTCACGGATTATTTTGGCACACCGTGGTGTTCCTGTTGATTTGCTTGCTTTTTTTTTCGGGTTATTCTCGAATATCTCATATTCAAACAGTTTTAATTCAATTAATTTTCTTTCGTTCTTGCATAAGGGGACTGAATTGAAATAATCGCTTTTTTTTAATTCGATTCGATCGCGTTCCCTAATATTTCTTTTTAGAGCCCTCAGTAAACAACATCATCGTATACAAAAAAAAATAAATTTACGGTCTTGTTGATGCATCGAATCCCGCGTGCCATGTGTTCTAACACGAGCAGTAAAACATTTTTTTTTTCTAAACATAACTACCTATATTCCTTTCGTTTTGCGCTCTAACACCGGGGAATTCGATCCCAATTTCTCCATCATTTCGTGAGTATGAGTTGAATTATCATTACTAGCGACCTTCCCGACGACCGGACGACGGTTCTTTTGCTGGGAGTGACTAGAATACCGACGTCTCCGGCACCGAATCGCCGGCCCTACTCCCTGCCTCCGGACGTTCTCGATAAAATCGACGCTTCCGGCGATCCCTTTAGGCAAAAAACCCGTCCCAATTCCATCGTAGATGAGAGAAAAATCAAACGATTCTCGTTGAAAAGGTGCGGCGGCGGTGGTGGTGGTGGTGGAGGCGGCAGCGGGGGCGATAGAAGGTTCCAGGTATTTCGAATGCTCGCTATTTCTATTGTGGTTTTTTTTTCGTTTCTTGTAGATTAGAGTATTAACAGGAGTGTTTGTGGAATATGGAAACCAAATGCGCCGGTTCTTATGAAGTAATTAGCTTGCTCTAATATTAGTTCTCCTTCTAGACGACCGGAATTCTGTTGGAAAAAGCTAATTTCTTCATAATAACCTTGCTAAATGACTTACAGTTCGACAGGAATAGCTAAAGACGTTGCGCATGGTATAACAGCTACTCCTGTCGCACTTTTGTAGATATTTAACTTAGTAGATGTAAAGCAAAGTTTAGTTCCTTTAATGGCAATCCTCTTGTCTTCGAATACATTTTACTCGACATACTTACATAGCTATTTTAGTTTTTTGCGCGGCACTTTCCTTTCCTTTCCGTTTCGATTTTTATATTTGTATATTGTCGGTGTAAATTCACATTGCGTCCTCTGGTTATGGTTTAAAAGGTTGAGGCGTCGAGCGTCGTCGAAATACCGGGTGACGTCGAGACGGCGATGATCGCCAAGAGAACGGCGACGTCGAAATGCGGCGTCGATGACGTCGTCGCGACGCCGGTGGACGTCATGGAGAGGTCCGTCGATTCGATAGGAACGTGCTCGTTGGACGCGGACGCTTCTTTAGATATATCAGGTTTGGAATTTTTTTGGATTGGATGCTGTTTTTTTTTTTGGTTTAGGATTGGTTTTTTTGTTTGAATTTTTTTTTATTGGTTGATTGCTTGGTGTTTTCTGCATGATATGTTTGATTTTTGGTGCATTTAATTTAGATATATGTAGATACTTGTTTATCTTGTTTACTAAAGGAAGAGTTTATCGCGTTTATTTTTGGGAATTATAACATAAACATGTAAAATTCGTTGTATATTTATCAACTTATAAATAATACAAATGAGGACAATATAATTCACTGGACATCGAATTTCATCTTTCTATTAATGCCGCTCTTATGAAGAGATAATCAGGTAGATAAATGAATTATCTAGTCGATATTGTAGTTAATTTTTACTAAGCGGGGAATTATGTTGCATTCGATAGTACCTTTACATGTTTTACGCCAGTAAATATGTGTAGGTTGGAAAAAGCGTGTTTTTGATCGTTATCCATTGAAAGAAAAAGTTAAAATACCGGTAAAAACCTCGTGTGTGGGTCTTTTAATTTCGTTTGTTGAATCGATAATTTTTGGTATTGTGAATAAAATTCGTGTAACGTTTCGGTAAGGAATATTTTATATTTTATCAATTATCTAGGGATTAATTTTGGCGTAATAGAATGACTCGTGTATTAATCATTGATTCGAATCGTTCGTTATATAATTGAAACGAAATTATAGGGGTTTGTTTTCAGTTTTCCCCCTTCCGTTTAATCGGGGCGAAAGAGGAAAAACTGAAATTAGATCGGATGGATATACTACTCGTATGTTACGTATAAATCGATGTTTCGTAGTTCCGCGTTGTATTTCACCAGATACAGACAGGTATTTTTTAATTATTTATAAATTTATTTTACCGAGAATTGTTGAATTTTTGTGGAAAAATAAATGTGTGCATAAAACGTAGCGTTTTTAAATTGAATATGTAAATAATGTTGCATGTCGTGAATTTTTAAACCAATGAATTATTAAAATTTCTCGATAATTAACATATTTTTATAAATTACAAACATTTCTTAGCGATGCTTATACGTTACGAAACTATTATTTTATTTCCCACCTATATAATTCTATATTGTTATTAAGGTCAGTTTGGTAGACTGTAACGGCAAATGCGTTTATTTTTTATTAGTGGTCATGATATACTGCATTGCTTCGCATATTCATTGCACTCTGTGATAGACACTTATTAGAATCGATAGAAAAAAAAACACTTTTCGCTTTACCATCTTTACTAACCCATTAGTCGAATCGAACGTATCGCGAATAATTATCGAAAGTTTAGCATAACTAGATTATCGGTTTTCGGATCATTTCGACTCGTAATTGTCGCTAAACTCGTGGGCGAATCCCGGTCGAAGGTTTTCTTACGCCCCGAAACTCATTTCTAAACACAAATCGCTTCAGAAACGTGCTAATAGAATTTATAAATCGTCGTGTACGATTCGAGAAAGGCGGGGAAGTTTTCCCAAACATTATCCAACACAATGCCGGATTGTTAGATCTTCGTTTTCGCATCGAACCGTCGGTAAGTTTGAAGTGAAAGCGTGACACGGTTATTGAAATATTCACGCGTGATTCACCGTAGATGCGTTTTAATTACCCCAAAAAACTATTAGGAATATCGCATCCGGAGTAGCTTAAAATTGGAACGTTCGTTATCTCTACCGCACGATTTTATTTAGATAACTCCGAACCGTCATCGGCCGGTACTCTCAGAAGCGTCAGCATATTATCCCATTCACCGGAACATCATCTACCATCCTATTTGAGCCTCGCTTGCACGGTGAACGGTTATTCGACCACCACTCACTACGATCCCATCCGGCTCGCCTCCAGATCCAGGGATATATCACCTCATCGGCTGGACGCCGATCACCACCATCTCGCCAATTTCACCATACAGGTCTGTACAAGTCCTCCGCCCAAACAAACTATCCTTAGATAGAAGATTAGCCGCTTATAGTGGAGGCGTTTCGTTGCAGAACAACCTGATATCTCCTCCAAATCTAGTACCGATGCCGAACCTGAAAGTGGACAACACCATAGCGCAGAACCGCAGCGATTTCTACAGTTCGATGGAAACCACCAAGTACATCAGCGAGCAATCGTTCACTACTAATCTGTTCATGAGTAAAGACACGACGGATTGCTCGGAGAACGGCCGGCGCGTCGTCAAAACCACCATCATCAACGGGCAAAGTCAAACGAAACGCCGAAGTGAAACCACCGGTTCGGAACAAACCAAATCGTTTATACAGCAGCGCGTGGAGCGCCTCTACGGACCCGGCGCTCTAGCCCAAGGGTTCTTCGTGACGAAGCCGAACCAGCGTTGGGAGGCGATCGTGGCGAAGGAGGAGCAGCATTCGCGGTCGTTCGGCGACGTCGAGGCGGAGCTGGCGATGAAGCAGAGCTCCAGCAGCCCCACGTTGCCGGTTTTGAGGCACCTCAGGCCGGAGTTTCGCGCCCAATTGCCCGCCATCAGTCCCAGGAAAGGCCAATTCGACTGCGCCATCCAGAAGAGCTGCACCGTTCCCGAGATCAAAGTCAACGAGAGCATTGAAGAGAAAGTAGTTAGTCCTAAGTTTACCGAAAAGGAAATTATTGGTGAGTTGTAACGAATTCGCGGTGGATTAGTGTAGTAATTGGTGTATTTTACAGGCGAAAAAGGTGGTGAGTACTTCCTACGAATCGTCGAAGACCAATCGAAGAGACTGCTAGAAATGGCTGGTGATATAGAAAGCGACATTTCCACGCCGGATCTACCGGAAGAAATCGTGGGGAAACTAAGATCGGCTTCGGGGAAGGCGAGATTATTAGTATCGCAGAAAATGCAACAGTTCAAAGGACTCTGCACCAACAACATCACTCAAGTAAACTCACCAACCACAACGCAATAAACTCTTAATAATTTTCTCTTTAATTTTAATTTCAGTCGGCGAACGAGAGTTACCCCATAACGAACGAGGACCTGCAGGGGTTCTGGGACATGGTGATGCTGCAGGTGGATCAAGTGGATGATTTGTTCAAGGAAATCGCGGCGTTGAGGAGCAACGGGTGGCGGGAGCCGGTTAAAATCGCCGCGAAAGCTTCGAATGGTTCTGCTAAAGCGAAGAAACCGGCTGGGAAAGTGAAGAGCAGCGCTGGGAACGAAGAGGCGAGGAAGCAGAGGGAAGAGGCGAGGAGGAGGTTGATCGAAGAGAAGCGAAAGTCGATGAAATCGGCGCAACAGAACGAACCGACTATTGAAATTTTCGTGCCCGAAAACGCCAGCTGAGGATTTGTTGTTTTATTGATTTTTTTCGTTTACTGATAAATTGCGTATTTTAATTGTCTAAATTGTCGGATAGGTTTTTTTTGTATGATTCAAATTGCAAGGTGATAGGAGAGTCTCTTGCGTGTTTACCGCGATCGATTTATTGTATTTATCTTTTTTTTATCTGTTTATATATGTATGTATTAATACGCTTAACTTCTACAATATTATATGTATATTACCTTGCTTGTATATTTATTAGAATGTTTGATGTTACATTTCCTCGGAAGTGGTTTAAATAATATGAAATTTAAAGTCCTCATTACATTGTTTTTAAAGTGATTTTGTTCGAAATTTTATGTAATATTGCGGAATTTTAACTGCTTTGTATTGTAATTTCACCATTTTAAATCGATAACTATTCTACATATTTAAATAAATCGTTGCAATCTTTTAGTTTCTAACGGAAACATTAGATCAGTAATAATTGTAAATTATATTTATAATATTGTAAAAGTGAATATAATTTAATTTATTGTGTACATTATTTTGCGGTTATTGTTGGTGATACTTGCGGTTTTTATCAATGTAATATGTGCCTTTTTTCATCGCAAAAATAAGACATTGTTATTCGATATAATGCATTTTTTAATTAGAAAATAGAAAATATCAAAAACGGTGCAATATATTGCAGCGATTTATTGCACTTTATATTGCAATTTATTGTTGCACCGTGTGAAAACGCTCTTATATAACAATTATTAATGTTTCTAACATTTTAAATCCAAAAAAGACTGAATTTCACAAAAAAAAATCGTATCGATTACCAACAACACCCGATGTTTGTGCAGAACTATTGAAAAAAAAAGTGATAATTGTGATGATGAAGTTTTCGAAATTATCTTCTCTCGCCGGATTGCATCATGCTCTATTAGAATTTAAGATGAAAAGTTTAATATGTACGAATAATTATTTATTGCACAGATACACGTGTATATCGATTATTTATTATGTTTATTTCATTAAATGGTTTTCGTTTACGCCAATTACGAAGCTCAAATTTTTTAATCCTGTTGTAAAGTTCTCGAGAGAAAAAAGGAATATACAGTTGGTGCAAAACAAATATCAATGAACTTCACTTATAATTTACTACGTCACAAGTAGGCAGTGTTGCCGAACTTTTATAGAGTTTACAAAATCTAAGAATTTTCTAATATGTTGAATGGAAGTTGAATGGAGTTTCTAATTGGGACTCTTGCTAAATTTCATCGAATCTATTAGGGAAGTAATTTATTTAGGATTAATTCCGGAAGGATCGCTCCTCAAGGATGTTAAATGCAACCGTTTATCGATAAAAACACCGAACGGGCCTTGGATGAGATTTTAAATACATAATAGTAATGTTATTAGCTCGTTATATAATTTCAGATAAATTTTATCAGAATTGGATATTTATCAATTCGCAGGGTTTCCTTAATTGCAGTACTATTTCCTTAAATTATTATTTATACTTTTGTTAAATTGCCCGGTTTGACGTCAATGCGTTAAATCTTTTATGAATTAAATACATTACAATACATTCTGTTAAAATCAAAATTTCAAACCAAATCTGTGCTCAAAATAAATTGATATTATCATTATACAGGGTGTATAATGTACTGAGTAATACCGAAACAATTTAAGGCGTGATTCTGTGATGAAAATTAAAGTGGGTACTTTGTATAAAATTTTTTGAAAAACCATTTTTTGATACACCCTGTATACGTATAATCGATGTAACAGACTCTAACAGTTTCGGTATAATCGTGTTAAGATTATTTACATAAAATATCCCGAAATTGCGATATCGAATTTGTTTATTTAAAAAAAATAGATAATTAATAATTACAATATGATAATTAAGAGGTCACGGCCTCGTCGAGTGTGTTAATGCACCCGTAATAATTTACCTAGACAAAAAAAATAAGCAAAAACCTCGACATAGATGAGATTGATCCAATAATTATGCAAAACAAATAACAGCGATTCTGGATTTTATTTCCGAATCCGAATTTCCCGAATTTCCTAATTTCCGAAATTTTGGTTTCCTCTAAAGTTCAGATACCTTGCGTAATAAAATCGAGACAGCCCTCTTAAAAGCAATTATTTCTTACTTATCAAACTTTCAAGCTTTAATTGAATGTTTTTAACGTTCAATGGAGATAAATCGAATAATATTTTATATATAGTATAGTTTTTATCGCGTTAATTCAGCAAGATTTCTTGCAGTTTCTTCAGTGTTTCCGTGCGTTGAAGTCACTAAAAAAAACATGATTTCCATCGAAAGATTCGTTACAATTTGCAGTGGGGCCATTTCCATAATCGTCAAAGCTGTACAAGCAGTAGTAAATAGAAGATGTAAGTCTTAAGTTTTTTTTGTATAATTAGTTGTAATACATTGTAGGTCATTTTTTTCCAAAGGAGAAAAATGCAGGAAAACGACCTTTTGCCGTTCTATCTCAATTTAATGCGCAACTAAACACAATGTTTTGCATAAAAAAACATTGTCTAAAGGTTGCCGAGTGTTAGTTAATGCAACTTTTCGAAATTACACGTTATTTAAAAAAAGCCGTGTAAAAATAATTCGACTACCACAATCACTTACGTTATTAAATACTAATAGTATGTAGCGAGTGTAATGGCGGGTATTGGAGTGTACAATTAAAACGAAAATAAGTAATTGAATATAATTAATTTCTCGGCCGGGATTCTGTTATGCAAATTTTTTTCGGTTCGGGTCACGTTATGATTGAAAAAAATGCACGTGATTGGGAATTTGTTTTCGAATTTTTGTTTGCGTGATTCGAGAATTTTCCCAAAAAAACATTCCAATTTGTCTATTTCCGATGAATATTGATTTTGATTCATATAAAAAATTGTTTGTTTATCGAGTTTTATGTTCATTCCGTGTAATTACTTAACCATAATCGTTATCAAATTTCTTTTATAACGTTTACGTACTATTTTTGTAAAAATATTTATAAATGTGAAAATTAGACTCTTTTTAATAAAATTACTATCGAACATAATTAGTTGGCGTTGAATTCATTTAAAACAACAATTTATTACATTAGCAACGCGATAAATTTTATAGAATACAAAAAAGTAGCAATTATATCGATGCTTTTCGTAATTATTTTTGTAAGTAAATTAAATATTTAAGTGTTGGAGAGCCTATTAACAATTATCGAAACTGTTTGATAGTAAAATGATAATAAAAATTTATATTTGCAATTACAAAATTCCCTTTTTTGGAAGGACAGTAAAAAAATTTCGACGAAAGAGAGGAAAATATGTATTACACAATATTTAATCATTAATCATTTCGTGCGTAATCAGAGAATTTATACAGCATTTTTTTTTAAATTTGACTAATACTCAATAAATTAAAAAATTAAAAAATATTGACGGGATTTTTGCTCCTAGGAGCGTTCGACCTTCTTCTCCGATTAACAAACAATTTTTACAAGGAGCGATCAATCAAACAATACAAATATCGTACAATAATATAATAAACAATTTTTTTATATAATATATCTCAATTCGAATTAAACAAGATCGTCATTTAAATCGACATGGGCAAAATATTTTTAACGATTTCTACAAAAAAAATATGACGCTATATAATAATTATCATTTTACTTATTTTACCATTGCGACCGGTCTTTTTTGCTACAAAAATTTTATTAATACTCTCAATAAACGTCAATCATCTAACATGTTTGAAATTTACTTAATGTATTCATATCTACCCAGCGAATCCATAAAAAATTAATTTTAATTGCAATTAATAATAGTAGTTATTAATTTTCTGCTTATGCAAATGAGTGTGAAATATAAATTTTTTTTCTATTAAAAATTAACTAAGACATTATTCGAGGAATTATTTTAAAATTTCGTTATGTAAGCGATATAAATTTGTCGTCGGTAATTCGTTAAAAAACGGAATGGGACAAGTTTATTTTAAATTGCTTCCCTCCGAGTCAACTGCAATTCTTTGTTCTTCTTTGGCCTTAAAACAAACTGCTTTTGTGTAGATATGCATACATATATTTTAATAAAATGCTCCTTACAGTTGTTATAGTTTCTCACAAGCCTGTCTCAAGACCGAATTGGATTTAAACGAGAAAAACTGCAATGTTGAGAACAATTACCGCGAAAATTACGTGCCTACGTACGGTGATACTTGCACAAAAACAACAACAAAAATTTGTAAATTCATCCGCAGTATGCATTTCCGGGAAAATCGTTTTTACACAGTAATTGAATCGCATGTAAATTATAAAAGTGTTTAACAAAAATTACAGTTCTCCAATCATTTTCGCTGATAAAAACATTAATTTTTCGACGCGTTTTCCGATGTAATTGCGTAAAAAAACGCGAGTGTGGTGGAGTATGCAATTATTGTAAGAATCTCAAACTGATAATTATTACAGTCGCCTTTCGAAGTGTGTATAGTTGTAAAAAATGACCCATATATATTGCAAGTACCTCACGTTCAAGGTTTACCTCTACGCACTAAATAATCAATCCTTACGTGCACTAATTATTCGGAGTGTAAATTTTATTATGCGGTAATTGTAAATTAATTCGATAAGACTGGTTCGAGTATGGACCTGTCGCTTTACAAGTGAATATTTAAAAATGAAAAAATATTTAACCTAGCTACAACTTTATATAATATTCTACTTGTATGTACTACATTATTTTTTTTTTCAAAAAATAACTGTTTCCTATTCCCAATAGGCTATCTGTTCACATCCTTTTTGCAACTTGTGATAGCAGCAAGTTAATCAGAGATTTTTTTTAACTGGCTGTTTTATATAGGGCATTGGCATCAATTGTGAAAGTTTTAGAGAAAAAGAAACTTTGAATCGCAGAGAAGGTGATTTTGGATCTAATTCTAATTCGCTTATCAGGAGGAAATGGATAATTAGGAAAATGTTTTCCGAATGAATTAATTTGAATATAATTAGTTAAATACTTATGCGTGTTAATCGTTCGAAATTTTTATGTGACTCGACAAAAAAAGAAGTAGAAATTTGTTGAAAAATGCTAGTAATGTTAATTACAATCGATTTTTTAACTAGGTTCACAAGGTGTTTCCGAAAAGGTTGTGAGATAAAATTGAAATAAAAAATTTAATATTTGCTAACCCTGTATTAAGTTGCTAGTGTAACTTATTTTATACGAAAACTTTTTTTTTAGAATTATTAAAAAAGTTTATTACTCGTTTTTTTGATAAATTGATTCTGTAGTTGTATTTTTGGAGGCAACCCTGTATATTTCTTGCCTCTTACATTACTCTATATGTATAATAAAGTTGTCATAAATATCTAGTTTTTTTTTTAATTATTCTTCTTGTGTAGGCTGTTGTTAAAAAACAATTTTCCTAATTTAACAGGTACTCAATATAATAAGGCACTAATTTACCTATTAGATATAAATTATCAAGACAATTACAGTAATTTAATTCATTTAGCTTCGTACGCTACAAACTATAAGGATATAACTAAACTGTTTATCACAAAAATTTTCCCGATACAATAATTCTAAAAATTTCCATTTGTTCAGGAATTTTCGTTTCACTTTATGATTTTTCAAGTTTGCGGAAAATTACATTGTTTGATGTACAAAACACTATTGGTATTACATTCATTAGGAAATTATCGGGCAAATTTACAGCTAAAGCCTACGAAACTGTAATTAAGGTAAAAATCCATGCGAAAAATTACCGGGTATACCAACTAATTTATTCATCGATAATTTACCGGTTAATTACAGAACGTGCTAGAATCTTCTCTAATTACTGCTTACAGGGAGAGACAATCTACTAGGTAATTAAAAGGGCTAATAAGAAGATTGAACAGAAAATGTAGCAATAAAACTCATAGGAATGTCGTTTGAAATTAATAAAACAAATACAAATCTCGTAGTAGAAATATATCAATGGAAATAGTAAAAGAATAAATTAACTGGTAGAAATATTAATAGAAACGTCAACTGAATTAAATTGTATAACAGAAATAAATAATTTGGAACGAATTCGGAAAATATTTACAATAGAATTTTATATTTATAGGTTTCGAATGCCCATATTTTTTAATTTGCATTGTTTGTCTAAATTTGGAATTCATGAAAATTGGAAAGTTGGGATAAACAAATTTTTTTTCAACTGATTTATTCCTATATATAGAAAAAAAACCATTAGGTATATTAAAAAACCGCAATAAACCGCAGAAGAAAAATAATAAGAAACGATTCTTATAACCTTGATCACCTCGCTGATCGTGTTGAAGGGTCAATAAATTACGGGAGCTTTTCCATGAAAAAAAATATCGAAGAATAATTTTTAATCCTTTTGAATTGCCTCTCAGAACACGGAAACCGTTTTTTTTTTACTCGTTAATTTGAATTTTATTAATAACATTTCCATAAAGTAAGGCGACATTCCCAGCAATTCTACGCCCGGCTTGTACAAATCCTGATGTATTTTTTTTCGCAATTATTATTAATAAATAACCACATAATATTTACGGTTTTAATAAGAACGAAATTAAAATATGATTTATGTAGATATGTCACTCGATTAACATTTGGAAAAATAAGAATAATATTAATCGAAAATTCAATACGTTCTTCTGCAAAAAAGGTCAACTAGTATCTAATTCCTTTCAACATATACAGACATAAAAGAACACTTCAAAATAATAAAATTTAATGTAGGAAATATACCCAGCAAAAAACCTATTACATTTTTTTTATATCGTATATGCTAATTACATCATTCGATTGGAAATTCTCATAATTGTGCCAATTAGAAACTATAGTTTCGCCATTAATCTACCAATACATAGTATCTCAAATTCTATTTACACAATATTTAGGTCACTATTTTCAAAACGAATAGAAAAAAAAAAAAATTTCGATAATAAACGGAAAAAATCGGAACAAACCGAATTACTATTGCCAAATGCGAGCGTTTTACGATTGAACTGCCATCAGTACAAGTTCAAGATATTATTATGAATTAAAACTAGTGCAAATATGACTATTTAGAGCAAAGCCAACAAAATATTTATATATCGATTATTTTTATTAGAATAGATATAACTTAGAAAAATAGAAGATAATACGATGTCAAGCTTTTATCTATGTCTAGTATCTTGAAAATCCTGCACGAGAAAAGTACTTTATTTATGTATTTTATAAATGTTGCAGATAAAGTCATAGATAAACGATTAAACCTAGGTTTACCCGGATAAACTGCGAAATACTGGTAGGGGACCAGGGTACTAGAGTTTACCCAGGTAAACCTAGGTTTAGTTGTTTATCTAACTTTATCTGTAAGATAAATATAAAATGTGTTTAATTAGTATGTTGAAATAGAGGAAGAAAATATTTTAGGTATTTCTAATATTGGAATAAATCTCATGTTACCTATAATTAGTTTATAGGTAAGTTTAGCGAATTCTTAATTAAAATTAAAACGGTTTTTTCCAAAAATTTTAGAATTTTTAAGACAACAACATTTTTACAAGGCTTTGTTTGCTTCATTTGACATGGTCAGGTCAGTCGTCTTTCAATTTTCCCATTATTTACAAATAAAATTCTCTATAATATATATGCAAAAACATACAGACTTGAAAATAAATAAATAAATAATAACATTTTACAAATAAATCATCATCAGATATTGAGATTTTACTCTCAAGGAAACCCATTATATCATCCTAATAAACTCACTATAACACAGCATATTCTAAAATTAATGTCGTAGATAAACTTATGCATTCAACTCGCGTATAGTGGCAGGTATTTTACACGAAATATAAATTCCTACGAGTCACGATTTATTCCTATTGTCTGTTGCAAATTGGGAGTACCCGTACGGGTAGGTATTTACCGGATTACCCGATGAAGTGCAGTGATAGCGACTTCTCTTCTCTCTCCTCATCTATATACCTTTACCGGCTTTTCTAGCGCTATGTGTAAACAGAAAAGCACACCGGATTCGTCCGGGAGGGGCGCCGGACCGGCTGCGATTGGCCAGTGAAAGTACAAGTCGAAATATGTATATATTAAACGGACCCCGCTGGAACTTTATTTTATCACAGATATTTATGTTAAGTTAACTTGGTCACTAATTTTATTAGATCGCTCGATAGTGGGTTTGTTTCGATTCGGAACAAGTTGAATTGGTTTGATAATTTTGTGCAATTGGCGGTTATTTGTTGAATTAGAGAGTGCGGCTTTGTATTCGTTTATTGTTGATAAAATATTGTAAGTAGTTTGAGAAATTTTCGGATTTTTTATAAGTATGTAGTTAGCGAAAACACGTAAGAAAATAAAATCATAATTTTATATTTTATTGCCGATTTAAATACGTAATGTAATATTTAATGGGATTATATTTGCATAATTTATCTTCGGAATTATTGATCGGGTTTTGTATCCACGAAATTCCCGATTTATTAATGGATAAATTCATAATTTTCGATTATTATTCTAGATTTTTTAGCAAATTTATATACAAGTTAACGTGCGAATTTTCTATTGTTCATGTTACTTTTTAATGCTTAGTATCTAACTTTATAACAAACAATTCTTCTATTAATTTACATAATCAATTTGTTGTCAATTTCAAATACTTTTACATATGCACTTCGAGCGGATAATGTTTACGTCTACTTTTAAAAATAGATAATATATCATTTATAGTAGACATTTTTCGAAATTAACCTATTTTTTATTTTATTAAATGAATAAAAACCATACAGAATTAGACACTTGTTAAATAAAGAAATAGTATGTTTTATTTTCTTAAAATAATAAAATTCTTTTCGTGCAGATAATGTTATGTATATGTTACACAGCCCATTAGATGAAGTACAAACTAATTTTCAATTGCAACAAATTGTTATATCATCAACATTATAAGGAAAAATAGGAACATCTTTTTTTTATTATTAAAAGAAAATATATGTAGGCGCCGTTTTTCAATTAAAAAAAAACCCAAATTCGAAATTTCCTACATTATCAAGAACAATGTACCTGACAAAAATTTACGTAACATTCAATTAAAAATCGGCCTTTTCGTGATGAATTATCTTTTTTATTCCACCATTGTCGCACGGACACTGAGAGCCAATAAAACCACCGAAAACGACACCATAAAAATTAATAAAAAACCCATATAAAACGGAGATGTAAACGAATTTTAATCTGCAGGCGCTTTAACGAGGCACCCGCCGCTCGTTTATACGCATCAAATCGATAAGAACAGATAAATTTATCATGAAGGAGCTTTTTAATTTGTGGAATAGAATCTTGGGAAGCACATACGATGCAGTCAATACCAACTCGAACGCGGATCAAAGGAAAAAATTCAAAGAAAAAGACGCGGAAGCGAACGCGACAAAACCATCAACGCAATATAAAAGTAAGTCGCTCCTATTTCGAAAGGTGGTGGGTAATTTAATTTATTTTTTCCTAATTTTCTTTTCCCAACGTGTTGGTACAAAGCGCATCGATTGCAAAACCTTTTACCGCAATAATTCTCGTTTTGAAAATCGATTTGTTATTCCGCGCCGTGCGAATTTTATCGATGCTATTCTTAGGAAAATTACCGACAGCGCATATAAATGCGATTATTACACTTGAATCGAATTTTCTTTTGTGTTCGAACGAATGTCTTCTTAAGTCATTTTTGCGAAATTTAAATTGATCAGGCGAGATATGAATTAATTGCAATTGCGATCGTTATATTATCCCGGTTCGATTTGCTAATATACCCATTTTATTTAGCATTCGCAAAATTTTCCAATAACTGCAATAATCGAAGGCGATTTGCATGTCACCAAGGAGCTTCCGTTTTATTTGAATAAATAAATCGTTAAACTATTATTTAATAAATCTAAATGGTCGTTTGTAGTTTATACTTTTCAACCGTACTATCCGTATTATAAATTATTTCCGATGATAAAATTGATTGGATTCAAGAACGAACATGGGTGCATTATTGCAAGTTCATGTGCTAATAAAATATATTGTTCTCGTCTATCTCACTAACATGGAGAAAAAATAAAAAACGTATTATTTTATACGGAGAATTTATTGTACGACAATAATGTATTGTTTTTAATTCGCATAAAGGCGATTATAATTGACAATTAATTTTTCCGTTATTCGAAAAAATTCAATTAACCTCCTCAATAAGTAGCTAGTGAAAACAACGTGTTAAATTTATTAGATTGAATGTGCACAGGTCGCAATTACTTAAACCCAATTATTGTTATTAGTATTAGATTGCTACTGTAATTTTCGAGTATTTGTCGAACGTCTTTGCTTAATGGTTTTCCATGTCGTATATCGTGTAATTTTTAATGTTAATCGTCGATCAATGTAAAGGCATCGGCGATTTTTCCCATTAATATTCATTAGATGTCCTATTTAGAAATTCGGAATTTACATTTAGTTGTAATTTTTAAAAGGTTGGTGAATTTGAAAATTAATTCCACTGGTAAATGTACTAGTAACAATTAAACAACTTTTTACTTACTTTTTAATATAGAATTACATTTTTTTACTGAGAGATTATTCTCTATAAGCATAAAATTCACCCTGTATAGAACTTTAACCTCGAATTTAATTTTAGAGGATTCAAAGAAAGGACTAAATGGGATATTTATATATTAGCATATTTCAAAGGCCTTTATCTCTTGCAGAGATTGGGACTGTTGTAAATGGATTCATTAATCTTCTAACAGTGGTTTTGGTGTGGGATTTTTAATGGAACGCGAATCGTGCGAAATTAAGCAAATAAAAAAGTTACTTATACCAATATCATTAAAAAAATACGTATAGTCACCTACTACCTGGTCGTAAATCCTTCCATTAGTAATCCGTTTACATAACAGTTTTGTATGTACATAGGTACATACATTTTTTTTAGTCCAATGTCCAATTCTCTTCGGATTTTCCATTCACTCGGAATGACGCAAAGTTAGTTTCTGCATAAGATGATTTTTCGTTTTTTTTAAATAACCCGATTTCGTCCATCAATTATTGGCAATTTTGGTTTATTCAACCAAGGGTATTTCAAAGGCCGATCGACTATCTAACCGGTCTTCTGTGGCGTTTTACCTGACGTCTATGGCCGATCATTATTTCTTTTATTATCTTTTAGTTTCAGGAGCGAATTTACCATAACGACAATTTAATTGCGAGTGGGATTCTTCGGATTGCTTTCCGCGAAATGGCTCTTTGATTTTTCTTCATCTTCAACGTCTTTTTTACATAACGTTCTTTTCACGAACAACTAACCTATTATACTTAATAGAAAGGCGTGTGTTTTGTTGTTAGCCTCGGGTGGTTTCCATCCTAAATGAATTGGATATCGGTTATTTAATACAGAACTAGCGCATAACCATTTGCGTTGCCAAACATTCAGTTACGAAAATTTATGTTTTACAATAAGAGACGAAAGCCAAAATTGCGGTACTACTTAATATTATTACACATCACTTGCGTATACTACATTGAATGTTATAGTGATAAATGGTTAGATTTTTTTATGTTAATTTGCAAATGCCACACATGCAAAAATTCACTCAGAAATCGATTTATTCGTGATAAAATTATAAATTCCTATTAAATATTTTAACGATGCTAGAATGAATGAAATTAATTAGTAAGCGTGCCTCTCGTATATTTACTATTATTTTTTGTCAATGGCTTTCTCAGAGTCAATGAAATGATCAAAATGATTCTTCGAAGTAAATTTTAAATATACAAATCGTTATTATAGTAAAATACTTACTTACACATTCATAATCTCTTATTTCCCTTTTAAATCCGTGTTTTTATGTTTAACTCGTATGTTAAAAAAAATTAAACGAGCCATTTCACCTTCTTCTATTAAAAAAAAAACCTGATAATGAACTGTTCATAATAGTACAATATTTACCTTCACTCCGATATAATCGGGCAAAGTCAATGCTACTGCTTGTTATAATACTTATAATAATATCGCTTCTTGTAAAAATACATAATTGTATCGATTATTGCGAAAAACTAATAACGTTTATAATATTTCTAATAATGACATTAGACATACCTTTCGTGCAAAATAAAAAATCGCCATAGTTAAAATGCCTATACCCGATTCAAAATGTTATTGTTTGAAATGTTTTCAAAACATAATTTAATATTAACAAAATACCCGACGTAGATTTAGTTAGTCGAAAATTTTCGTTTAGAAATGCATAAAGTGCGGTTGATAGAATACACCCAAATGCAAGGTTACCTCTGCACAGACTTTCAATTAGAATACTAATTTTTTTCATAAATTTTCAGGTGCCATCATAGTTGCCATTTTAGGATTAGTAGGAGTATTGATAGGGACATTCATAAATGTAGCCAATCCCTACGATTTTCTCTTCAGATGGGTAAGTAGATACCGATAATGTATCAATTCGTTTTACATAAAATTTATTATCCAGAAATTGATATTCGAAAGAGGAGGCGAAATTTACGAATTGTGGAGGGAACCCCCGGTTGAATTGTACCTTAAAGTATACCTGTGGAATGTTACCAATAGGGAAGAGTACTTGAATGGAATCGATGATAAATTAAAGTTAGCCGAAGTTGGTCCGTATGTTTACAGGTAAATTAACCGTGCAATGGAAAATAAATAGAATATTGTTTTTATTTGTGATTTTTAGGGAACTTATCAGTCACGAAAATGTAACATTCAACGAAAATGGTACTTTAACAGCGGCCCCAAAGCATCCATTGATCTGGGTCCCGGAGTTATCAGAAGGAAGGAAAGAGGACGATATGTTAATATTGCCTAATATAGCTTTATTGGTAAGTCTGATTAATCATATTCAATGCTTTACATTACACTGACCCTCCTTCGTGTTTTTCATTTTTACGAAATAATACCTTGAAATTGAATGCTTCCTATTTAAGATTATTCCTTTAGTTTATCAATTTTTAAACGATAATATATTGTTTACGAACCCCCAGTTGGTATTGATATTCGAATTTTCTTGCAAACATTGCGATAAATTTTATTTAGAATAAGTTTCGATGGTCGGATTTACTTTACTATAATTGTAATAGTATTTACCTTCACTCTCGTGCGATCGTGCAAAGTCAATGTTACCAAGATTCTCGTTTGTGTTACGATACCTACTTATAATACGAGTTTTAATAAAACATCTCGGTTATTCACCTGTCGTTATAAAAACAGAAACAAATTCTATTTCGATATCGAATTATCGCCCCAAATTGATTAGCATTCAACGGGCATTTGAGGGATGATTTTTTGAAATTATTAGTTAGTGAAATAAAGGTTATATAACTTTAAGTATTTAAGTAAGTGTATGTGTAATTATTGGAATGTATGAATGTTTTATAATGATACAGCTCGAATCGTATCTGTGCGATAATTTCGATTTTTTCTTTTAATGCAAATAATACAGTTGGTTGGGTAAAGTAAATTTTAATAATTGAGAAAAACTGATTAGAGTTATGGAACAGGCAAAACCGCGTCTATAAAATTACCCGGCGTGCAATCGAATAAATTAATTAAATCGATTACGCAGGGGCGTAACTAGTTACAATTTACAAAACTGTCGCTCATTCAACGTCTCCTATTATCGTGTTTTTTCTCCAATTATCGTGTTACTATCGCGAAAAACGCATTTCCTACGTTACTGGGATTTAAATTTAATTGCAACATATGGGCAATTTATTATAATATGAATTTGTTGATTGTTCTACCTTGACTTGCGAATTTTTAACCGAAGGTTGCCATAATTTCATCGAAGACAAGGCGACTTCCACTTTCGTGGAAGCCCGTTTATCTTCCGCAAGGTGTCATAACGCAACTGAATTAATCCGACTGTTTTGTTAAATCATTTTTCATTGGGACTCATGTCAAGGAAAACCATTTTTTCGTCTCCATATTACTTTAATTAATGTTCAAAATCGTTGTTAATTGATTACTAATTGTGAACGTCTAGAGGGTAAAATTGTGGCCTAGATTTCGAATAATCGCTCAAGATAATACATTCATTAATTACTGTGACATTTCCCACTATAAAAAGAATCTTTCTTAGTGAATTTTTCTATATACAATTGTACAATTATTCTTAATGATTCAAATATTCAAAATGCATATAAAAGTGGCCAAAATATTTACTGAAATTCGCCTATGATTTTAACATCGAACACCCAGTATATAAATAGTCAAATCGATTTGCATGTCCCCGTAAAATTAATTAACCTTAACTCGCAACATAAGCAATCATATCCGAATACGAACTCTACGGTTATATAACCGGCAAGACCTAAAGAATGACACTTGCTAAATAATACAAGAAAATTCAACCTACTTTCTTTATTGGCCGGCTGATTTTTCAAGATCAAGCTGAATCAGTCGAAGAAATACGTTCGAGCTAATCGCGTTAGAATCAAACGCACCTCCGATGGGAAAGTGTGTCTGTGATTAGACCGATTCGGGGGGTAATTTTTCCTTTTTTTAGTGAATTCGTTCGACTTTTACTCTCGCAAAATGCTGCAAATTGTGAAACGGATTTTATTGCAAACATTCATTTATTTATCCGAGAAATTTTAAGTTTGTATCTAAAAACGCTGATTCTTTTATAAAATGATTCCAATTACAATAAACGATTCATTAATTTGTAAATGAATTTTTTTCGAAACGTATTCGCAATGTCAATTTGTTATATAATTTGTCTATATTGCGATAGAATTAGAATTTGGACCAGTTTTTTAGACTCCAATGACGCTCGGAATTTATTACAGTAGAAAAAGAGCCCAGATGATTTATTGATGAATAATGTCTAATGAACGAATAAAATTAGCCATTATTTGTTTTTTTATTATCACTATCATTATAATTAAACACATTAGCATAATTTGATGATGCCAGCAATCAAATAAAAATACACCCAAGTCAAATCTACCTTGTACACATTTATTCTAACACAGGTTATTTATTTTCGTTTTGCGTCAAACCGTCTCAAAATTCCAAATCGAATACATTAATAAATTTATTAATATGTTATTTTTTTTTTCTCTTTTAAACAGAGTATAGCTGACGTCGTGTCTGATTCATCCTACTTCACGAGACTGGGTCTCAACATTGTCATCAGACAAACGGAATCGTATCCTCTAGTCGAAATGACCGCGAAAGAATTCATGTTCGGATACTCCAGCAAACTCTTATCGCTAGGAAACCGATTTCTATCCAACTGGATCTATTTTGAGAAATTAGGACTCATTGATAGAGTATGTGTAGATATACAAATCCTCAAAAGACTTGGATTATAACAATCGATAAATTTTTAGATGTACGACTTCGATGGAGACTACGAAACCGTCTACGACGGTCAAAAATTCGGCTACAAAAACATCGGATTGATAGAAAAATACAAGGGATCGACGAAAATACCGCAATGGGACAGCCCATGCGGAGATATCACCGGAGCCTCCGACGGCACCAAATTCCAAGGCTACATCACGCCCAACGACAGTTTGCTGTTCTTCAGAAAGAGCATGTGCAGGGCGAAGAAACTGGTAAACAATCCACCCTCTTCTCTACTCCCTAAACTCACTCGATTACAGATAAGAGTCAACGAAACGATAGCCAACGGTCTCAAAGCGTTCGTCTACAACTTCGATCCGGACGCGGACGACAACGGCATCGAGCAGGAATCGAACAAGTGCTTCTGCAGGAAGAACACCAAGTGCAAACCGAAGGGTTTGCTGGACGTCCGCGACTGCTACTACGGCTTCCCCATCGCCTTGAGTTATCCCCATTTCCTCGACGCCGATAAACATCTCTCTGCCAACGTCACCGGCATGAATCCCGATCCCTCCAAGCACAAGACCTATTTCATCATTCAACCGGTAAGGCGATTGCAACAGAGTCTCTTTGATGAGAGTTTGAGTTCTTAAACCAGGAGTGTCCAGTTAACTGAAGTTCATGTGTGTTACAGGAATCTGGTCTTCCAATAGAACTGGCTGTGAGGTATCAAATCAACATGGATTTGGGAAGTATAAAAACCATAGCGAATTGCGAAAGATTCGAAAACATGGTGTTGCCATTATTGTGGACAGAAATTGTAAGTAACCACATCAATTAATGTCATCAAAAGCGACTATTTCTCCTCGTTTTACAGCGAATGGATAAGCTCCCGGAGTTTTTGGGCGTTCGTTTCAGACTCTACCTCAACATTCTACCGCTCATAGAGAAAAGTATGATGTTCGGGTCGTTCGTAGGGGGCGTGCTGTTATTCCTGCTTGCTCTCTACAAGTTCGTGAAGATCAAAAAGGGTAGAGCTCAAGGGTTTACTGATCCTTGGATCGAAGACGCGTTGGTGTACAACATTGATAGGAAATTGAGCAGCTACATACCGGACAAGCGGGCTGTTAGTGCGAAGGAAATGGAGGTGTACAGGGAGAGTTTGATGCCTTTGAATGCTTGATGTAAAGATGCGAATGGAGGCGTCTTCCAGTGAGATTTGCAAGATACGTGGGTTTTTTTGTAGGAATATTTCGCCAGTGATATGTAACGCAGGGTGTGAGCTGAGTGGTGCTCAGTTATCTACTTTGGTTATATCATTCAAATTTAACGTGATACGAGGCCATTTCGGTTTTTTAGTACTTACATTTTATTGTCAGGTGGAATTAATTTAGGTTAATTAATTTATGTAAATCGTACAGTTTCTTTGAAAGTAGAACTATTTATTTATAGGATGTAATAAGCAAGATAGAAGTCCGCTACATTTGTTGATTTTTTAACGGTTTCGCCACGTGAAAAAATTTTCATAATCAAATTGCATAAAGTATTAGTACACACATCTATATTTCCATTACATAAATCGGTACTAAATAGTTTAAACGTGTTTTAACGTTGATTTAATTAATTCAATGTTTGTCGCAATGTTAAATATGTGATATTAGTTTTTAAGAAATATTAAATATTTATAGAATACCCGTTCAATTTGGTAATACTTGCATACCGAATTTTAATAATTTTTATATGATGAATCGCATTGTTAATTATCATGTGTTTTAATATTGATTAAGAGTAGGTATTTGTAAGCAAGTTTAGTAAAATAAAAAGGAACTATTTAGAACTAGAACTATTATTTTTTTATAATTACCCTCCATTACGATCTTCGCCCATCTGTTGTTCGTTTATGTATATTCTGTGTTCGTTACTTTCACACTGCCATTACGATTGAAATGAAAAAAAAAAGATATTTCTGTAATTAGTTATCAAATTATCAGTGTAATTACTTGGCAGATGGCGATTTTATTATTAAATCTTCTTTTTATTAAATTTAATTTATCTTCTAGTTCGTGTGAAGTCTCAGCTTCTAAGTCTATTCGGCCATTAAACCAGAAGTTGACGTATGACAGTTTTTTAATGTCAATGTCACACCTGTCAGTGTCATTCTGCAAATTGTCTTTACCGCACTGTCAAATGTTCGTGCTGGCCAGATTTTCTTGAGTTAATTTCCTGTTAAAACCTAAAAAATGCCTCCCAAACCTAAACCAGGAGCTCCCAGTAAAAAAACGGAAACGAAGAAGAAGGAGAAAGTAATCGAGGTAATAACATTCTTTTATTCAACCGTTGAAACTTGCAACGGATACACACCGAAAGACCTAACCAACAAAAAAAACGCAATATTTACAATTTTCCATCAATCTACAGGACAAAACCTTCGGATTGAAAAACAAAAAAGGGGCGAAGCAACAAAAATTCATCCAACAAGTCGAGAAACAGGTGAAATCCGGCGGCACCCATCCGGTAAAAGAAGATGCCAAAAAGCTGGATAAAGAAAAGAAACTGAAGGAACAGAAAGAATTGGCAGCTCTCTTTAAGCCCGTACAAAGCCAGAAAATCGAGAAAGGTATAATCCACTTTATTATCAATTTCCTTCACGAAAACTAATCACCGGTTTACGCAGGAGCCGATCCCAAGACGATATTATGCGCCTTCTTCAAACAAGGCCAATGCGGCAAAGGAGACAAGTGCAAATTCTCCCACGATCTCACCATCGAACGCAAAGCAGAGAAACGTTCGCTGTACTTCGACATGAGAGACGACGGAGAAGAGGAAACCATGGAAAATTGGGACGAGGCCAAACTGTTGGAAGTCATCGAAAAGAAGCACGGAGGCAAAGGCAAAATGCCCACAACCGAGATAGTAAATACCTAAAATTCAACTCATAATTCTATAACAAAACACATTTACAATTCGTAGATATGCAAACACTTCTTGGAAGCCGTGGAAAAATCCAAGTACGGGTGGTTCTGGCAGTGCCCGGCAGGCGAGAACTGCATCTACAGGCACGCCCTACCGCCCGGTTTCGTCCTCAAAAAGGACAAGAAAAAACTGGAGGATAGATCTAAGGAGATCACGTTGGAGGATCTCATCGAGAAGGAACGAGCCGCGCTCGGCCCCAAACAAACCAGGATAACCCTCGAAACGTTTTTGGCTTGGAAAAAACGGAAAATACAAGAGAAGAAAGACAACTTGAAGCGAGACGAGGAGAAGAAACGCAACGAATACAAAGCCGGTACTTACTAATCTTTATAATATCCTCGATAGATTTTGATTTATGTATTATTTTACAGGTAAACAAATCGGTTTATCCGGTAGAGAAATGTTCAGTTTCAATCCCGAATTGGCCTACGACAACGACATGGAAGATGGTGATGATGTGTTTGATTCTTCGGCTTTCGCTAAAGATGAGGAAGAAAACGAAGTCGCTTATAAGGAGATCGATTTGGATGATTTAGATACTGGTATAGGAGAAGTGGACGGGACCGGTACCGTTGCTAGCGAGGATAGATTTAAGGAGGTGCCCGAGGAACCTTCGGAATCGAATAGTAAATGTTTGGAAGGGGCGACCGCCGTTCCCATAAACGAGAACCTGTTTCTGGAAGAGGATCTGGATGGTTTAGACGATGAATTGGACACGCTGGATTTGGAGGAATGAGAATATGGGGTTGCGTTTTTCTGGACCCTGTCGGATTTATTTTTTATTCGGGATCGGCGTTTGGTTGTCCGATGAGTTCCTTTTAATTGTAAATGGTTAACTTATTGGTTAGTTAAACGCCGGTCGATAATGTTGATTATGTAATAAAGTTGTAAATAAATTGCGTTCTATTTTTTTATTGGATTTAGGGAAACAGGATGTAATAATTTGGCAATTTTTTTTAAAAAAATCGGTCTTTATTTTTAAGAAATTAAAGCACACTTGGTACATAATTTCATCACTATTTTTTACCCAACGCAGATTCGATTGTAGTAAAAAACTGATGTGTAACCAAATTTTTAACAATATTTATAATTCTGTTTTGTTTTTTTTATAATCAATTCGATAAATCGATTACAATAGAAAATAATGGCACTCATAGCGATCGGCTATGAAATATAAATTTTTTATTTACACATTTGTTTTTGGTATAAACTGATTGGAAACAAATGGTACAGTATGTTAAATGCTTTCTTATAATCTTAGAAAAAAATCCAATCTTTATAGGGGGATCTACAATTTTTACGGGGAGGTACATTCGCTCGTTAATATCACATATACAAAACATTCATTCCGCTGATCAATTGCAACCCTGAGTGTTGTAAGTAACAATCACCAAACTGGCGGTATTTAAATAGCACTGGGTTATAAAAATACCAATTTATGTTATCGCTTAAATAAAATCGAATCTCCCGAAGCGCCTTTAACGTAATACTTATTCACGATTTGAAAGCAGAGACGCGGAAAATTAAGAATTAAAGTACGTTAACGGAAGATTAGATTTTCACCATTTTCGCCCACTTTAAAACGTTACGAAGCTTTCGTTGCGAGTCCAATCCTAAACTTACCTAAGTACTTAAAATTTACTTAGTTCTAGGCTAATTGCTTACCAATTTTCTAACGATAGAGATATTATTAACAAATGGGCGAGAAATGCACGATAACATCGAAATAAATTCCTTTTTTTTTTTGTAAATTTCCAACCACCAATTTGGTATTTGTTGATAAACGCGCCCTCGGTTTGGATACCACGCCAATCGTGAAATGTCTACTATTGAGCATTACAAAATATTAAAAAAATATCCAAACTTATTTAGGACTCTTAGAATACAAATGGACTTGTCAGTACGTAATTAGAGCCAGTCGTGTGGCCCCTTTTCGAATTCAATTTTCCGTATCTCACTGAAATGAAAGCAGGTACGGCGGTCTACAGTCTATCGTACGTCTAAATCGCACGTAAGATGCTTATTATCACAAATTGTAGATTCGATAGATTATATCAATCTACTTCAACACATACAAAAGTATTAAAAAAATGAAGCAAGATATTTTTTTCCGTTTTTTTCAAACTAGTGCAAGTACAAACGTCCGACCTATTCAACGATTATTGCTTGCAGTTTACTTCGATCGCACGATTCTACAGCTACTGGTTACTTGAAATTTAACCGCTCCGTTAATTTGTAACGTGCTGTAAAATCTGCCGCGTTCAGTTTAATGGAAGACCATTATTTTTTTTAACCATTTGATGACGATTTGAATGGACTTTTGTACTTCACCGCGATTATGTACATACCTAGGCCTTGCTAAATGATCAGTTCGCGTTGAGGCATTCGCTTTGATATTTATTACAATACTAAAGGTGTACTTATGGCGTTAATTTGTAGTAGATAAACGAAATCGTTCTGTAAAAATTTATTATCTATTGGATGTAAAGTGAAATTTGAATGCCTCAAAGCGTCGATCGTTTCCAACGTTAATAAAATAGAAAAATTACAAAAAAAAATCAACAGTAACTTGTTGTGCTCGATTCTGAAATAAACCACAACATAACCGAATTAACCTTCTGTAAAATGCCGAAAAAAAACTTATAAAAACCCAAATTTTTCTCAGGTGGTTATTTTTTTGTTTCTCCGAATAGAAAACGAAAAACAACGTTTTCGAGATGGAGCGACAACACAACAGCAGCCAAACAAAACCGGGGCTCGAATCCGCGCGAGACTCCAAGAAGAAAAAAACTAATAACAAATTCGATTCTCCTCTAGTCCCTCGCGCATCCCCCGCCTCAGCATTAACCGCTTGGACTGGGAATGGCAGGAATCTGGCAGGAACTGCCGTTGACCCTCCTGCGCATCAGGTTGCTCTCGCTGGGCGGGCTCAAACCGAACATCTTCGCCGAAGCGCACGACTTCATCGGCCGCTTCTCCTGCGGATAGATATTCGGCCGCTCCAGATAGTCCAATTTCATGCTGAAGTGCTGTTGCACCACTCGATTCACAGCCATTGCCGATTCCGCGAACTGGGACAGCTCCAGCGCGGAATTGTTCTTCTTAATCACAGCTGGTGTTGTCAAAGCAGCTGCAATTAATAAGATTCAGATGAGATGAGTTGGTGGTAGAAGAGAGTTTAGATGTTACCTGTATTACTAGCGACTTGGAGCCAAGGATGCATCAGCACCTTTTCGGCGCTGATGCGATCGCTGGCGTTCTTCACCAACAAACAGGATATCAGATCTTTGGCCTCGTCCGAGATGGCCGTCCATTCGGGCTCGGGAAAATCGTAGCGGCCCTCCTGTATCATCTGGAAGAGCAGCTCCTGGCAGGAGTTGCAATTGTCGCCGCGCTCCCAGCCGCAATCCTTGCCGCACTTGCCGTAGAACGGCGGATAGCCGCACAACAGGATGTACATGATGACGCCCAACGACCACAGATCGCAACGTTTGTCGTACGAAGTCGACTCGGAATCGCCGATGAAGGCTTCGACGACTTCGGGCGCCATGAATTCGGCGCTACCAACCTAAATTACATCGTTTAATGAATGTTTTTTGCTTGGGAACTTGTAATAACTTACCGGTGTTAGCAGCTGTGGGGTGGCTAATGGACTGGAAACGCTCGATTGGAAGCGGATGCCGGAGCCCAAATCGAAATCGCAGATTTTCACGGGACACAGTCGGTCCTTGTGCACGCAAAGGATGTTTTCCGGCTTGAGATCTCGATGGGCTATGCCTTTGGCGTGCATGAATTGCAACGCGGACGCCACCTCGCGGATGATTTCCGCCGCCGCCGCCTCGCTGAAATACTTGTACTCCTGGATCCTTCTCAACAGTTGACCTCCGTTAATCTGTAACGAATGTATCACGTCGATAAAGGACATTCGAAGTTAACGTAACATTTAAATTAAATATATCTGTCACATCAAGATTTTCATTTCAACCCGGCAACGTTGCAACATGTTGGCTCGTGACGTCGTTGCCTAGCGAGCGCGAATGTCCTTTAATTGTTGTAGTATAGGCACGTGTTAAGTGCTTTTTTTTCTATTTCAAATAGATCGCAATGAAGAATTTATTATTAGCTTCCTGTCGTAGATGCGCTAGTGGGGAAAAATTCGCCTACGCGAGAATGATTTAGCGAAAATTCGCACGTCGGGTTGCCAGACGGAGATCGTATAATAGAGAATTGTAGGTCAAGCAACTTTCGACGCACAATTTATATATATACATTTCTTACCTTTTCAAAAACCAAATAAAACTTTTCTTCGTCTTCGAAAAATTCCGTCAATTGGATGATGTTCTGATGGCCCTGGCAATGGTGGAACGTTTCGACTTCCCTGAACACCCTGCCTCTGGCGTGACCTGGAATTTTGTCGATGATCTTGACAGCAAATTCTTGATCGGTGAACAAGCTCACGCAAGTTTGGACGCTGGCGTAGGCGCCTTCTCCCAAAACTTCACCGGTTAGTTTGTAAAGATCTGTAAAGATTAAAATAAGTGTTGATTCGATGGAAAAAGGGCAGCAAACTTTGTGATTCCTCTACAAGGAATTTGTAACTTTGGGGCAGGATATTTGCATGATTTTCACTTGCAAATCGGTCTTTTAGTTGCTTCTATTTCTTTATTAAATGAAGCAACAATCATAGTAATTATTAAGGTAAGATTAATCAATACGAATCATTTATTGGAAGTAATGATTCTGCTAGAAAAGATTCATAAGTTGTATTTATTGTTGCATAGATGCAGAGGATGTAAATATAATAGATAAAATATGCATAGAAAAATAAGATGTATTCAATTTTACTAATACATTTTTGTAAGCCAAATTTCGGTTTATATTTGATTCGCTCTCGTTATTGGATTTGTTGGATAAGACACTATCATTACAAGTCAATAACATTTTATTGACCTAGGTATTGTTTTATACATTTATTTAAACAAAAGTTGCTTAATTTGTTATGGATCGAATTTAATTCTGCAGGCTAAGCGAAACCCAATTTTGCGATAATCGAATAAATATTTACAATTCTAATATAAAAACATTGTCAATAAATTAACATTGTAAGTGGAGAGATTATTAAATGAAAAAAATAACCAATTTATGCAACTTATTTGCCAAAAATATGTTGTTTTTAGCGAAGTGGAAAACGTAAAAACATTTCTATGAAAGTCGCACGTCATTTCGCTTGGCCGAAAATTTAACGAATAATTTTTTGGACCGGACGCAAATTCGTACTATTTTTAATCCGATATCAACAGATGTTAATAATTTCTTTGTTTGTATTTTCTCGCATAAAAACCAGGAAACACAACGAACAAAGTAATTCATTTTCTATGTTATGTTTATAAAAAGATCTACAGTTATTGTTAATCGGGTTAAATGCACGAAACAATAAACTATTTCATTTATATCATTTATTTGTAGTATCAACTATTGTTTCAGATTAGATTTTTTTCGTTGCTTTATCCGAGTGTTTTCGATTTCGTAATTATCAAGTACAATAGAAAAGGCTAAAAGGATTAAACAAAACAAAACCAACAGCCAAGTTAATCGTTATACCCGATAGTTTATTGCATTATAAATTAATTATGAATATAAAAATGCATAAATCAACTAATAAGAACATCAAATATTTGATAATTTAAGTAATAAGTAGCAATGTAATTAACATTTTATCATCCAGACATAACGAGTGGTACAACATTTATCTGTTCATGCAAATACCTCGCAATCAATCCGCCGAAAATACCCAAAATTATTAAAAAAACCGAAACATTGCATCATCCATTAAACGACCCGAATGCAGCCGGAAAAGTTTTTCAAATTACCACTCGATTAGTCAAAAAAAAATATTATTATTTTAGCGCAAAACGCCACCTAATGACTCAACAATCTAATCGCCAGTAATTTTTTTCGTACACCCATAAATACCTGACTCAGTTATGCTAATGGGACGCGTAATTAATACACCTATACCCGAACACAGTCACGTTCCACCGCGCTTTTACCAGAATATCCTCGATCAGAGAGGAAAAAAATAGAGGAAAAAATAATTCCATTTCCACGTACCTTGAAAACAGGACGACACCAAGGACGAGCCGGTGCGTTTCTTCTTGCGCCGCCTCCTCTTAGCCTCCTCCTTGCGACGGGCGAGCTCCCGGGCGCGCGTATCGGCGTCCATCTGATCGCCGCTGTCGGAGGCGCTGCCGCCGCCCCCGTTACATCGATCGATGCTGTCAACATTATTGATCACGATGCCGTTGCAATCTGCGAAACAAATACCTTTTTTCAATCCCTAAAGCTAAGATTATATGTTACTGAACGAGTGCAGTTGACGATTCTAATTTATGCACCGAAAAATCGGGTTTCGCGTTGAAGATTTGCGCGTGTGGGTGTTCGCCAATTGCACTCATTCGACACTGTTATAATCTTTAAATCAGGAAACAACTATTTTCCAAATACATTCAACGGTTACATTTCTTCACATATTTTTTGTTAACACGTTAACTGCCGTGTTGGTTCAATAGAACGAGCTTGAACCATTATCCAAGAGCTATGTTCAGGTCCAGGTGCTGCACTTGGAGCCTTTGAACTAGCACCTTTTGGTCCCATAAAGCCTAATCAAAAATAGTTCCATGGCAATGAATTTGTTAAAAACCCAGACCTTTTTGGAGAGCGCACAATTAACTTTTGACCCATTTTATATGGTCAGTATTAGTACGAATTTCTCATTATAATCTATGATGAGGCTAATGTACTGCAATCCAATGGTTAGCCTTGACACCGTCTTTATTCGATCATCGACTGATAAGATGTCTCGATTAATGTTGATTTGTACAAGACAACAAATAAAATTCGAAACGTTTCCAATGTTTGTTTACCTATACAAGTATTGTTATTTTATTGGTTTCTCTCCCGAGAGATCGTTACCACAAGTCTTCCTGTAATATATCAGTTTAACAATGTTTTTCTTGTGGTTAATTAAACCAAACGCATTGTTTCGGAAGAGTTAAGTCTATTAATATACTGTTTAGGTGATAATCTGGTGGAATAAGATAAGGGACAATGTACCTACAAAGTCGACAAATAAGATCGAAAACGTCTCCGATATTTGTTTGCGCACAAACTCGTATATTGTTTTATTTTATAGGTTTCTCTCGAGCGAATTCGTTGCGACAAATCATCCTGCATATTCCTAATCGCTCTCTTCAAGGTCTACCATTTACCGTTCCACTTGTAATGTACATGTACATGATCGTGCGAGTCGATACGATTGATTAACAAGTAAAAAAAAATCTAATAATAGTTTTATTATTATTTAATAATTTCGATTCGCAATCGAACGAAATTCAATAACCCGATTAATTCGAGAAAGGTCAATTCAATGACGCGCAGGCGAATCCGAGCGGAACGTCGAAAATTACGTGTAACATTAATTAAAACAATGTTCACATTACTTTTTTTTTATTTAGCGGAGCTTCGAATCTGCTGATAAAAGAGGAACCTAAAGTTTCCGTGACGCAAACCATCGGAACACTAATTTAGCAATATAAAAAAATTGCGCACAAATAAGCACAGAATTTTATACATATCACCGTCGTATAGCAACAATGTAACATGTGAAGCATTACAATTATAATAGAACAGTTTTTTTTTGCTGTTTTAGTACCTGTTTTAAGCGGTGATGTAACCCTATTAATGAATTAATTGTGTGTGTACTGACCAAAACAAACGATTAATTAATAATTAACCAATAAAAAAAAATCTCGTACGTGTAGTATTTGTTCTAGTTCAACAGTACAGCCTGTCATCGCTTTTGCATTTCAAAAAGTAGGTACGATAAAAATTAAAAAACAATACTTGGCGATTTTCGCATAGCGATCGCGTTAAAATTATTATCGAGAAACACTCCGTACTTGCGCATTGTTCGAATTTCGTTTCGAAGGATTCGAAATTTCGCATTCTGTAACTCGAAATTAACGCTATTATTTACGTTCGGTTATCATCCCATAAAATTTCATATACAACCTTACAATAATTATGTATGTTTGGATGGCGCAAATAAAACCGTCGCACGGGTTAACGTTATGCCAAATATTTAAAGTGCGTTTAATTTTTCTAATTCTAAACACTGCGGAATTAAAATTGCGATTCGAGTGGTTGTTGTTGTTTTTGCGAATTTTTTACGTATCAAAAAAATTACGCAACAAGCTTAAATTATCGCTAAGAGCATTATTTTTTGTTCAATTGGGGGGCTTAAAACCCGTAAGGATTCCCCAACGTAACGTTAATTCTTGCATAATAAGCGGGGTGAGGATTTCTGATGAAATTTCCGAGCGAAAAATGAAATATTTCCAACGATTTATAACGAGTTGCACTTGCATCTAATACCCGGCTTACATAACAAATAAATTAACTGCATCTCGTTATCCGGAGGGTACTGACCTGACAAGTTCGGAGATATAGCGAATTTGCAGCGAATTCGAAATAATTAGAGAGCCTTTTTATTCTGCGAAAGGCGCTTAATTAGAGCCGGCCGGCGATTATTATCAATTCACCTAAAAAATTACGTCTACTTTACGTAACGTAAAGTCGTAAAGGGGAAGTGCGATTAATTAATTACACCTCTTTTTTTGTAAATAATTAATTTACGTGTATTTTCGTGTAAATATAAATATTGCGCTGTTAGTTTGGAATTAAATTTAACGAGGAATAGATAAATGTAGGTAGGAGAAAACACCTGGAGTTGTAAAATTCGTTAATACGGATCTGTCAACAAAAACAAAGGATCGGCGTATTCGAGATTTAATTACGAAATATAAACGAATATAATGCGTTTCAACGAACGTTAGTAATTAGTAATATGAATTCATTGGTTTTATGATCGGTTTTGTAGAAAAGCTCACCATAATTTTCAGTCTCTTCGATAATTCTTTCAACCATATTTCCGCTTTGTTGGATTTCGATCAGAAAGGACGTCGTGCGATCTAATTTGTAATTTATCTACCACCTATCGCGGATCGATCGGGCTGATAATTAGGATATTAAACGGCCGGTCACTGGCGACTACTTTTAGGCACAAAGAAAAGATTTCGTTGGTTTCGTTTGCTCGCACTATCTTCCCATATCGTACACGTCTCCGCTCCGCTGATGTTAAATTCCGACTGTTCTGTGTTGTGTGTTTTCGGCGTCATTTCGCGTTCCTTCTCTCTTCCATCTCTTCGGTCACGTAGCCGGTTTGGTGCGATTGCGCCCACCATTCCGCTTACGTGGATACTACGATTCCTAAATGACGCGATTGCCAAGTCGATTCCCTTGTACATCTATACCCATACATTCGCACAAAAGGCTCCTGAACGATGGAAATTTCCTTTTGCCGGTTGCTCCGGGTGGTTGTTAAAGCGCGAGGGGTGCTCTCCAAGGACGAGAAGTTGCTACAATAAGACTTGCATCTGCATGTTGAATTTGCGCTCTATAAGCTTATATCTTTATTGTTTATTAATCTTTTTATATTTAGTTCGAAGGGAAAACTTGCGAGAAATCAGTGCAAGTAGGCATCTGCAAGTTGACTTTTTACTATCAAGTACAATTAGCTGTATTATTTATTGATCTTTTCTCATAGGTTTCGGAGAATAACGAACCGGGAAGACTCGTAATAACTTTGCCAGTTGCCAAAGAATACAAAAATACTTAGTACTTTTGACTTAATTACTGATTATTTCTGGAAGTTCCAAAAGTATCACAGAAGGGAAAGTGTAATAATTATTTGTGGGTACTCCTGAAGAATCCTCAATTAATAATATCAAATAAAATCTAGTCTATTCTGAGTTGAAACAATCTCTGGTACAATTAACCAATGGAAATATGTAAAGAACTATAATTATAGAATCATCCTTAACTGTTTCCAAGTTGTAAATGTCCATTATATAAATTTAATTTCCTCAGAAACCAGACGTGAAGCGGTTTTATGCGAAACATCGGCTAATGAAATGCAACCCCACCTACTTCCTATTTACTTATAGCCATTCGAACTTTTACTCAAGGTTTGTTTTTTTGTAATTTCTCCAAAAACCTATATCAACCATAAACAAACGAGCCATCATCGTTTTTAATTAGCAAATACGAACCATTAAGTTTATCAGGGAGAAACAATATTTCGAAGACCTCGATTCGAGTGGGTTTTTATCGAAATTCAACCGGCAACGTTGACCTCAAACGCACGCCGAACTTGTTATTTTATTCCGAGTCGTATGATTTCTAGAGTGTTCGCTGGGCGATATATCGAAGGAATTTCGTACGCAGTTTTCTGTCGAAAGATTTACATACATATCGCGAAAAAGCGCCGCAGAGTTCCAGTTACCAACTGCGAAGGTATCGCGCGATTTTACAACGAAACAGGATGATGAAATAATACAGCGCAAATGATTTTTTTTTATCGCTGACATAACTTCTATTATCGGGTTTGTTTGTATGTCAAAGGGTGAAGATATTTGAAAATGATTTACCTCTCTTGGTCGTGTCCTCCGTAACGCTGCTGTCTGCCTCCTGAAAAAATGTCGTTTTATTACCTTCATAAAAAAAGACTAGTAGCGCGACCCTTTAAAATTTTCGTGCCGGTAAATTATAAATAACTACGCTATGACTAAGGGAAAATTCCGCGCTCATCACAAGGGTTGAAAATCGCGCTGTAGATAAGAGAGCGAAAGACAAACATGTACTTTCGCTAAGTTAATTTTAAAACGGGCTTTATCTAATCAGCTTTTAAGTAGATACTTAACACTGTAAGTGGCACGTGGTGGGTTTAAAATAAACCACAAAATAACGCAGATAACAAACAATTTTTTTTTTAAATATCAATAGAATACTTATAGTAGGTACAAATCCTTTAAGGTACAAGCAAGTGAAAGTTCTCCCGCAAAATACGGAAGCCACGAGGGGTTTTTTCCTCTAAAAATAATGATGCGGCGACTCCATCGAAAAGCGAATAACTGGCAGAGTTTCAACAGAAACTAAAATTATCGCGGAGGTAAACGGATTTTCCGTAAACGTTAAAAATAAAGAAAACTATGCAGGATCTCCTCGCTCGCTTTTCGGCCTCTGATAAATTTAATATCGAAACGAATTTACTTTTTGGCACGTTTTAGAGGAAGTCTCGGATTTTTCGAAATGCGACAAAACGCGCGTTTTATTGTCATCAAGGCTATCGTTGCCCCAATTTCGATTATTTTATCGTATATTCATAACTCGCACTTACAACATATGTAGTTTGTGTGCACGATTATTTATTTAATTTATAAAAATAATATTTAACCCATTCCTTACAAAGCTGTCCTTTTAATTATGATAAAATTAATACAATAATTTCATTTATTCCGAGACGTTAGATTAGTAGAAATTACCAGTTCTACCAACTGAGACTATTTGAATTGGTTTTTTTCCTTCCTAATATTAGAAATGTTTTGAACATGTAATAATCTTTAGGTTTCCCTCTAACCAAGTGGATTTACTACTGAATGATACATATTATATCAAAGCTGTACTTGTTTATATCTCGCGTTATTACACAAGAAAATAATCGCTAAAGGAAGTATGCATAGCTTTTTTATTTATTTATGAAAGCCGGTTTTACCGGTGCCGATGAATAAGCATCAGGTAGGTAACAAGACTATTAGCATTTATTGCTTTTTTTTTAGAATAAATCGTCAAAACAAGATTAAAAATATTCTACCGCTCGAGGAACATTTCTAATCTTTTATTATCTACCCAATTTATGGACCTATCGCGAACCTTCAATTCTCGCTCCCTTTCTAATACATTCATATAGACAGTAAAGAAGCGAGTGTAAAACTTTTAAAACGCAATAGTTGGTAGTAGGCTGTGGTCGAAAAAAATGAACGTAGAAATTGGTAAAATTTAATTCCGGTTTCCGAAAGTACCAACATAAAAAAACTGCGCGTTGGTAATTCGCCGTGTAGAAAATGTAAAAATAAAACGCGCAGAACGGTCGAGAAAGGGTTACACACGTTTCAAAATACTGCGACTAAATTTCAAGGTCGCGCGGTCGAAATGCTAATGGAAATCCATTTAAATTGCAAAGCCAAAGTCGCGTGAAGCGCCGAAATAATCATGGAAAAACGCCGGCGAGCCTTCTCGGCCTGAATTGAATCGAATTAAATCGAAACTTCTGTGATAGTTTATCGCAGGAAGAATATTATTCACTCTCACTTTCATCCGAACGTGGAGTCTACGGCGGTTTTATCGACGATTGAATTGACGCAGCGCGTCGAAAATTTACGCGAGCCTTTAGACGACTGATACGCTATCGGGAGCATTGTTTATCGCCCGGATAATTAATTATAATCAGCGCTATTTGTTTAATTTACTCACCGACTCAGACAACACAAAAACCCCAGCCATCTTGCCACAACTTCTGCGCAAACTCGAACTGTCAATTTCATATTCAAATTTTATTGCCGAATTATTTTGCAACACTTTTTACACGTAAAATTAATTCCTTCGGAATTATTTAGTTCGCTTATACTATTTTCTATAAATAAAACGTTCTTTTCCTTATTTATACAATATTTTAATACATCCTTATTTATTTATAAAAGGTTGAGAATGTTTTGACAGAAGATGTCAAATTTTTTTACCAAAAAGTAGAGTGACTGAACAACCACGACAGTTTAGGCTATTATATATAAGAGAAGAAAAAGAAAAAGAAGACGATCATAACCAAAAAATCTTGAGCGTCCTCTCAGGCAGCAACCTTGTGGATATTTTCAGTAAAATGGTTTCAGAAAAGTCCAAATTTACCTCCACAAATGCAATCTCAGAAGATGATGACGATACACACCGTAAGAACATTTATAATTTTAACACAAAGATAGTTACAAAAGTAACCGTACAAACTTACATAGAGTACAATACTTTAAGTTTGTGGAAACTTCATAAACCATTTTATTTCAGTGATGAATTCAATGGAAGAAAAAATAGAAAACTCCAAAATAAATATTTTGGAAAACATAACAATTTCATCACTTAAGGTAGTATAATCTTCATCTTCGCAATATTTATAGTCTTAAGAACGTGTCTTTTAGGACCCCAAAGAACAATTACAAAAATTCTACCCCGATTTGAAGTTAGAGAGTATAAAAACCGATATTAAATCGAAAGATTCACACGACATTTACCTGTTACGAGTGCCCAAAAACGTGGACCCGCAGGCTCTAATAGAAGCCGACATAAACATGCAAGACGGTGGTAAAATCAACATAGGAGAGAAGTATTTAGTCAAACCCACTTCGAAGGTGCCTCCGCCTATGATGGTATTGAGCAATTCGAAGAACGTGTTCCATTTCAAAGGCAATATCGTAATGGAGAAGTACGTGAAGCCCCAGAAAGAACCGATAATACCCATTAAGGAGAAATCGAGCATCGCGCTACCAAATAACCTGAAGAATCGACATCCTCTCTTCGGCAACGACTTCGAAGACAAGATACATTTACCCCAGCAAGTCGAAGATAAATTAAACACCGCCATTAAGAAGTTCCTCAAGCAGGAAAAGAAAGCCCAAGAGAAACGAACTAAAGTCGAGGAAGTGGAAAGAGAACCCGTCTTTAATCTACTCAATTCGAATAGCAGCAAATCCGATAAAAAGAAGCCTACAAAGAGCGAGTTAATAGAGGAGACCTTGAGGCTTATGAAGCAGGAGATCAATTCGGACGGTTCGGTTAAAAAGAAAAAGAAGAAAAATAAGGAAGCATCCTCTCCGGTCGTTGTTAAAGAAGAATTCCCGTCCGATCAGGAGTGGGCGAAGAAATCGAAAAAGACCAGCGTGATGAACAGCACCCTATTGCCCAGCGTCGACGATACGCCCAGATTCATCTCGGAGATCAGCAAAATTTCTGATGATTTCCTCGAAACCACCCCGAAAGCTTCCAAAAAGAAATCCAAAACTAAAGGGAAAATGCAACTATAATATAAATCAGTTAATTTTAAACACATTGATTCGTTTTATAGTAAATTTTCGCATTGATTTAAGTTTGTTTCATAATATAATTTTATTCATAAAAGTTTTTAATTTTTAACCACATAAACTACATAAGAAGTATAACCATTTAGGACGTTCCAGAATCATTTAAAACTATCTAGAATTAATTAGAACTATTTAGAACTGTATAGAAATATTTGGGCCGCTCCAGAATCATTTAGAGAACTATCTAGAATTAATTAGAATGCTCCAGAACCAGTTAGAACTGTCTAGAATTATTTAGACCGCTTCAGAACCATTTAGAAGTGTCTATAACCATTTAGACCGCTTCAGAATATTTTAGAGAACTATCTAGGATTAATTAGAACTATTAGAATGCTTTAGAATCATTTAGAGCAGTTTATAACCATTTAGAACGCTCCAGAATCATTTAAAAAAACTATCTAGAATTAATTAGAACTGTCTAGAATCATTTAGAACGCTCCAGAAGGACGAAAATCATTGGGAAAGTCACAAAAAATGACAAATTGTATTAGTCAAACCCTGTCATCTAGAAAGTGCGGAATTTTAAGAGTAACGACATGGCAACAACGCATCGGCAATTCAACTGTACCAAGTAAAATTCCCCTAGTCAAATGGCAGAATTACCATTGACACTAGGGACATTTCGAACTGCCAGGAAATTACTAAAAATGACATCCTTCCCATTGTAAAACGTACAAACTTTATCTGGTACGCTAGGTGGAAAGTTCCACGCCGCTTTTAATAACGCATTGGGGAACTTGGAGAACTATTTATCATTAGCAACAACGCTCGTTATTTCCGAAAGTTGGGCCCATGACGGCTGTCTTCCGCAAGAGCGAACGGCAGAATCACAATATAAAGTCTTGCGTCGAAAACTAAAACCGAGCGAATTACTTTCTTGTTCTTGTTAGTTGCGTTTTTTGCGCAGTCTGTTCACGTAACTAATTTTCTCGCAATTAGTAACGCTGCCGCGACGTCTCGTCGGGAGATAAATTGTTCGGAGCGCGATTAATATTGTTGCTGAATACAAGCCGAGCAAGAGGACACGGTGTTTTCTCTATACACACTCCCGAGGGTGCCTAATATTACCGGGTTTCGAAAAAAGTACTCGGAAGCCTCAATAATCTAACAAACAAGAATTTTGTAGTAGGTCAAATGTACTTTTCTTTGTGGGGTATCTACTCACAAGTAGAATTTGGGGACATGCTGTATAAGAAAAAAAACTCATTGTTACGACAACTGTTTTTTTTTTATTATAAAATGTGTATATTTTTTGGGGGTAACAACATTAGAAAAATTTCGAAAGGAAAAACACGAAAAAACTCAGTCATAGGATAAATATACCTTTCACATTAGATTTTCACATACATATTTCACATTGTATGCTTTATAACTATGAACAGTTTGACAACATAGAAAAATATTTATATTCTATTATACAAAATCATCTGCCTTAATTAAGATTTTCCAAGGCACCTTCACACAATACGGGATGCCTCAAACGAATGTTCCAATTTTCTCGTGCGCGTAAATTACTTTCAACTGAACGGAAAATCGAGCGGTAAATTAAAATTTGATGCAGCGGTGAGGAGGAGTTTGAATACAAAAAATCGGCAACATTTGTTCGAAACACGCAATACAAAAAAGTTAACTAAAATCCACGGTAGCAAAATACTTTTCCACTTTGAAATATCGACACGAAGAGCTAAAAAACGACTATGAAACGATAACATTTGGCCACGTGGATTAATCTAGAACCTATACACGGCTAATGAAGCCTTACATCGATACATTCATTATACAGTAAACGCCGTTATAGATCAAATTGTTAATATTTTATTCGAAAATCCCCGAATTTCGAGATCACGTTTGAGCAACACCTCGAAATCCGGCCATTCTAAATCGTTTTACGAAAGCAAAAGTTACACATCTCCATAGGAATATCTACTTATAATTTATTCAAACATAATCTTTTGATTGATTTCGGAGTTCAATTGCGGCTTACTTGTCTTAACGAATAATGAAAGCTTAACTAAATCAGTCAAATCAATTTAAAACGCTGCCTGAAATAGCGTTAAATAATCACTAAATCACATTTTTGAATAAAAATAAAATTACAAAAAATATTTCATCCTTTCAGCAACAATATTTTTTCTTCAATAATTTCTATCAGTTTTAACGTTTCATATTAATAACATCAGTTAGACAGTAATTGAATTTATACAGGTACTGCTTTAATTCGAAAACTTACTGTTGCTGTTATGAGAGTAAGTCACCAAAACACTTTAAGTATTTAAAATATACATGACACTTTTCCTATATTTTTTTTTCAATTTTTTTTTTACATTCTTGGTGAATCACTCTGTTTAAATATATATATTTCTACAAACGGGGATTGATTGTGTTTGTGAACATTTAAATCACGAAGGATACTTCACAACGATTTCTATGAATATATAATATAGGTTGAAAAGGTCAAAGTTATTTCCATCATTACGCTTAGGATCAAAATATATAGCTTATAAAGGATTATTCTGAGTATCACAGAATCAACACTACATCTAATGGCTGGTATAAAAGTTTATACGGTTCACGAAATCCTTAGAGATTACAAAATCCTAAATTCCTAAGACATCCCCGACGACGGGTCGTCTCTATCACTTCCAGCTTCAGTCCAACTATTCGAATGCTCAGCCCCATCCGCGAACTCCTCCTCTCCACCATCGAACCCCACGTAATCCTCCACCACGTCCACGTTCTTCACGAACATCGGCTCCGTGTTCACCACCCTGCTGCTGTACCGCTGCTCCTCCGAGTCCCCCGACACCATCGGCTTCGTCCTCTTGTCGGTCTCGTCGATGCTCTTGTTCGACACCACCTTCGACTTCTCCTTCGGGTTCTCGTCCGGCTCGCCCGCCTCCAGCGGATGCAGCCGCAGCTTCGCGATGCGATTCTGCACGATCTGCAGATGGCGCAGCACGTAGTCCTCGCCGGGGGCCAGCTCGTGCGCCTGCCGCAGGCACGCCTGCGCCTCCAGCAGCTTGCCGCGCTCCACGTGCACCACGCACAGGTTGTGCAGCCCTTGGATGTTGTCCGGCTCCAGCTCCAGGATGCGCCTGTAGCACTGCAACAAAACGACGATGAAGAATATTGCTGGTGTATCGATTTTGGATGCCGGTATCGGGGCGTAAATTTCACCTGAGGGTTGGTATTTACGACACGTCCGCTATTCATAACGTTGCGCCCGTAAATGTTGATATCAAGAAGTTATAAAAGTCGAGGGATACAGTCGAGGTGGGTGTAGTATAGGGGTATCGATCCGGTCCGGTTGAAGGACTCGTTTCAGATGGAAAATTAAGGTGTTTCGTGATTTTCGGGGGCGCAATTTGCATGCGAAACGATTCGGGTGAAAGGGGGGTGGGTATTTCCCGTTTCGCATTGCCCACATACTATGCATCATTCATGAGAGCCCCTTCGATTAGTTCGGATGTGGTTTTTTTTCGATGCAAACTCCCGGTGAAAAAGTGTGGTTTGCGGAGTAAATTAGATGCAGCAGGAGCGGGAATGTAATGAGCGAGGTCCTTTTGACGTTAGCGGGAAAACGTTGCGCTCGACTCGGGGTGAATTTATATCTGCTCAGGTGCGGTGAAGTATGCAGGGTTTATTTTTAGAAGCGCGCTGAAATTTTAAAGCCGTCGCGGTCGCCTCCGGAATGCTACAACCGGCGGGTATTGCATCCGAAATGTGGGTTTCAGGGCCAAGGAACTTGCCGAAAAACAGATCGATGAAAACGGGGCAGCGGGAGATCCAGCGACTCACTCACCGGGCGATTAGTTTTTTTTTTTATTTTCGACCAGGAGCGAAATTCAAACGCGGCTTTCGACCCTCTTCGATGTCCTTACTAGGTTACCAGTGTTCCGGGTGATTTATAACAATGGCTCGGATGACATAATACGGACGAAATTGCCGGGGAACGCGAACGCCAGCGATGCCATTAAACGGGAATGGCGTTTGTAAAAGGGTAATTATTGACCACTTGCGGGTCCTGTTTTTCCTCGGCTACATTTCTTTTTTCGAAAGGACATCGACAAGGGAATCGTCCGGTTTTTTATCCATGAGAGATATGATTTACAAACTGCGATACTTGGTAAGTTTTACACCAATCTCGATTGAGTATTGGTTGGATTGATCGTTTGAAATTCGCTAATAATCCATTATTATTCGTTATTTAATAACTACGAGTAGTTTTCTATTTACTTTGTAGGTAAATATTCGAATGAAACCTCTTCGTGGATGAATTCGTATAGCAAAAGATTGTTTTCATATTAAGAAATTGCTTATAGCATTAACTTGGAAAACTTGTAAAATTAAATTTTTCATGTATAGCTTCATAGACGTCACCACAGTTTGTTTTAAAGGGAACCCGGTGGATGAACTTTACTACATTTTATTTCTATCATTGACTATTTTTAAAAATTACTAGAAATTAGCTATATGATTTAAAAAAGAGTTTATTAAGAATTATCTGACACATTTTCTTTAACGAATCTTTAACTGTTCAAGCAATCTTAGGGGTGTATAAAGATTTTTGGGATTGTAAGGACTGAAAATTTAAAATAAAAACATGTTTTTAAAGAATAAATGAATTCCAAAATTCTGATACACAAAATTATTAAAGTATTATCATCTTTAAAAATCTAGGAATGGATTCTTTCAAAAACTTGACATTTCGATAAAATGACATTTAAGTTTTTGTCATATTTTGAGGTTCTCTACCTGCTCCTAAAGTTACTTATTTCAGAAACACACTGTAATCGCTAATATCTATTGAATTCATATCGGTATAGAGAATAAAAAAAAATACATTCAGTATTTAAGGTGGAGATTCCGCGTCCATTACGCCCCCCGTTCCGGCGGGGACCCGCTTTTTATTATCCTCACAAATGGATTCCGCCACTACACTGAAATTTTTATTAAACCGCTCCGTGTGCCTCCGTCGAAAAACGTTTTTATTGAAAATGGATTTCGCGGAATGCGCTCTTCAACATCGAAAATAATAAATCGGGTTGCGTTTTTTCGGAAAAACGAAAAAGAGGGAGCGCATAATGGAAGACATTTACGTGGCCCGGAACGCGGAAAATATTTATTCAACCGATTCCGGTTGTTATTAAGGATATTTGCTTGTTTGTTCGCGTTTATTTTCGTATAGCTGCAACGGCGGCGTTTTCTTTTTTGGTATAAATCGCTGGTAGTTGATACAAACAGCGCAATAAAAGCTGCAATAACATACGGCGGAATTAAATCTTTATTCGCATCTAAACCGAACTGGTACTATAGTATGTAATACCTTACATAAAAAGTTTGTTACGAGTTCTTTTTTTTATCGAATTAACGAGCCATTTCGATTCTTGCGAGTTTGCTAAGTCGAGTAAAAATAAAATTTCCTTTATTAATAAACAGCCAGAAATACAAAGGGGGAAGGTTCGTGTCCCGTCGTCAAAAGGACTTGGGCATAGCTGCCAGATATTTGTATAAATAACATCAAAAGGCTCGGATGCAGCTGAAAATGTAAGTATTATGTTCTGAAACGGTATTCCTTTGCGCGAGTTACGTTTCCTCTGTTCGCGAAAAGGGAATTTTCTTTTTCGTATTTTCTCGGTTTTTACGGTGCAATAAACTGAAAAGTTTATTTTTCAGCTGGGGCGGGAAATCGATAACGCGCCGTGCCGAAAACCGGTTGACACACTTTTCCGCGGTTATTTACGCAAAATCCGCAAACTTCCAGTCGCTTACACAATTTTTACTACTTACTTTTTTATCCCCTCTTACAGGGTGTTTATACTTTTAATATACTCTGCTGAATGTACGGTTGTTCCGTCCTGTATAAAAGCGGTATTGGAAATTTTTTTATGAGGTAAATTACCTGCCGGTAAAACGTTTTAGTACAAAACATAACCATTTACAATAAAGCTATTCCGTGGGGAAATGGAGTCGATTAGCGAATAAAGAACTATACTCGATGCCATGATAATTTCATAAAAGGCCACTATTGTAGAAAACTTCATTAGGAAATAAAAGCTCTTTTGTACGGCGTAATTGCTGTATTAAAAAGTTGTCTATTATGAATCGGATTAATACCAGCAACGTGCAGAACTCCAGGAAATATTCGTTGAATATTTTATGAAACACTCTACTTACGTTTTCCGCAGCGTCCAAATCCTTGATGTTGTTAATGTAGATATCGCCTAATAGGATTAAACCTTTGACGTGGTCCGGATGGTATTTGACCAGTTGGTTCAGAAACGGCGCCGCCTCCAAAGGTCGCTGATCGTCCGCCAGCAGGAGAGCCAAATTGAATAAAGCACTCCTGAAATCGGCCTTCAAATGCACCGCTCGACGAAACCTACAAACCCATAAAAATTCTACAATAACCTAATATAGCGAAGAGTACAAATTTTACCAGTTTTCGGCCTCTTCGATATTCTTATCGTCCATCGCCAACATTCCTAAATTGAAGTGCACCCGCTCGTTGTTGGGGTCCTTGCTGAGGAGGATCAGCAAACGTTCCCTGGCGATTTTCCGCAAGTCCGGCCGGCCGAATTCCTGCAGCAGTATAGCGGAATTGAGCAGGGCTTGCTCGTGCTCCGGATCGAATTCGAGTGCCTTGTCCAAATAGGCCAGGGCTTGAGAGGCTTTCCCCTGCTCCAGGAACACGACCCCCAGCTGAAACGAATCCAGCGGTATATTTATCGGAATTTATTCGCAGAACGGAGGCCATTAACAATCCTGTTACTGGTAATGTTTATAGGCGATACTTGAAACCGGGATGTACGATTCCGGGACCGGCTGTAATTGCTACTGCAAAACGATATTTTAAATGTCCGAGTGGAACAAACGGGACGCGTAAATTAATATGCAAATAATTTTAATGCGCGGATTAATGCGAACAATATTTCGAGTTATTTAAGACTTTGTAAATTAGGAATATCGTGTCGATGTAAATACCGCAAATGTCGAACGTGCTTCTATCCGAACGATGGGATTAATAACGTGTTATTGTAATGTACTCGTAATATAGTTTATTTATTGATTTATGTGTATATAATGTTTGGTAACGCGGTTGTTGTGCAACGTTCATTTACCACACGATATAAGTAAAGCAATACACCAGAAAAATTATATTAATACACACGGTGTTAATTAAATGAGTGCTGATACTTCGGGATTTGAATATTTGGGTGATTTTAAGAAGAAAAGTTTGTATCAATATATGTCTTAAACCTCTTAGTTTTCGAGCTACAGGGCGGTAAACTTTTCTTCTTAAATTCATCCAAATCTACAAAAGTTAAGGAAGTTCACAAATATTGCGATTAATTTAAAAGTTTCAGGTTTTTTGATCGCCAAATTTAGTATGAGTTGTAGAGGTAGGAGCAAAAATTCCTCTTAGATAAGAGAGAATACATTTAATTTCGCATATTTGTAAATTTGGCGATCAAAAAGTCTGTAACTTTTAAAATAATCGCAAAATTTGCGAACTTCCTTAACTTTTGTGGAGCAGTTTATTTCACATCCTGAAGAATCGGCACTCAATTTATTAACACACTGTATATCTCCTGCACTTCGTATTTTCTTCAATTAATAGAGGCGATCATATCCTACTTTTTCTAACAAAAAACAGAGCGGATGTTATTAAAAAAAACCTCCAATCTCAATAAAGTTGACCGTCGAGCGCGAAAAACCAATTTCCAATCGTCGCAGTTTCGAAGCGATTTAATCCTTTCGCATCGAGGGTAATGTCGGACTGTAACTTCAATTATTGCTGAATAAAATCTCGAGATCGACCCGGATTCGCTTCCTGCAATCGAACTTGCCTTTTCGTCGATTTTTTTCGGGCGTCATTAACTCGAAATTCTCCGGCTTGATTTATACCTGCTCCGGTTAATATTTTAAAATAACCGACCGGTTTCGATAAGCATCTAATAATAAATAACGCGCGCCAGTCGAGTATCGCACAACAAATTCCCCGTAAAACCGGAAGGCACGATCTATTCATTTCCGAACAAGTGACAATTCCGCTGATAAAAGAAGAGCGCGCTTCCTTAATAACAAACATCGGGGATGTATGGCGATACAAAAGAAGCCTTTTATAAACATCCTGCGTCCCTTTGAAGCCATTCGCCTCTATCAATACAATCTCCCCTGTTGATACGTAGTTTTTTTTTTGTAATCTTCGTTTATTGTGGAAAATACTCCCGAGACTACGGTATCTTGTTCATAATTCATTGATTGCCAGCGTTTTTAAGGGACCTGTTTTTCTTCAAATAACACGTCGATAAATAAATATACTGTTGGTGCAAAACAAAGACAGAGTTGCCAAATTTTTATAATTTACAAAACTAATAAGGTAGACTGGGGCAAATCGGTTGTTAAATTTGAATAGTTCAAATTAAATCCTAAAATGTGGCTTTATTTTTTCTCTTATTAGAAATGCTGATACCACATTAAATTCACAACTTCCTAAACTAAAGAATCTAGGTATTAAAAAGTTTTTTTTGAAAAAGGAAGAAAACGATTTTACATATTTTTTAAAATGTTGACAATATGTTACATTTACCCCGTACCAAGGGTTCTAAAGAGACAATTCAATTATATAGAAAAACATTTGTGGCAATTGTAAATACATATTTCGTTCCTCTAAAATTTGATATGCTGTTTATTTATTTATTTCAAAAAATAACAGAGCTACAAAATAATAAAGAAAAAATAAGAAACAAACCCTGTCTAATGCACAAAAAAACTATAAAAATAATAAAAAACATTAACATAATAGGTAAAAATATTACATTTACCCCATTTTAACATTTGCCCCAGTCTACCTTATCAAGTTTTGCACCAAAAACTTTTTCTTGCATTCGATGAACAGTCATTAAAATTCGATGTGTCAAGAAGCAGAGCTGCCGATGCTTGAAAAACGGCCTTTAGATTTTCAATTAGCCTCACAAAATCATTTATAGGACCAGCTGTAATACTTCAATAAAACAAAACCTCCCTTCCTCAGCGTTATTAGCGGTTTAATAAATTTTATTTTGCATTTAAATCACCCTCGAAAAAAACCATCATTTCAACGAATATTACCAAGACCCCCATCTACATACACTCATAAAAATCATCTCGAAAAAGGTACTCACGTTGTAATAAATGTCGGGGTTATTGCTGTCGTACAGCAAGGCCCTCTCGTACACCTCTTGAGCCTCCTTGGTCCTATTGAGTTTGATGAGTATATCGCCGCGATTGATGTACGCCTGCGTGTAATCGGCCCTCATGCTGATCGCCTGCCTGTAGAGCATGTCGGCCTCCTCTAATCTCGTCGAATTCTTCGATATCAAATTGGCGAGATTGAGAAAGACGTTCAAGTGATTGGGCGCTATGCGCGCCTGATACGATTCCCCCGGCTTCGCCTTCGGCAGCAGCGATTTCGCCTTCAAGTAGGCCTCTTCGGCCTCCTTGAACATCTTCAGATGGTTGTAGGTCCGACCCACGTTGATGTGAGCACCTGCAAATAGATTTTTAAATTCTTCTAAAGTGGCGTAGGCGTAATAAATGCGACAAGTATTCGTGGTGTTTCGTTAGGCGCTTCGGAAGATTTATTACAAACCCTAATAATTTGGGAAATATGGTAAAGGTCGTTCGTAATAGTATCAAAGTTTTAATCCCCCGCTTTGGGTCAGGAGTTTAGCATTAATTATAGTTTAGTTAGGACGTCGGGAGAGTTGAGATGTGTGTAACAAAAACGAATTTATAATCGCCTCGACTCCCCTAAACTTCGCTTTAACGTTGGTATTAATAGAACCGTGAAAAGTGGTATGTATATAATGGATACAATAATAAACTCACCGACGTCGTCCTCCTGCACGCCCACGGCCGTTTGGAAGAACTTCAAAGCCTCCTCGAAGTTCCCCTGGCTCTCCAAAGCGTGCCCCACGTTGTTGAAGAGCTTCGCGTTCCTCTGGTTCACCCGCAGGCCGGACATGAAGATCGAGTACTCGTTCTCCCAGTCCCAGTTGCGCGTGTAGGTTTTGCCTCCGTGGGAGGCCAGCAGGAGGCAGAGGAACGCGCAGGCCAGCTTGTCCTGCCGCTGGGAGAGCACGTGGAAGCCGTAGCCCACCAGCATGCAGAAGCCCATCGAGGGCATGTAGAGCACGCGCTCCGCCACCACGAAGCCCACCGGAAAGAAGAAATTCGAGGCCGGGATGAACGGGAACACCATCAACGAGGTGCCCTGTAACGAAAATGCAGTGTAAAGGACAAACTTCAGGAGGTGATCCTGCATGGGAAAATAATGGTATTTTGCTTTAGTGTTCTCGAAGTTATGGCACTAAATTTTAGTGGTAGTTTGCATAAAGTGAGTTACATTTACCCTGTATACACGCTATAGCTAATCGGTATTTCCAAAGGGCATCACGAACTAATTACTAAATGTCGTGTCAATTAACAAAATGGAGTCATCGATGGATAAAAATATCCACGGTTTTTCTAACGACCTTCGATTCGAATCTAAAATGAGAAATAAATTACGCGAGAAATATTTTTTATCGTATTAATTATGAGTCGCGCTGATTTGGGTGCAAGAGTGTCAATTAGAAATCGGCGATAAATAATTCGAAATTTCCCAATTAATTAATTAATCTTTTTTTTTTCCGTTCGGGCCTCAATAAAATCCCGAGTTTAAAATATTTGAAGGCGAAGTTGAAGTTTCGCAGCGGCGAAATTGGGAGAGTTCCCGTTGTGATTTATTTAGGGGCTTATGGAGGAGCTCCGATAAACGGGAGAGCGGCCCGAAAATAATTAAACGAATGAGGTAAGGTAACGCGGATTTGAAATCGAAAAAGAGAGTGAATTGTTGCGATTTGATTGGGAGGTAATTTTTAATTATAATCCTCTCCCAGACGCCGCCGGGGGGCTCCACTTTCGTTCGCTTTAATTAAGAAGATCGCAACAAACATCGAATTTTCTTAATTATTCGCGAAATACTCGATTAAGTTTATTTCGCTTTTTTTTCTCTCCTCCCGTTTCGCTTAAGCATTAACGTGTTTCTGTAAATTTCAGTAATTAGAACGGGCGGAGTACAAGGAATGAAAAAATAAACGAATCAATAATTATTTCCAACGCTTTTTCAAAAGTTAATTAATAGGTCGATCCGTCGAACTCTGTTTTTTTTTTCCTTTCGTAAACAGTCGTTAAGGAAAAATTATAGGGGGAGTGCGTTTCTCGTTTCCGATAGCATTTCTTTCCGGACGATAAAAAAACCGACGAACATGTCGTTACAAGCACGAGAAAACTTCCACATCGCATTTATTAACACTCGTATAGTTCACTAAGTGATTTTTTTGTAGAAATAACTGTAAAACCGTATATATGCATTTTAATATCATAATACCATTCATCATAAATCCGAGCTCGACATCACGCAATATTGACATTAATTTTTTTACCAAACGTAAAAACTCGTTAACTCGCCTCGATTTTAAAACATCCAAACTTACCATCAACAAAACAGTACTCTGCAATTTATTCTCCGTGGTGAAGGCTTTTACCAATATCGCCGCCAAAAGCGCGTAGGTGGCAACAGTGCCGAGATTCCTCGCGTCCAATACAGACTCCACCAGCGGTATGGTGCCCATGGTCCAATCGCAACAGAGGTCGCAGGGGAACAGCAACAGCCACAGATTGACGCTGATCAGATAGTGGTAGGTGAGCTGTCTGGAGGGCGTCGCGGCGACCGACGCCGGATTGTCGAATCTCGTGAAAACCGGCAGCTGGGAGCCCATGATTTGCAGCCTGACCAGCAGCAAACAGAGCGTGGTGAGAGCCAAAACCACCAGCCGCTTGGTGGCTTTTCCCGACCATGGGTAAGGGGATTTCGAGATGATGGCGGTCTTCAGCATGTACTTCAGCTCGGGCAGGCGCACCTGGATGAAAAATTCCACTCGAATTAGTTACAGATGCAAATTTAAATTGCATTGCCGCGAACGGATGCGCTCGGAACATTATCGGAATTAACATAATAAACGTAATGAAATAATCGGGGCATCGGTTTCGATGGAAGTGGCCGAAGTTTCGGCGACTGTAGGAAATGCAATTAAAATTATATTTGCAAATAAATTGCATCAAATATTCATCATCGGGAACCGATGTTGGGCTAATGCGAACGAGGGTTAATCTAACGTTATTCTGGTTGGTGAATTTGCATATTTACGCCGAAAAATCGGAATGTTTACGATCCAAATTGCAGGGAAGAGGAAAGCCGCTTAAATTCGCTTTGTGCAGAAAACAGTGACAAATTAATGATGAAGACGGAAATGGAATTTTATTAGTTTTCATTCGACTAAAGGACCGACACAAAGCTCGTTTATTACTCGTACACTACAATTTCATTAGAGCAGGAAATGAACTAACGAAAAAGAGTAATGGGCGAAATTGCCGTTTCAAATACAGAGATGAAAATTTAAATTGTTTTACCATCGGATTATTATTTTATTCATGCTTCATTAACTTTTATGAAAATTATTAATTTGTGTTGGAAGCTATGCAACCCTACGTGCACTTGTGGTATTGGTGAATTTGTAAATATTTGCTAAAAATAAGATTATTTAAGCACTATTAATTTTACTATTAATCTCGTTGAAATAGTTTATTAGATACAGTTAGTAAATCTAAGAATTTTCTGAAATTTTCAAATTGCAAAATGACAAGAACAAATTAAAAATTAGAGGTAACTGTTTCACCTTTCACAATCATCAAATTCCATCAAATTCCTTTATCATCTGAAATATGAACAATTGGTGAACATCAATTGGTGAACAATTGATCCTTAAAAGAGTACATAGTGAAATTTCAGTGTAAATTCGTTTATTCAAACCCCATTAAGGAGATGCATTATGCTGCAACTTTCTCAGCCCAAGTGCATAAAATATACCTGCCGCATAACGAATTATGACGAAAAAAAAAAAGAGCAATTCGCATCGTGCATTTCGAATAACTTTTCATCGCGTTAGCGTAATTCGATTTCGACCGACTAACCGTCGTATAGAGAGAGGATAACGTGTTCCCGTATAATGTATAAATTCTCCACCGGATCGATATTTCCCATCTTCCCGAGACCGCCGAATCCCGCCGCATTCGCTCCGAATGCATGCATATACATGTTAGGATATGACATTCGGAACTTAAAAGCAATTACGGGGGTCGAGGACAGGAGCAGACTCACCTTTTGAGCGACGAAAATTTCATATGCAGCACAAACTCCGGCCACCGTAATCCCTTGTTCTTTGCACAGCATCGCCGTCGCCATGGAGACCATTGAAAACGCCAGATATTTCCAGCCTGGAAAATAAAATGCAACATATATGAACTCGCGGCTAATACATCTCTCGAGCTTACGCCGGGCGGCTCCTCCGAGACATTTCAATCAGTACTGTTTTCTCTGCGCATTATCAAATGTAACTAAATGTAAAGTATTGGATTGTTAGCTTTAACTAGTTCTATTTTTCGAGAAAACTAACTCGTTAAAAACATATTTGTGAGACGTTCTGCAAAAATGTAATCCACCTGTACGAATATTTTCAACGAAGTAATAACATTTCGTAGACATTCTATACAAAAATAATACCCCGTTTTATTGAGACAAATTAAGGTTATCGATTATCCATTAGCATGACCGGCTTAAAAAAGCCCGTGGAAGTAATTTAATAAATTACAAAAATAAAAATGATGTAATTTACTTGAATACTACTGTTCGGTGTTCGCATAAATTATTCACTTACTGTCATTTTTTCGTGTACATTTAATTCGCGCTAATAACGTCTTTTGACAGGCATACCTGGAATACATTAAAACGAAAATGCTCGGGGCTATCAGTCGGCTGTTTGTTGTTCGATTACATTTCCATTTTTACAATTAGTTAACTTTTTTATTTGATTGCGGTCCCCGGGTAGCGCAAGCCCTCGTTCGTAGCTGGGAAAAGGAAAAAAAGAAAAGAGAAAAAGGGGGAAAAACAGGCAATGACCGCACGGTGAAATTTATTTCGGAATCGGACCGGTAATGCTTCGCAAACACACAGAACAGAATCCAATGTTCGATGAATCAAAACAGCAGATACAATTGAGACTATGATACCTCGGGCGGGATGAATAGTCCGGGAGTTTTGTGTGTATTAATCATAGTTTCCGGGTTTGTTTTTCGTGTGCGATAAAATGTTTGTTTTATTTCGATTGGATGTCTGCATTGAAGCGATTATTTTTAGCAGTATATTTCCCGGACTATTTTAATCCTGTATAGGAAAAGTACAAGTTTTCCCTCGATGGAAACAATCCAATAAAGCGGTTGTAGAGCTAAATCTGGGAATTAACCTATTTCACGATATTCACGGGTAGTTTACACGAATGAAACGGTTTTGTTAACATATTTCTCCCTTAGAAAACACCTTTCATATATCCGGATAAACGTTGAAATGTGAAACAACGTCTTTATAATATGAATGAATAGTTTCTTATATTTTCTCGTTGAATTTATATATGGTACAGTAAAAAAATTACAAATTATATACATTGCAGGTTGTTCAGATTATTACTCGGTCCGAAATATTCATCGATAACATAACTGATGTAGGTAATAGTATTTTCTCGAGTTTTATGCAACACTTCGAGACTTGTATTTTCCGTTCCGGCATTTTCTCTCGTCAGTTTTCCGCTTTTATGGAGCATTCGGCGAGGAGGAATGAACTTTTCCGCCTCGTATATTGATACAAGTGCTGAATTTTCGCCGATTTTTCATGCACACAAAGCACAATAAAAACCTCCTCACTATACTGGATTAAAAACGATCTTGTAAAAATGAAAATATCAGTTAATCACCTACCTGTGTATTTTTTACTTCTCGTCGCCTTGCTGTACAAAATGAACGAGGCCAAAAAGAAGACGGACGAAAGTGTTTCCGCCCTTCCGACAACGCCGGTTACCTAAAAATAAAACACGAACAATTAGGTTTCCGAACACAAAGCGATCGCTTCGGTTGTCAGTAAAAACCGCCCGGATTCCGGATTTTACATTCGCCCCGTTTAGAATCTCTTTCGGCCGCCGCCGACGCCGCCGCCGCCGCCGCCTCGCGATATCGGCAAAGGGAACATGCGGGAGAATCGGGAGAGAGCGAAGTGGGAACGTCGGTTTTAAAATAATTGATGGGAAGCGGCGGTTTTTGTATAACCTTGAACTAATTGCTTCACATACGCTCCAGGAATTCGTTCGTTCCTTTTTAATAGAAATCGTCGAGCAAATAAATCAGGGTTTTTTAAATACCTAACGAATTAGTTCAATATTTATACTACATGGTTTCGAGATGATTGATCAATATTATACAAGCTAGCGCAGCTAGCGAGAAGATATTCAGCATGTGAAGCACTTTTTGATGAGCCAATTTTGCCATTTATTCTATAGAAAACAATTTAAGCCGATAAAAAAGTTTTTTACACCCTGTAGCTCGAAAACTAAGAGGTTTAGGACATTAATTGATACTTTTCTTCATAAAATCATTCAAATATTATCCTGAAGTATCGGTATTCAATTAATCAACGCCCTGTAGATAAAATTGAATGAAAAATAATTAGAAGAGATAAGCCGTTTTCGGTAAAATTCGAACTTAATTTGAACCTTTTCGGCGATTGGGAATCGATTCGTTGTCAAATTAATGGACTTATTGAACTTGACATTTCCGAACGTTCGGGGGATAAACCCCTACTCGATTTTTTTATTCGAATTGAATGGTACAGAAAATGGCCTATTGTGGAAATCCTTGGCGAATCTGAATATTTTCCGATAGGGCTGAAAAGATTTTTCAGTCACTGTTAAATTCGACCGTTATTCGGCATTCCAGCCGCTTTTGTATTATTTTCCCGGGCAGCGGGCCTGATTGTTCCCCAGTTTTTTTGCTAAACTGGGTGTTTTATATCGACTCTAATGTATGATTTCCGAATATTCCGTTTTTCCTCCCATCCTAGTTTGTCAACTACATTTTGATTCATCCGTTCGTTCGATAAATCCCCCAATAATTACCAATTTGGTCGAAATGAATTTTCCTTTCTGACAGAAATCGTCTCTTTTTCCTCCCGACAAAGGTCATTAGTTTCTCGCAAAAAAAACAACACTAAACCGATTCATTCTCTTGTCAATTTGCTCCAGAAACACAATACATTAGTATCGAAAAAAAAAGAAATATAGAACACAATTAGACTGACTTTTTTTTACTGTTTCCATCGCGACAGTTCCAATAAGCGCTTCTCCAAATCCACCAACAATTAATGTATAGGTACCTACTATTAAATCTAACGCAAAGCGAAACAATAGGGAACAATACTCACCGCCTCCGTGTGAATGGGATGAACGGCGAACAGCATGGCTGCCACGAAACTCGATAGTTCGGGCAGAAACATCGAGCACATTCTGAAAATTAAGAAACTGTATCAAAGCGGATCCCAGAAGTTTGGCTGTTGCGAAGATTCAGCGCCAAAGGATTCGAAGTTTCCCCCATTATAAAAGCCGGACTCAATCGCTACTCCCCGGAGACAGGCGAAACAGATGATAATCATTATTATCATCAACTCATCTTCTACACGCCTCTACTAAATTGTTAACCAGATTTTTTTTTAGTCTTCTATTGGAACTTGGTTCTAATATCAGCTGTAGTAGTAGATATCGAGAACCATTATAAATCTCCTGCTACTCTCTCAGACGTGAAGTTAGCCTCAGTTAGCATTAATGAATCCGTCTAACCGCCGCCTCCGGGGACTCCCCAGACTCCTTGTGTACCTTAGGCATTTGCGAGGATGCACGGTGAACCGGTTTATGTGGATGGAAGGAAGCGATATTTACACGACTGGACCCCTAATAATCGAACTCGACTCGTTTCCCCGGCAAATTCTCGATTCGAATTTGGCTTCGACGAGTCGGTTGCGAATTCTGTGCCATATTAGAAGAGATCGGGAGCGGCGAGACGCCCGAATTTAAGGATGATTAATTAAATTCGACGGGATTCGCAGAGGCGAAATGGAGGAGATTGGCGTAATTACATACATCAGAGAAAGAATATCGGAAACCTCCATTCGACTATAACGAATCTCTTGAAATATTTTTCGGAGATATAAATTTAGCGATGGAGCGTCTCCGCTATACCCCATCTAGACGTCTATATTACACTCTAAATAACCTACACAATATACGACGATTTGCTGTAAAATAGGAGAGGAAAAAAAGTAATAATAATCCCGTTCGTTTTTAATCGGATTAACCTCGCGCGTTTAGACTGGAGGGCGTCCTCGTAAATATGCATCGCAGATAATGTTTGATGCCTCAATGTCACGAAATTTAATTAGTCGAGGAACTAGATCAACGCTAAGTCAACAAGCGACCGACTAATTAAATTCCTATTGCCTACATTAATGCTAAATCTCAGCCATCATAAAGCGAAATCGAATTAGAGGCGGGAGATTTTCAGATCAAAACCCGCGCGTTCGAGCAAATCGGGGGATTTTCGGGGAACTTTTTATTGGTTCGAATGGAGTTTTGTGTACGTATTTTTACTAGTCAACCGATCGAGGTGAATAGATAAATTCTTATGAGGAATGGAGAAAGGGGGGTTTTTTATTCGTTGTTCAATGAAAATATACAAGAGAGTTATGTAGGAGCTTTTCGAATAGATTTTTGATAGGAGTTTTGGAGAAAAATTTAAAAGATGCCCAATATTCACATCCTGAAGTATTGGCACTCAATTAATTAACACCCCAAATAGCAAGAATATTAGTAAAATAACCTTACATAAACCCTTAAAAAACACACAGTAAAATATCGCAAAAAAGCCTTTAAAAAATCCAATTGCGCAACAAAAATAATACTTCAAACAAAGATCCATTGGAATAGTAAGCAAGAACCAACTTAGAATGCGTTTTAGAATAACAGTAAACGAATTAGGGTCCCTTTAGTGAGGGAATTCTCGATTAAACGGCAACCGACAACAAACTCTGGAAACGGCGTAATTAAAAAAATTATAAAAAGCGAAAGAGAGTGGCTTTTAATTAAGTCTCCGAGCTGACAAAGATGAAGAATTTTTACTCCGCGCTCGGGCAACGGTATATGTTAATTAAGTTAGAACTGCAGTTCGCTACGTGCTATAGCCAGATTCCGCGGAAATTTGCATTTTGTTTGCCAGACTCGGAAAATTACTACCCACTTAAGGTTTCCCCAGTCCTCACTTTTTTTTAATTGTGCAGCGATCTTGAGCTCGTCAAAAGTTTAGTTGCCGATAATAAACCCTTTATCGGACCGCCCTGTGCTTGTATATAAGGGTATATTGGAAGAGGGGCGATTCCACCCTTCGGGGAAAAGGACTCTCGTTTCCTATCCAGATTGACGGATTGTTTGTCCTGCGATCATAAGGCGTCCCTTCAGTCAAATTGATGAATCGACGGGGAGGCGAGGGCGCCCCATTCAAAATCAGTTTCGAAAATATTCAAATTTATTTTAAAAAGCGGACCAGGAGAGAGGTCGATAACGGACGATAATCTATGAGGGCGATTTTCCGCCTTGACAAGGGTTCGCAATTTTTCTCCCCGGTATATAAATTTATCCCGGTCGAGTTTTACAATGCACGTCTCCGATTCCAAAGCGCCGCCAATTTGTGTTTTGGCTCGATTAAGTCGTGAATTATTCGCCTAATTTTCGAGGTTATTAATTGACCCTAAAAAAATATTTCGGATTTTTGCAAAAAAAACGCGATCGAAATTCGAGTAGAATATCATGTTGGTATAAATATAAATGTCATAAAACCCGTGGCGCAGTCATAAAATATTTCAATTAAATTCGCCCGTTGAAAAAGTCGTGCGGTGAATTGGTGTGCAACAATAATAATTATTATAGTATATTCGTTTCGCAATGGAATTGTATAAAAGGGGGAGGCAAAAATACAGGAATAAACACGAATACACCGCTGGTGATAACATGAAATAATTATAAATTGAGTAGGTGTACTGGACGGACGAAATTAAACGCTTTGTCAGTCACCAAACTAAAACCTTCCGCGGGGCGTCCATTAAAATTTTAATTGCTCTTTCTGTATTTCTAGTCGTGTTTAGACAGCGCGATTTTTACTAATTAATTTAATCGAATTCCGGCCACACTGACACATGTCAATCTATTTAATATTTAATAGGAGCTCTAACGAAGCAGCCTCGACCGGACCTCAGGTGTCGCCTCATTTCGCCCGATTTGACCTACGTAAATATTTCGTCTCCGAGCCGAATATATTATCAAAGTTTCATTCGCAGTACGATAATTATCCCCGGGAAATTTATGGACCGAGGCCGTATCTATTTCGCCGGTGGACGAGTTAATTTCGGACGTATTCCCAGCTTTAGTAATATTTAAACTTTAGTTTCGCGGAAATTGGGAGCAGATGGCTATCCGTTAGAATTACGCGCGACAACCTACAATGTCCTTATTGCATTTTAATTCCCGCTGAATTATCGCGGGGAAATTCGCGGTACCTGGAAGGCATTTTGCTATAAACCACAACCGTATTTTATCGCTACTGAGGAGATATTTGTTTTGCACCGACTGTATTTTAAAATGTATTTATCTCATCAAGGCGAGTAGTACAAGGGATACAAACTTGCAAATTCCCAAATAATTCCATATTTCGTAGTAACAATGTCCAACTCCCGTGAAGAGAATAGAGGAGTCACTCGCTCTCGAAACTAGTTTCGAGTCGTTATCAAAAGGTCGGGAAGCGCGAGACAAAGCGAATTTTATTTGTTCCTGTGTTTGATGTCAAACAATTTGGCCGTTCAATTGCGCGGCTGCCAGTCGAATAAACTCCTAAGTAGGCATTGTAGGAAAGGAATGCACGAAGAAAATGCAAATGGAGCGAGCGGATGATTTGAGAAAATGTAAAGAGTGGGTGCTATTCTCGAATGACCGTTGCAATAAAACCGGGCGTAAATACAACATTTCTCCCCTATTTCCTCTGAACGCGCCGGCACCCTCGCCGGTGATATATTATTTTCCGACAAGGACTATAACAGTTTAGGAAATATCTAAGGGTAATATTTATCCTGAAGGTTCTTTTACAAAAACGTATGATGGCCATTCTCGTCCCTTAAATTGTCTACGGCTCTCCGTAATCAATAACATTCCTCCAGGGCGGGTGTATAGTTTCCTGTTGAGAACGCTCAACTCGGGCCGGAAAAAAGGGAATAATGGAGTAAACAACGATAACTTCAACTCTAATCAACGGGTTAATGCTAATGGAGCGGCTGATTATTATTTTTACCGGATTTTTTTTCAACGATTACTCACCTGAAGTAAATGAGGCAGACGACTGAGTGCAGGAGCATGTTCACCAGATGATATCCCATGGGCTCCAATTGCCAGAATAAATAGTTCCAACGGAATGTTAGAACGCAAAGAGGTCGAAATGATTTGTGGCTTTGTTCCTGAAAAAAAAATAGAAAATTGGTGATTACCTCTCCAACTGTTTAATTATACTAGGTGCATTTAAAAAAATCCATTATGCTAGATTAATCGAAGTAATGAATCTTCGGAGAGTAGGTGTCCATATACATTTTTGCGACGTCGAAATAAATTACTTATCTTCGCAACTACTCGGGTTTTTATCGCCCTATAAATCTTTATGATGTTATTTTCTAGAAATTATTAAATTTTCGGTCTATTAAATCTTTAATATTTCAACGTGGCCGTCGTAAAATTACACCCCGAGTATTAAATGGCACTAAATAATTCATCGGCATGTGTGGGGGTGTACCTAATCGATTTAATTTTAGTTACATACGCGGGGAATAATTTAATGAATTTCCGACCTTCTCTCGCGTTTTCGCTTTTTCCGGTTTCCTCGGCGGGCTTTTTTTCGCATGCAAGTTCGCCGAACGGCTCCCCGAGGACCGTTAAAGAATTTAGATAAGAAAATTCGCGATAAATTAGACTCCCTTTCTTTTAAAAAAGTTTGCGTAAGCCGCCTCGAAATTGCACCCTTTTAAAACGCCGGCATAAAGCATTTCGTCGATCGATACAATTCGGGTTTTTAAGCGGGGATTTTGATCAGTTTTCGAATCCATTCGAACGCAAAGGATATTAGAGTTCTTATTTTGTGTTATTCGAGGAAATGCAAAACTCGGGCCCCGGAGTTTCCAAACTTTTGATGTACTTTCTCAGCCGTATTCTTCGGGCGAACTTTCGTGTGGGAAACATGATAACAAAACGGGGAGCGCCTGACGAAGTGACAACTACAAGAAATGAAGTATATAAATATTAGGTAAAGTTTAAATTACTTTCGAACAATTATTTTATTCCGCAGTCGGAGGAACGGTGTCTCGTCTAACTATTTTAAAGCATCCAGTTTTCCGTTCGTTCGCGGTGCAACTTCAACTTTTTAATTAAATTTCAGGTGCTTCTGGTGAGTACTTTTTGGAAAATTACTCGACTATCAACTTAATGTTACGTATATAAATTAAATTTAAATAATTTCGCGATTCGATTAAATATTGAAAAAATATTTTCATCGCTCGACGAGGCGCGCTTTGTTATTCGAAAATATTCCACCGGCCAATTCATCTCGAACATCAACTGGTTTTAATAATTTGCACAATAAATTTCAATCAATGCGCCTAAACGTACGTATGTTTAGCGAAATAATGAAGCATTGTTAGCCCAATGCCTCGTGCATGCAGTAATTTTAGATAAATACGATAAAATAATTGAATCTAATAATAACATTCGTATTTACGTTTACGTATTGAATTGGAAATTATAATTGTATTTATTACGGCATTTTATTCCATTAACATATTCAATTTATATGTATAAAAAAAATAACAAAGTTTCCTCGTCGTATGCTCGGCGTAAAATTCGTTCAGTGCAAAACCGATTTCCCCCAATTTCGCCAGGATATTGGTGCAGCACAGGAGATATGAATAATTCGGAGCGCATTGAAATGGGAAGCAATCTAAACATAGGAAATGAAAGTGAAATGGGAAATGGCAAACCGAATTTTTTCCCAATAACCGCTTAATTTGCCGGGTTACGGCCTACACTCCAAAAGATGCTTTCCATAGGTAATAACCCTGTCGAAGGGCTTTTATATGTTTTACAACCCCATTTTCGAGGAATCTTTTCCGCGTCCATCTATTTGACAAACAGTCATTCGAATGCGAAAATCGCAGCTAGACTGTTGATTTTATACGGCAATAAAAGATTGTAGGCGACTTAAAGGTTTTATAATAAATGTGCCGCGACGTTTTATGGCCATCATAAATATTATTAACATTATATCCCCGAGGTTTGTTATCCTGCATGCAACCAGCGAAAGGAGTAATAAACCCGATTCGCATCGTGTTTTGATGGATAGGACAGCGAACGCTCGCCCAGTCCGGCAAATGTCTATTGTAATAATAATTTTCAATCAATCACCCCCTATCAAAATCGCGACCGCAAAGCCGGAATGTTTGCCGAATCGGCCGCATCGACGCAGTGTGGCGTTGCGGTCGCATGCGAAATGCTTCCTTGGGTTAGGTCCAGGTCCCATCTTCATTATAACCAGTCAGGTTTAATCTGCTTGTTTATGTATACAACGCTAATGCGAGGGGATGGTTTTTCATTTTCATTAGGCCGAATCCATTCCGTAAAAAATAAACCGTTGTTTTTTCGCTCGTCTTTATTGCCTCGATATCTCGAGTCGGTTAAATTGAATGGCGAGTTTAATAAGGAATTAGATTAAAAATTGGAAGCCCTCGCGGCGATAAGGAGATTACGAGAAAGAGGAAATGAAACGGGACGACGAGAAGATAGAAAAAAAAGAAGCGGAGAAATTGAAGTCTGCTTCCCTTCCCGTGGAAGGGAGATTTATAATTTAGATGCAGCTATATGACTTATTAGTGGACGAATATTTATTTAGATTGGTCGTAGAATTGTAAACTTCATCGGAGCGGAATTTATTCGCTCGCGTAGCGCGAATTTTCGTTCGAATGTAATTCGATTCGCGAAATACAATACGTTTTATTTAACAAAGCGAAGAAGGGAGGGAAAATTTATAGGCGGTATCAAAAAAATCGCGTTTGAAATGCGATCGGCGAGTTGTTAAGAGCATTGGCTAAAATAAATTTATCGAATTTTCGAATATGAACGAAATCGAATACTGTTTGGGAAAAAATCACAATGAACGGGGTACGAATTATTCAAGGGCTTATGTATAAAAAATGGGTGGCGTTAATCCATTAGCAGCGTCGTTTTCTGCCCGTGTACATAATTTATAAGGCGAGAGGAAGAGAAAAACTCACGATGCCTATTTTTTACGTTAAATTAGGCCGGACAGTGTAATCAAATATTTAGTTCTTTCGATCAAAATCGGGCGAAATTATTAACGAAATAAAAACTCCCGTTTCAACTTTAATTAATTCGATGAAACTGCGAAATAAATTATAATAAAATGGACTATTAAACGAATAAATTTGTATTCCAGTTCTCGTTTCGACGATATTAACAATTACTATACATGCACGTTCCGGAGTTAGCGGCATTTAATGAAACAAAATGAGCTAATGAGACATTATTGCAAAAGTTCGGAAGCATTTCGGGTTTTCTAAAGCGAAAAATATCGGAAATTTCAATTTGTTGTTCTCTTTTTTGTTTTCGCCATGGCGGCAAGTGCGAGAGTAATGAAAATTTAATGTTCCTCAATTTCCTTCCTCATTACGATTCCTCGGTTGAATTTGTTGGAGATTTATACTTCTCACTTGTTTGCCGGAGTTTGCCTCGTTACGAATTTTTTTTTAATATACGCTATCGTAAGCATTTTTCTCATTAAGCCTCGCAATTTCATGATTTTTATTAGAAATTGTGTGCTTTTTTTACACTATCTCTCTTTAGGTAGGCTACACGTATGAAACTTTATAATATTTTCTCCTCCATTTCCAGACAGCCAATTCAATTTATTTCCTTCCAAGCTCTAATTAATAAAATACACTTAATGTTCAAAGATTTTCGTTACAACGAACCTACATCCAATTTCATCGAATTATTGTTTCCCATGCCTTTCCCCCAAAATTCTTCTCTTTTGTATCCCCTAACGACCGAATAAGGAACCATCCACCAATTTTTAATATCCCCTTCTTCCATCGGTATCGAATTAACGATCTCTTTTATACTCGAACAAACGACAAGAAAAAAAAATGAAATTAAACTTAATCGAATGGAATCCAACGAACGATTTGCATTATCACCGTGTGCTCCGGCTTAGAATTTTTCTCCCGGCTATTTTCCGAATCGCCGAGTGAATTTGTCGAATGTTTGAGCGCGAGGAATTTCGATCTCAATTATATGTCGCTAGGTAATTGATTGTTGCGAATTTTTCTTCTCTCTTTCGTAATACCCGATGAGTGCTAACGCAAGCATTTGATGGAGTGTGTGCGAGGAAACGGTGAGAGGATTGAGGGAACATACACTAGAGGATGTATTACGAACTTGCAGATAAGTTGGGAATAACTGACGGTTATTTTAGAATGTACGTTCGGTCAATAATGTTTATTGAAAGGTAAATTACTAAATTTGTTGTCGGTCATTCGGGTTTTATCAGTTTGTTGGTAATACGGTAGAATTAGGTAATTAAAAGTTGGTAAGGAAAACTATAAAAGTCGATTTAAAGTGTTTATTTGAGCCGGCGATTTTCTTTGTGTTACATGGTAACAAAATAGTGCAATTTACACGTCGAGTGATATTTTATTCAGATGATCAAACAGGTGCTTGTCGGGCACACGTGTAATGTACCCACAATCGCTTACCTTGTGCATCGGTGTGCCCCAAAAATCGTTGAAAAATATGTTAATCAACGGCGAATGCGGTCTCAGATCGCGGTTATCTTTAATGGCACTGATGTCGTCGAACACGAAGCCGCAATAACAACTGTTATAGTAGCATAAGATGCTAGTCAGTGCAACGACAGCACCCAGAGCATGATTCAAGCCCATCTTGTACTATCACTGTATCAATCTCACTGTAGTAGATGCATCATTCGAATGTAGTAAAATCACTCCCATGTCGGGGGGGTTTGCGAAAACTAATCAAGTCGGATTATTCATTGCGGATCTAGCGCAGCCACGTTTATCTAACACCGGAATCGTCAAATCGTGCACCAGCGATGTTGATCCCGATCAGCTGATTCCAGCATCGCAATCGAACGCGCCTAGCGATTTATCTTCGATTATTTATTCAAACAACCGTGGGTTTCTGCAAAATATTCGAGCACGAAACGGCACCGACCGGAGACTGGCTTCGTCGGTTGCAGAACGAACACTAAAAACTAAAATAGCCGTCGTTCGGGCGCGATGACGTTCGACTGGCGGAGCTGGTTCTTCGGCCATTCGATCTGCGTCTGTGCATCACAGATGGTGTTATTGCGCAGGCGCGGCCGTTAGCCCGCGATCGGGATCACTTGGAAGTATAGAGAGAGTTCTATGTGGGAGAATCGAGACGATGGGAATTGGAATTCGTATCAACTGATGTATGATTTTGGTAGTTTTTGGTCTTACTCGATCGGATCTTTTTCGTGGTGGATGGAGGATTGATTAGAAGAAACTATTCTTTTGCTTATTAGTTCTTGGTTTGTTATACTAGTAGAAGTAATAGGAGCAGTTAGAGTTTTTTGTTACTTTCTCTTTCGACCAGAAGTTAGCTTTTTTTTTATTTCCCGAGACTCCCATTATGCTCTGACACATAAATTTTCTTTACTTCAAAATTTCAGTAACGTAATTCCTTCTGGAACACTATACTCAAGCTTTCTTATACATAAATATTAAGAGTTATAGATCCATTTGAAAGTAGGTTAATAAAATATGTAACAAAGGCATGTAAATTGCAATAATGATCCGGTTAAAATAAATAATTAATAAGGCGGTAGTAGTGTTTATAATAAACCTAAAATCTATATCATTAAAAGATATCGTCAGACACTTCCAGCTGAAATTATACTCATCTATTATACAAAACAACTCGCCTCATATATATCTGACGAAATTTCCTGCGGCGGAAACTTTATATTTTATGCTTTTTACTAGTTTCCCTGAATGGCTTCCCCATAGTAAGCATATAAAATTTTCCGTTGTATAACAGTATAACTTTTTATGTTTCTACATAACTCGCGGAAAAAAGGAACTTTCCGAATAATCGGAAAACAAGTTGTTGTTGTGGAAAATTAACCGACTGTGCTGATACACTATTCAGAATTGCTGGCGAGAAATGAACGAATTTTCCACCAAAGGACCATCTAAATAATTTAATCTCTCGTCAACACTTGCATTACATTGAAGTTACATTAAAACGAAATTAGCAGTTGTTCCGACAACAAATTTACCTCCTATTTATTTCAACCCTTATAGTTGACTCATTATAACACCCGGCGATATTTCAACCTCAATTTACCTCAATAACCTAATTATTTTTGTTGTAATTTACATCGGGTTTTGTTCGTTCGCGCTACAAATGTCGCACCCCGGGTTCCAGCGCGCCCTTTAACCGCCAAATTGAAAACCCCCCGAAATAATTCATTCCAGCGAGCTGCTGGAAGCGTCCAACCCCTTACCCGCTCAAGATTACGTTTGTTGCCCGGAGCAGCGGCGCGTCGGCCGCGTAGCCACCGATATTTATGAGAATTTCGTTGATAAGGCCGCCTCCGCCGCCGCCGCCGACGAAGCTACGTTTTCTAATTTGATTTATACGTGTTCGAATCGAACTCATTTATTTCCTAGTTATAGGGTTGGAATTACAAATAAGTCTGTCAGGGCGCGAAGTCGGTGCATACTAATTCTATGCCCTGATGTCTATTTTAAGGTGTTTGATAGTTTTTCGATTCTTAGTTGCTTTGTTTTTGTATAGTTTTTATACAGGGTGGAAACGTCAAATGGAATTAATTCATTATTTATCTTAACTGTACATAGAAAATCTTTAAATTTTAATTATAAATTGGCATTCTTCAACTTCAAAATGTGAACTCTATCTTCAACCCCCTTCGAATGATAGTCACAACTTCGATTTTTTTAAATTGGAAGTATAGGCTTCTGATATATCGTTTGAATGGTCTCTTCTTCATTCACTATCGAAAAATGTTATTGTTTTCCAGTTTATTTCAAAAATTGTACAGTAACCGAAATAATGAATTTATTCCATTTGCCATTTTCACCCTGTACAATAAATTTAGGCGTATGTTTACTGGTAGGGTTAAAAATGGGGCTTACGAAATGGAATTCTGGTAAAAATGCTCAGTTCAGGATTTTTAGAAAACGCGCCCGTAATCCTTCATATTATGCAGAAACGGTTATACGGCATTGTTTACAATGTCTCTTTTCCCAGTTTTACGCCACTCATTTCCATTGAAATATCCTCGCGTCTGGAAATCCACCGAAAAAAAAGCAAAACGCGTAATGGAATACACAATTCCTTTGCAGCGTTTGTTTAATCGGATTGTCCAAGGAGCGGCTACGAAACCTCGTTTATTTTTTCCAACACACCATGTTATACATTTTCTAGAAATTATATTCAATTCGATATTCGAGATTCGAGATTCGCTTTAACCGCAGAGTTAAACATCCGATACATCCTCGCTCGCATGTGCACTCTTCCATTTTTCACTTCCATCGACTGACACGCTCGGCTGGAATTTCCAGACAGTTATTATACACTTAAAATTAATTATTTGTGACGAAATTCCGCATCGGAGTAAAGGCGGGAGCGTTTCGAAATTCGTTGATAGCGCGAACTCACGCAACTTAAACGGCCCCATATCCTCTGAAGGACTAAACCGGCTAACATACATAACCCCCATAAATACATAAGCACCCAGATTAATGGGTTTGTTTTATTCCAATGATATAACCGGTTGTAGTTTTGTGGAGTTCTCGCTGTAGTTTTCGAGGTACAAACATTTTTATTAATCAGATGCTCGGGATATATGCGACAAAATTTAACCAAATATACTTCATATATGCAAGTTATGCATACAATTAGAAATATTCTTACCACATAACAAAATAGAGGAGAAGTCGTCGAAGAAGTTTCATAGCAGCTCGTCTATAATTCCATCGGCAACAATGAGTTTACGACTAGTTATAATACAGGGTGTGCGCGAACTTGGGCTAAAGTTAATATAAAGTTGTGATTAGGAAACTGCATCAATATTATGAGAGTTTCACGTTGATGTTGTTCGCGAATGCGGGAGTTTCTCCACGGCGGTGCGCAGACAATTCGAAACTTCGTTTTCCGAATATATTGTCTGTGTAGTATACTCCTCTCCTAATTGTTTACATTCGTATCGCATTTTGCGCTCCTTCGAGCCATCCGGTTTGTTTACCAGCGTTTAGCGAATAAAAATGGGACCGGGGAAAAACTGAATTGTTATACAATTTTATGGAAAGAGCAAGCCGGACAAATTTCCCCCGTTCCCCATCGTTAATAAGAAAAATCAAAGCGTTTGTTTGTTTTGTAACTCGGTTTATATTTAATGGGAAAATGCACGGGGAATAATTCTGAACTCGCTCTATATGTATGTAATAGCTAAATGCACAATGAAATTCCGCATGTTATTTTCGATTTCGACGATTTTATTTTGTGCATTTTGAATGTAAATGGAAATAAAGTGGATTTCGTTCCATTTGGATATATGGAAGTACTTTGTAAATACGCGAATTCGTTTAATTGGATTTTCGTGTTCAATAATTTGTTGCAATTAACTTAAAAATTTTGTAATATTTTTCATGAAGCTACATTCGATTTTATAGAAGGAATTATCATCCCGAAATCCGTTTAATACACGAAGGACTATAATACAAAGAGGCGAGCTGAATAGTCAATGTAAGATAACCGAGTATGATAAGAGAAATAAATTATATTCTTGCCATTGTAGTTCCCTAAACAGAAATACAGAAGTAATTCGATAGCGTTCCGAATTGGTCTACAATTTATTACACGAATTGAATCCAGCTGATTTAAAATGCTGTGCCTAGAATCCCAAACTAACGGAATTTTATTAAACGTTATTAAACCCGGGATATTTGTATGCCAGAAACAACGCGCAAGAAAGAAGAATAAAAAAAAACTAGAATTATCTTTTTAGATTTATTCGAGCAGAACTCCAAATTAGAATCGAAAGAATATAAAACTCAAAAGTCTCCTCAAAAGTTGCAATTAAATTTCGCATTTCAACACTCAACACACATCATACATAGTCATGTCGGTGTACACATAGCTCACATTACCATATTAATGACTGAACCTTAATAATTTAATACAAATAACGCATTTGTATGCAAGAGGAACTGTATTAAGTTTCTCAATTCGAAACAGTTCTTCATCACACAAAATAAGGACCCCATTCCCGTTCGCCGTTAGTATTTACACCGCAAATTGCATCCTCAATATACATACATATACCTACACAGTGCAGTCTTACCTTCAGGAATTAATGCGGTCGTATATCAAATTTCCCGTGGATTTACGGTTAGAGCGGTCTTATTTATCCGTTCCAATTAGAAGTTATTACTCGAGAAAAGGAACCATCCGCGACCTCCCTTTGCCGTCGTAAATTGGAAATTCTATCACTGTGTTATTAGTATTAGTTCCTATGTATATGCATGGAATTATTCCGAGATAGAACAAGTTAATTGTTGTATCTACACCAGTGATTTATCGCGAATGTATACCATAATAGAATTTTAAAGATATCACGTTTATTGGAGGCTTTTCGAATTTTACACAATACCTAAAAAAAATCCTATTTTGCTTCCTGCCTCCGCTAGTAATAATGCACAATGGACGTTCATACGAGCAAGTCGATTTACATAATAATTGTCTCTTGGAAAATGGCCAAGGTGGCTTATCTGCGTACAAACTCGCCTCCATTACCATGATAAACAAATAAAACAAGACCCGACTTTTTTACGGGCTGGAGCGTAAAATTTTTACATCGAAAACGAACGAT